CATTGAAGTTGTACGTCCTGAACACGGCCCTGTGAACGACCTTCTTTCTACGCTGGCTGTCTGCACTTCCACGAGTCGAGTAGTGCATAAGTGTGAAACGCACGACAAATACTCCGCCTCCTCCGCCAAAGTACCGGGACGTTGAGCCACACGCGTTGAATAAAACGGCAAAAAAAAAATGTAGATGTTTTCTTGTTTGTTTTGTTCGCTTCTCCCCAGTTTACGCTCCCATTTTTATTATTATGGTGGTACTCGTCTGCACCGCGTCTGCAAGTTGGTGGTTCTGGGTAGCACGCATACCAGCGCATGTCGGTCTTTGTGTTTGTGTGTGTGTGTGTGGATGTGTGTGTTGATTCCTTCAGTTCACACTCTCCCTGACTCTATATCCTCCTACTCTGGATGCGCATTCAGGCGAGCCACGTAAGTGCCTCTTTTTTTTCTAATCCGCACATATAAGTAAATATATGTGTCCGTTTCCTATTGTTTTGCTTCCCAGCATTATTACTGTCAAAGAAGAAAGCTTCTTTGTTTTCAGGGAAAGAGAATTCTCATCATATTTCAAGTAGTGTCGGCCAGTACGGTCGTGTCGTTGAGGTAAGCCGCTGGTCCTGATTCCGTTTGTGTCGAGAAGGCCGTCATGCGCGTCTTCTCGCTCTCCACGTGGGCAAACCAAGCTAGTACCTGAAAATCATCACTGGTCTTTTTTGAACTTGGAATGCAGCGTAATCTGTTGAAGTGTATCGCTGTCACGGAGACGTATCCGGTTCGCCTCGCCGTCTCCTCTCCTTCCGCCTTTCACTCTCCCCTCTCCCCCTCTCCCCTCTCCCTTTCTCTCTTCTTTCTCTTTCCCGCCACCGTTTCTTCTCCTGAACACTACGCATGGCGCAACGCCTCTCCAAACAAAATCGCCAGAGTCTACTCCACCTTTTTTCCTGCCCTCTCACCTTCACACCCCTTCTACCAGTATCCCTTCTTGTTTTTCCCAAGTGCCACTTCACACCCCACCCTTCCCCAAAATGCCCGCCTCTAAGTACGTTGAAGCCATCTCGAAGCGCCGCAGCATCTACAACCTCGGTAACAAGCTGCCGAGGAGCCACGCTGAGGTAACGAAGACCATCGAAGACGCGATCCGTCAGTGTCCCTCGTCCTTCAACGTGCAGAGCTCGCGCGCGGTCATCTTGTACGGCAACAGCCACAAGAAGGTGTGGGACATCGTGAAGGCGGCGCTGAAGAAGGTCACGAGCGCGGAGCAGTACGCGGCGAGCGAGGCGAAGGTGAACGGGTGCTTCCTCGCGGGTGCGGGCACCGTGTTGTTTTATGAGGACACCGAAGCCATCAAGGGCCAACAAAAGGCCTACCCCCTCTACGCGGACAACTTCCCTGTGTGGTCGCAGCACTCATCCGCGATTGCTCAGTTTGCTGTGTGGACGGCGCTGGCGCAGGACGGCATCGGTGCCTCTCTGCAGCACTACAACCAGTTGATTGAGGCTGACCTCCGCCAGGCCTTCGACATTCCGGAGCACTGGAGTCTGATCGCGCAGATGCCGTTCGGTTCGATTGAGAAGCCGGCGGATCCGAAGACGTACATGGAAGATGACAAGCGCTTCATGGTGCTCGATGATTAGAGAGCAAGCTCTATTTAGTGTTTGTCTGGCGCGTGTGCGCACAGATACTTCTATTATTATCATTATCCCAATCCGAGCGGTCGAAATGGAATGTAGGCTAGTACATACGCATCGACTTGCGGGAAGCTTCTACCTTTATTTAAGTAAGCTGTACATCAACTATTTTTTTCTCTACGAGATAAAAATTTCCTCTCCACTTTTTTTCTTCATTTCCATTATATATATATATATATATATATATTTTACTTACTTCCAGTCACTACAATTCTGATTTACTGTCGCAGATTGTTCACTGCCGTGGCGATGCAGCGTTGCGTTGAAAGCGAGCATTTCTCTTCGATTTCTGTGCACCTATTGTCTTGTATCTCCCATTTTGCCTTTCATATTTAAAAAAGTGTTCAGATGGTATTTATTCACATTGAAGTTGTACGTCCTGAACACGGCCCTGTGAACGACCTTCTTTCTACGCTGGCTGTCTGCACTTCCACGAGTCGAGTAGTGCATAAGTGTGAAACGCACGACAAATACTCCGCCTCCTCCGCCAAAGTACCGGGACGTTGAGCCACACGCGTTGAATAAAACGGCAAAAAAAAAATGTAGATGTTTTCTTGTTTGTTTTGTTCGCTTCTCCCCAGTTTACGCTCCCATTTTTATTATTATGGTGGTACTCGTCTGCACCGCGTCTGCAAGTTGGTGGTTCTGGGTAGCACGCATACCAGCGCATGTCGGTCTTTGTGTTTGTGTGTGTGTGTGTGGATGTGTGTGTTGATTCCTTCAGTTCACACTCTCCCTGACTCTATATCCTCCTACTCTGGATGCGCATTCAGGCGAGCCACGTAAGTGCCTCTTTTTTTTCTAATCCGCACATATAAGTAAATATATGTGTCCGTTTCCTATTGTTTTGCTTCCCAGCATTATTACTGTCAAAGAAGAAAGCTTCTTTGTTTTCAGGGAAAGAGAATTCTCATCATATTTCAAGTAGTGTCGGCCAGTACGGTCGTGTCGTTGAGGTAAGCCGCTGGTCCTGATTCCGTTTGTGTCGAGAAGGCCGTCATGCGCGTCTTCTCGCTCTCCACGTGGGCAAACCAAGCTAGTACCTGAAAATCATCACTGGTCTTTTTTGAACTTGGAATGCAGCGTAATCTGTTGAAGTGTATCGCTGTCACGGAGACGTATCCGGTTCGCCTCGCCGTCTCCTCTCCTTCCGCCTTTCACTCTCCCCTCTCCCCCTCTCCCCTCTCCCTTTCTCTCTTCTTTCTCTTTCCCGCCACCGTTTCTTCTCCTGAACACTACGCATGGCGCAACGCCTCTCCAAACAAAATCGCCAGAGTCTACTCCACCTTTTTTCCTGCCCTCTCACCTTCACACCCCTTCTACCAGTATCCCTTCTTGTTTTTCCCAAGTGCCACTTCACACCCCACCCTTCCCCAAAATGCCCGCCTCTAAGTACGTTGAAGCCATCTCGAAGCGCCGCAGCATCTACAACCTCGGTAACAAGCTGCCGAGGAGCCACGCTGAGGTAACGAAGACCATCGAAGACGCGATCCGTCAGTGTCCCTCGTCCTTCAACGTGCAGAGCTCGCGCGCGGTCATCTTGTACGGCAACAGCCACAAGAAGGTGTGGGACATCGTGAAGGCGGCGCTGAAGAAGGTCACGAGCGCGGAGCAGTACGCGGCGAGCGAGGCGAAGGTGAACGGGTGCTTCCTCGCGGGTGCGGGCACCGTGTTGTTTTATGAGGACACCGAAGCCATCAAGGGCCAACAAAAGGCCTACCCCCTCTACGCGGACAACTTCCCTGTGTGGTCGCAGCACTCATCCGCGATTGCTCAGTTTGCTGTGTGGACGGCGCTGGCGCAGGACGGCATCGGTGCCTCTCTGCAGCACTACAACCAGTTGATTGAGGCTGACCTCCGCCAGGCCTTCGACATTCCGGAGCACTGGAGTCTGATCGCGCAGATGCCGTTCGGTTCGATTGAGAAGCCGGCGGATCCGAAGACGTACATGGAAGATGACAAGCGCTTCATGGTGCTCGATGATTAGAGAGCAAGCTCTATTTAGTGTTTGTCTGGCGCGTGTGCGCACAGATACTTCTATTATTATCATTATCCCAATCCGAGCGGTCGAAATGGAATGTAGGCTAGTACATACGCATCGACTTGCGGGAAGCTTCTACCTTTATTTAAGTAAGCTGTACATCAACTATTTTTTTCTCTACGAGATAAAAATTTCCTCTCCACTTTTTTTCTTCATTTCCATTATATATATATATATATATATATATATATATTTTACTTACTTCCAGTCACTACAATTCTGATTTACTGTCGCAGATTGTTCACTGCCGTGGCGATGCAGCGTTGCGTTGAAAGCGAGCATTTCTCTTCGATTTCTGTGCACCTATTGTCTTGTATCTCCCATTTTGCCTTTCATATTTAAAAAAGTGTTCAGATGGTATTTATTCACATTGAAGTTGTACGTCCTGAACACGGCCCTGTGAACGACCTTCTTTCTACGCTGGCTGTCTGCACTTCCACGAGTCGAGTAGTGCATAAGTGTGAAACGCACGACAAATACTCCGCCTCCTCCGCCAAAGTACCGGGACGTTGAGCCACACGCGTTGAATAAAACGGCAAAAAAAAAAATGTAGATGTTTTCTTGTTTGTTTTGTTCGCTTCTCCCCAGTTTACGCTCCCATTTTTATTATTATGGTGGTACTCGTCTGCACCGCGTCTGCAAGTTGGTGGTTCTGGGTAGCACGCATACCAGCGCATGTCGGTCTTTGTGTTTGTGTGTGTGTGTGTGGATGTGTGTGTTGATTCCTTCAGTTCACACTCTCCCTGACTCTATATCCTCCTACTCTGGATGCGCATTCAGGCGAGCCACGTAAGTGCCTCTTTTTTTTCTAATCCGCACATATAAGTAAATATATGTGTCCGTTTCCTATTGTTTTGCTTCCCAGCATTATTACTGTCAAAGAAGAAAGCTTCTTTGTTTTCAGGGAAAGAGAATTCTCATCATATTTCAAGTAGTGTCGGCCAGTACGGTCGTGTCGTTGAGGTAAGCCGCTGGTCCTGATTCCGTTTGTGTCGAGAAGGCCGTCATGCGCGTCTTCTCGCTCTCCACGTGGGCAAACCAAGCTAGTACCTGAAAATCATCACTGGTCTTTTTTGAACTTGGAATGCAGCGTAATCTGTTGAAGTGTATCGCTGTCACGGAGACGTATCCGGTTCGCCTCGCCGTCTCCTCTCCTTCCGCCTTTCACTCTCCCCTCTCCCCCTCTCCCCTCTCCCTTTCTCTCTTCTTTCTCTTTCCCGCCACCGTTTCTTCTCCTGAACACTACGCATGGCGCAACGCCTCTCCAAACAAAATCGCCAGAGTCTACTCCACCTTTTTTCCTGCCCTCTCACCTTCACACCCCTTCTACCAGTATCCCTTCTTGTTTTTCCCAAGTGCCACTTCACACCCCACCCTTCCCCAAAATGCCCGCCTCTAAGTACGTTGAAGCCATCTCGAAGCGCCGCAGCATCTACAACCTCGGTAACAAGCTGCCGAGGAGCCACGCTGAGGTAACGAAGACCATCGAAGACGCGATCCGTCAGTGTCCCTCGTCCTTCAACGTGCAGAGCTCGCGCGCGGTCATCTTGTACGGCAACAGCCACAAGAAGGTGTGGGACATCGTGAAGGCGGCGCTGAAGAAGGTCACGAGCGCGGAGCAGTACGCGGCGAGCGAGGCGAAGGTGAACGGGTGCTTCCTCGCGGGTGCGGGCACCGTGTTGTTTTATGAGGACACCGAAGCCATCAAGGGCCAACAAAAGGCCTACCCCCTCTACGCGGACAACTTCCCTGTGTGGTCGCAGCACTCATCCGCGATTGCTCAGTTTGCTGTGTGGACGGCGCTGGCGCAGGACGGCATCGGTGCCTCTCTGCAGCACTACAACCAGTTGATTGAGGCTGACCTCCGCCAGGCCTTCGACATTCCGGAGCACTGGAGTCTGATCGCGCAGATGCCGTTCGGTTCGATTGAGAAGCCGGCGGATCCGAAGACGTACATCGATGATGAGAAGCGCTTCATCGTGCGCGGCGAGTAGAAGACTACCGCGGAGCAAAACGTCCTCCAAAAAGCCTATATCTCTTGCAGAGAAGCTTGACAAAGCTGGAGCTTTTTATCATTTATTACTCATGCAGGCGATAATGTTTTGCGTGTGGGTAGCTGCCGGCGCAGAATAATCCTAGCATGTGCAGCGTCACTCGCGCATACACGACAGCCAAAGGGAAAAAGTATCTTGTCACTAAAAGCAAGTTCACTATTATTATTATTTGTAGTTCCTCTCACTCTCCCTCTTTTTTATGCTATCTTCTGTTTTTGTTTTTTTCTTTCCAAGTGCGTACTACAACCCACGGCGTGTACAAACTCGTGTATCTCACACAGTGTTTGCGTTGATGAAAGGAAATGGTTTTTGTTGTTGTTGTTTTTTCTTGTTGAGAGCGCTTTCTGAACTTCAACAGTTCCCAGCCCCCTTTTTTATTGACTTGGTCTGCCTCGCATACGTAGAGCACGTTTGCCTTGTTAGAATAGCTTCGTCGCTACCCAAACGTAGCGCGACACCTTCTCATTCCTTGTGTAGGTGTCATCAAAGACGTGCCCAAATGTGTTCGAAGCGGATGTGCTGTGAGGCGCGCTCTCAGAGAGAGGCAACACAGCGAATTCTCGTCAATTGGGACGTCGGAACGCACGTGAAAAACTGTCTGTTTTACGTACGTATTACAGTGTTGCTGGCGATCTCCCCCTCACCGGTGTTGCGCTCGCAAGAGTGCACACATTTTTTTTTTCTTCTTTTGAGAAGCACATCACCGCTACGAACTCCCCTTTCCAAGAATCAAACACGACGCCGTCGCACGCATCACACAATCACCAGACACTTATTCATTTATCTTGTTTGTTTTCTCTATCTCGCTCATCTGCGTTGCGTCCGTTTTCATGCGTTCTCTCTCCCATTGACATTCCTTTCGCCAAAGGTGGTTAGGGTTACACTTCTATTCCTCTCTTCTATGAACGCAACTCTGTAAACTATTGAAAGTTCTACTCTTTGATTGATACTAAAGATCTATCTTCCCATTTTTTGTCCACTCTATTGTCCTTGCCGACTCTTTTTGTTCCTGTCAATCGAACAGGTTAAGATAAACGAAATACAGTGAGGAGCGCCGCGACCACTGTCTGATCTAGCGAAGATGCGCCTTCCCGTTGAGTTGCGCAAAAAAAGAAAAAGACAAGAAAGCAACGGTAGAGTTAGTGGCATGTGACGATCTGAAAGCGCAGGGGGCTCGTCTCATCGATTGAATCAGCTCAAGGATGTGAAAGAGGAATTGCGTTCTCGTTGTGTCCCTCTCACTATACATAAGGAATGGAAAGCTGTCCTGATCGTGTGCTGCGTGGGTTGCACAGCCCCCTCGGAGAATAGTGATTCGCGTCTGTCTCATCGACGCGCGCTACTTCGTGACGTTACCCCACTGTTTAATTTTCGAAGTCTTTCCTCCTCTGTTTCTTCTTTCTTCCACCTTTTCTAGTATTAAAGCGTCCTTTTGCTAGTTTACGCGTCTGAAACAAAGGGTTTTGCGTCTCAGCATGTTTTCAAGGACTGTCACGGCGCTGGCGCGCAGCCGGCCGCCGTTCGCCGTCTTCTACAAATCCATGTCCGGCGTGCTCACTAAAATGGCTCCCGTGCAGCGGATGAAGGTGGCCAGTACTCTTTGGCGCAGGACGGCGCCGAGATACGGCATTCGCTACTCCGCCCCTCGCGTGGCGGCGGCGAAGGAGATTTACAAGAAAGAGGGCAGGCGTCTGGCCCCAGGCGTGAAGGCTGCGGCGACGAAGCCCGCTCGCCGTTCCCGCAAGTCGAAGGCGGCGAGGCGGTCGCGTAAGGCATCTGCGACATCCAAGAAGAACAAGAACACGAAGAGGTCATCGAAACGCGTGAAGGCTTCCCGTGCCACGGCCACCCGCGCGAAGCCGGCCAAAAAGGCTGTCACACCGTATGCGTCTTTCACGGCCAACGTGCTGAAGCAGACAAAGCTGGCGCCGACAGCGACAAACAAAAGTCGTGTGTTCCGCATGTGGCTCCTGACGGGGCAGCAGCGCTCTTCGTCCTTGACGAAGCGCATTTCGATGGCGGTGCGGCTCCTCAACAAGGATCAGAGAAGCAGGCGCAAACTCAGCAAAAAGCTGACAAGGAAAGCAGGTAAGAAGACAACAAAGCGTAGCTCCAAGGCACGCAAGACAGCCGCGAAGAAGTCGCGTAAGCTACGTCGCAGCGTCACGAAGAAAACGAACAAGACGAAGAAGTCGCCTAAAGCTGCTGCGAAACAGTCGAAGGCACGGAAAGCGCGTCTCGCCTCACGCAAGAAAGCAATGACACGCCGTCGTGTCCGCAAAGCAGCTGCGGCCAAGTCAAAGACGCGCAAGTCAGCGGCCCGTAAGGCGGCGGCGGCGGCAAAGACAAAGAGCCGTAAGTCAGCAATGCGCAAGTCCAAGGCGAAGGCCGCTCGCAAGCCCCGCAAAGCCGCCGCAAGGCCGAGGGGGCGTCGTGTGGCGGCGAAGAAGATGAAGCATATTGCCCGCAAGACGCCGCGGCGCAGCAACCCGTACATTGAATTCTACCGGCGCGTATGTATGACAGGTCTGCTGCCGAATGGGCCGAAGGTGGTCGGCTCGCGCACGATTAAGGCGCTGTGGGCACGCACGCACAAGCTGCCCACCATGGACGCCCGCGTGGCCCAGGCGACGAGACTGCTCGAGGCGCAGACGGGGGCCAGCGCGAAGACAGTTGTCTCTCCTGTGCGTGCGTTGGTGCCTCGCAAAAACGCCGCTGCGTCCCACACACACGCCCCGGCGACGGTGGTGTTGAAGGAGATCAAGGTGCCACACTACTACGAGAAGAACCCCTTCGGGGCGACCTACGCGGCGCTGCTGCCGATGCTGCAGACCATCCCCAGCTCCACGCGCATGGCACACGTCGCGAAGGCGTGGACGAGCACGGCGCTCAAGAATGACCACCGCTCAGCGAAGCAGCGCATCGCCGCCGTGGCGCAGCAATTGAAGGCGTAATCACTGCCCAATTTTTCTTGACATAAAACACATGTTTTTATTTTCTTGTTCTATTACATTACAGCAAAAAAAAAACATCAGCACAGTTATCACATTTCGCAGTTCCGCATGCGCTGATAGTCGGAAAGAAAAGGAATAAAGTGGACGTACCGTTGTTTCTTTGTTTTTTTTTCCTTTGCGAGTCGCTGCAGGCGACTTTCCTTAGATTTTTTTTCCCGTTGCTACTCGACATGATTCTGCGTTGCTGGTACATCATGCGTGGAGAGGTGAAAAAGAACACGGTGCACTGAGCCTCTTCTCCGAGCAAATTCATGGTATGGTGCACAGACGAAGGCGGACTCAACGAGGCAGACACACTCTATTCCTGCTACGCAAGCAAACGTGTCTTCCAACGGAATTACGGTTGCGGACAACAGAACCATTACCATAGACTCATACGTAGAGCACAACTTTTTTTTTCTTTCTTTGTTTGTTGGGTTCCGTCCGAGCTTTTCATGGACGGCGCATTCCGCATTACATCCATACGGAGTGCCGTTCCGCGCGTTGAATGGCTGCAATAGATTTCATTCACTCGTTAAGGAAAAGATCGCGGCACGGAGCACATATATATACATACAGGCAACGGCAACTTCAAGCTCTTAGTTTAAACACACCGAAGATGTGCCGCTTTATACATACAGCAAAAAAGAGAATGGTAGATGTCGATACCGCCTTTTTTTATTCATCCGATTGTCTTCATTTTCTTTTTCCCTTTTCCTGAACAGCTCGGAAGGTCTTTTTCATCTTCGATGGGTTAGTGTACGGAGCGTACGGGGCCGGAGCACACAACAAATCCGAAAGGAAAGAACGGCGAGTAATGGAGTACCAAAAAGAACATGTAGCGCTTGTGCATGGAGTGCTCCAATCAATACAAGCAACGTGTATAGATGCTGTAGAAGCCAACTGCAGTGCCATTGTGGGTCGGTGACCGTCACATTGGAAAACCTCCCTCTCTTACGTTGTGTGTGTGTGTGTGTTCTGTAGACGCTCTATTTCCGCCGCTTGGTGGGCCTTGTCATCGGCGACGTCTTGCGAACGGAGGTAAGGTGTGACAGCATTGCATGAGGATCTTGACGAAATGAACGGCTGCGATAACAACGTACGGTATCGTTCTCTACCCGACCACCATCTTCCCTTTTCTTCTCCGCTTGTTGTGGGAGCTTCTGAGAAACAGTCGAAACATCATACGCGTTTTGTCTCCGAAGATCACACCAAGAGAAAAACTAATATACAGGAATGTCGAGCGACACCCCAAACCTGCAGAAGCCGTCGGGCTCCAAGCGAGTCTCTGGCGATGAGCCAGTGTTTATTCGAAGTCTCGTAGCGTCACCGCCACTGCACGAAGGGCCGGCGACGGCGGTCGTTGAAGAGCCGGCCGAGGCGTCTACGGCGCCCGATGCGCGCAGTGGTGCATGGGACGCGCACCTCGCGCAACTCCTCCACAGCATGTATCTCGTTTCCTTCACCGAAAAGGCTCAACTCGGTGCGATGTACAGTCGGAACGGCGCTGCTGCAGCGCAACCAGCTGTGAAAGCTGGCAGCTCCGCGGCTGACGCAACGTCGCAGGTGACGAACAGCATCGATTCAAGCTTTTCCGCTTCGGCAGCTCCCGCCAACGTAGAGATACCAATGTGTAGCCATAGCATCACCGTAGATGAGCGTTGGTTGAACGCCGTGACACGCCACTGCCACTTTACCGTCACCCTTGACGACGTGGCCAGAGTTGCGATGGTGTTTCCGGAACTGCTGCGGGTGCGGTGGACGATGGAGGAGCAGAACTGGAGTACCACTGCCGCGCCCTATTTTGATGAGCTGTTAGAGCATCCGGCAGGAGCTCGCAGCAACGTCTCTGCTACAACACAATGCGACAACTCGCAGCTAGGCACCGCTGCTACAATTCCACTCGGTGGGAAATTGATCGCTCGGGTTTATCTGTGCCAAAATCGTGTTGTGTCTGTTGAGGAGGCGGCGGAGCAGCTGACGCGGACTCTCCGCCTAAAAGGCAGCGTGGCCGCTCAGCGGGCATGGAAGGCGCTGGTGAATCACCACACCGGATACGCCGCGTACGTGGACGGGCCGGGAAGGAGTCCCCGCGTCTCGAAGACCTCGACAAATGATGCCACGTTGACAACAGACTCCTTACAAAGCAGTGCCTCGCTGTCGCAGAGAGAGGCGCGAAAACGCAACGAGAAGGATGCTCAACGAAACGATAGCACGCTCGACGACGAAGCCTTGTGTGGCACGATTTCTGCTGAGCTTCGGGCTTCCCTTTCCGCGCCGAAGCTGAGGGCACTTCTCCGGCAGATGCGCAAGGATGCGACGCACGTGGAGGAGGCGGAGCAGCACCTCATTGCACAGCGGCAGCTGCAGGAGCGCATGCTGAACGCCTACGAGCACGTCCGTGCGCTCTATGGACCAAAAGACACCCGAGGACGATCTGCACTGACCCTCGTCGCCGCTATGCAGCAAGAGAGCCGCTTTGAGGACACACTGGACAGTACGGCGTTGCTGTCCTCGCTGCTTGCGATACCCGCCTCCGGGCTGTCAGCGACGATGCTGTGCGAGGGCCGTGTAGTGGTGGAACCTGTAACGCGGCAAGCGCAACCAACCGCCATGAAAGGAGTGCCCCAAGGTGGCAAGCGCAAGCGGGCAGAGGAGGACGAAGCAACGCGTAACGTGGACAATTCACCTGTGGCAGTTCGCGTGATGGAACCGTCGCTGGAGCCGGCGACAGACCTGCGAGGGCTTACGGATGCACAGCTGGAGCTCGTGCTGGTCCGTCTGGATCGCACCAAAGGCTCCGTAAGGGGGGTCATGCAGGCCGTCGCGCGGGAGAAAGGGTAGAACGCTCGCCGCATCCAATTGCACTATCTGTACTATCACTGCTCTTGGCCACACTCAATTTTTTTTTCCTTTGCCCTCGCATCTAAATTACGGTTGCATAGTGTGAAGAGAGAAGCGTGACGTCGTGGATCGTCGTCGGTTCTCCGCGTCAGCTTTTATAGCACTTTTTTTTTCTCCTCCCTTATGCACGCACGCATGCATATATTTTAAAGAAAAAAAAGTACTGTCGAAAAGATGAGAAACACATGGTCCGGTGGTTTCCTGTGCGGTTCGGAATTGCGTCGTTTCAAGGCCACGCAAAACTTTTTCAAGATCCTATTTAACTGCTGTGAACGCTCTCAATGTGTAAGCCTCCCCGCTTCGTAAAAAGTCCAGTGAAAAGCACTGTATTCGTTTCTTCTGTTTTGTTTTTTAATGGTTGTACTTCCCTTCTCTTTCCCCACCCCTTCTTTTGTGGGGCCCTCCTGTAATACGCGCTACTGGAGCAGCACGAGTGCGACGCGTTGATTGTCATAACAACAAGGCAACGCAGCATACCCCCTCTCAAGTCGTGCTGCGGTTGTTCACAAAGCCGTCGACAGGGGTATGGAGAATTAAAAATCTATGAAAAAATATATATTCGTGATAGCTTTTGTTTGATATTACAACGCGAATTGTATGGCGTTCCTCCCGTCATTGCGGCGGCTGGCTGCCTCGTGGAAGCTGCCTTTTATCCTCGTCGCTGCACCTACTCTGCGTGAGATGTCTGCTCTCTTCCCAGCGACTGGGGATGCTGAGCCTGCCCCAAACCTCATCACTCGTCAAATGCGCAACCCGGTTCCGCCTATTTCTCACCGGCGCGACGATGGTTCCCGAGTGACCCAGTCAAAGCAGAAGGAACTGAAGAAACAAGGCTTCAACGCCATCATCCGCTGGTGCGCCTACCACCAAGAAGCACAAGCGAAGAGTTGTGGCAGCTCCGTTGGAAGTAGCAGTGCAGACGAAGAGGAAACAAAGCGCATGGATGCGGCGGTAATGCGGTGGGTGAATGACAGCCTGGACAGTTTCTCCTGTGGCCAGAGCCTCGTCGTTCTCACGTTTCTCTGCGACGTCCTTCAGCGGCGAAACCAAAAAGAGAGAAACATGCTCTCACCGTCGTCATCGTCAACACTTGATGGCCTTACTGACCAACTCACTCACACGATCGGGCTACTAGTGACGCATGCGGTGACGAACGAACAGCTGACGCTGCAGCCTTTTTTTATTCTGCTTTCCGCCGTTTACGGACTTACCCGAATCACCGACGGCATCCCGCTGCATCTTCGAAACGCCGTTTTAGACGTCCTGGAACCGCCCCCGGCACTGTGGCTTGCCCTGCTGCATCAACTTCGTATCTTTTCCACGATCGCTGGAGAAGGCGAGGGCTTAGATGCCAGCGTCCACATCGAGGCCCTTCTCACCGTGTTGCTCCTCTTTGACCCGTTGCGGTGCAGCACGCTTTTTGCCCCAAACGACTATAAGATGATGGATGGATTGCTTCGCAGTCTGGTGCGGCTTCTCCAACCTGCACTGCGGGTGTCTCGCGCGATTCGCCAGCGTAAAGATGCGGAGCTGGACGAGCGAAGAGAAATGCAGCGGACCACTGCAGAGGAGTTATTTGTGAACGTTGAACGTGACGAGCACGACACGAGACCTGAGGATGCGGAGGAGGAAGATAAGGCGGACACCGCAGTGAGTGTTTCTCACATTGATGACGACGTAAACCGGTTGCAAATGCGCAGCCGGATTAGCATGCGCGATTGCTGCCGCATCCTGACCCACACACGAAATGCCGCTCCTTCGTGCCGTCGTGATATCATGGAGTTCTTCTTATGCGTGGTGCACGACCCTGCCGCATTGACACGTGTCGAAGTCCAGCAGCTGCCCACATTCTTCGACGCGCCACACATGTACAAGGACGTGAAAGACACCAAACTCGCCGAGTACGTGGCTCACGCAGGAGGCATCTCGGAGCTAGAGTTGCTGGTGCCACTGCTGCCCTTCATGTCAGACCCAGCGCGCTTCGCGGTGGTGCTCGAGGAACAGCTGAACATTGAGATGATGCGCTCCACGAAGCTGGATGCGCACCTAGCCACCCTCATCTTACACACCACTGGACAGCGCCTCGCATGGGCGTTTCGCGCGTTCCTCGTGCAGTGCAGCCTGGCAAACACACCCGAGCTGCTTCACGCCGTTGTTGCAGCTCTGGAACACAACGGCACCCAACGTGACAAGGACAACGGGGCCCAGCTGGAGGTGTCAGCAGCACTCGAGGCAAATGTGACGCGCGAGCACGCCAAAGTACCGCTGACACCTGACCTGTGCATCTTATGTCGCTTTCTGTTTGGTTATGAGCTGAAAACCATTCCGTTTCCCTTGCCACGAGACTTGGAGGAGGCGCAGTACAAGGCGTATTCCGAGGCGCTCACCATCGCTGGTGCGATTGTGCGCAACATCGATTGGCCAAAGTGTGCTACCCATCAGTTCCTGCGAGGCGATCGCTACCCGTCCCGCGGCGTACACTTGTCCCCCTCGTTTGTCGCCTATTCCGTCCTCACGGCGTACCTTCAGTCGCTCGACACCTACCACTTTTTGACCACCGAGGATGAGATGGCTGACAGGGACCTGCTGAACACGCTCGTCCTCCCACTTTTGCGCCCCACGGACATTGGCTTCCGTGCAAGGACTCTGCGGCTGCTCAGCAAGGTAATCCCACACCTCAAGTCGGCAGACTATCAGCGCCAACTGGTGAAACGCGCGCTTCATTACGGCGGCACCAACAGCTATCACGACCTCTACCTCTTCGTGCAGTTCTTCGTGACAGCGGCGACGGAACTGAAGGTGTTCCCGGCTGCGCTGACGGATTTGATTTTTCGCCAGCACACGCTCGCTCCGCGGACGGTGTCGCGTCGGATGGCGGCGCACATTAACTCCTCCAAGGCGTACACGACGGTCCTCGTACGGGTAGTGCGGTACGTCCTTGCCGCCGGTGTGCTGACGGCGGTCAATGGTGGCGCCGAGGCGGCGGCGCGACGCGACCGGGTGACCGTCTGGTTCGCCCACTACTTCAACACCGTGTTGGCGGAATCGCGGAGGTCGGACTTCCTGTTGGAAAGAACAGCGAAGTTGGACGAGGTGCGTGGAGGAGGACACGAGGAGGAGGAAAGGGAGGGCGAGGGTGAGATCGACGACGTGCACGTTGAACACAACGCAGTGACGCACGAGTGTGCGGAAGGAGAGAAGGCTGCGCAGGGGGATGGGAGCCGCGAAAAGGACACTGTGACACCCCGCAGTACCAAAAACCGCGAAGGAGATGGAGAAGAAGATGCGGAAAACGATGCAGGCGAAGGAGAGGAGGAGGACGATGCAGCCGACGGCACGTGGAGCATAGCAGCCCATTCACTGGATGAGGCCTTCACCTCACCTGTCACAGAAGACGACTTTGAAACGGTCCTGACGCTCATGCTTCAAACTGGCTGCAAGGCCTCGACACGGGCGCTTGCCCTCATCGCACAACGATTGCGTGATAAAGCCTTAGTTGCCGACACGTTTCGTGCTGACGCCGTGCTGCCCGAGATCAGCGACGCGCCAGCGAGAGACAATGAGGCGAGGTTGTCGTGGCTAGACGAGTCCAACGTTGATGTGGGCGAGCACGAGTGGCAGAGCAGGGCATCGCAGCTGCCTCTGCAGTCTCTGCCGCTGCCGGCGCACTTCGTCTTTGCGGTGCGTGCGGACAGTGCGCTGGCCATCCCCATCACCGCGCATTACCTGACCACCCTTCTCCGCACCTGCGACCTTTTCGTATTTCACCACGTCCTTTCGTCGTTTTTTGTTGCATTGAAGCGCCGACGATTCCACGTGGTGCTGGTGCACGACATGCAGATTGCCGAGGTGGCGATGGCCATCTTGCAGAAGCGGCTGGCAGCCTACCAAAGTGAACGCGGAACGACGACGACGACGCAACGTGATGGGACCGACGCAGCGGCTGATGTGACGAGCATTGTCGCTTTCAAGTCTCTTGTGCAATTGTTGCTCCATTTCGTGCTGTTGCCGCCGCGTACGCCGCACCTACGTGCCTTGGTGGAGACTTTAATTGACCCGCCGCGCAACGCGAACGAAGATGTCTCGATGATCACACCTGCTGCGGAGAACGTGACGGAGAGGAACAGTGAAACTTCCGATGACGGGGGCGAGGGCGAGGACGAGGACGAGGTCGAAGACGACAGCACGCTGCAATTGTTGCGCGCCACGCAAGCCACCGCCGCGTTGAGTGTTCTGCAAGTGTGTGCCTTCATTACGTCCTCCAAACTGAAGGAGTTTACGTTGGCGCACCTGCATCAACTCGCTCTTTTCTTTCCGGATGCAGCGGACTTCGTCTTTTTGCAAGTACGGCCGCAGTTGAGAGAGTTTACGCAGAGAGAGTTACTGCAAACGGCGACGCAGTACCCTCCTGGCGCGACAGACGTGTTGGCTCACCTGCAGAAAGTGGATATGCATGCGAGCATTGACCTAAACGAGTTTGTGCCGCTGTCCAAAAAGCTGCCGATGCGCATCAACGAGGCCGTCCTTCTCGCTCACGCCCCGTTCTTGACCGTTGCATGGGTGACTCGCGTGCTGTCCGCTCTCGCAGCGCGGCACGAGGAGATGCCGGTGTCGTTGCTGCAGCCGCTGCTGGCCCGTGTGGAGGCGGTGGCCGACACTGCCACGGAGTCTGACAAGAGCTTACTGCTCTTGATTCTTCAAGGCTACCTTCTTTTTGGATCTTCCTCTTCCAGCACACCAACGGAGCAGCACGACGGACCAACGTGGATGGACAACGTTCTCTTATCTGCGACCTCCACGGGGAATCACGCAGCGCCGCTGATGCCCGAGGAGCAGTCACATCGGATCGACCTTGTGCGCCGTTGCTGCGATCAGCTGCTCTCCTTGGAGCGCATTTCAACCCTAGACGAACTTCGCTATTTTCTCGTGTCCTACCCGCCCTCCTTGCATCAGCTGCGCGAGCGTGGCGTGGTGACCACGGTAGAGCAAACGCTGCTGCCGTCTATGCTGACCGCCTCACCGGTGCGCTGGACTGAGTTGGATACCCTCGTCCGTCTTCTCTCGGAGCACCAAGTTCTTCTGCCACACACCGTGCACATGATCGCGGAGGTTCTCTTTGCACCGTCGCAGCTGGAGCTGCTGCAGCGTGCGTCTCTCACGAGTGTGGCGTGCGACGGCGTGACGGTGCTCACGGGGTGTCTGCGCATCGCGATAAGGTGTGCGGAGGCGGTGCACGGCACACACACCACGCATTACCCGTCGGGTGCGTTTCCGCTGCTTCCCACGGTGGACGCGGTGCTGCGTGTGTTCGATGTGGTTCAGGACTGGCTGGCCGCGTTGACGACGCTTCTCTCTCCGCAAAGTAAGGGCAGCGGTTACACGCCGGTGGGGTCTTCCTTGAACGTGTTTCCTTCTCCCGCTCTGAACTCGTCCACGTCCTTTTCGTTTTCTGCTGCTCAGCTGGCAGTAACGCGACGCCTGTGCGCCTTTCTGCTGGGCGAAACGGACGACTTGAATCCCAACGAGTTTGCGCGGCTGGTACAAGGTGTTGGGCGACTCAAAGCGTGGGACCTGGCGATGCCGCAGGCGCATGAAGGGGCAGTTCACCTCGACACCCACGAAGCTGCGTCTGCTCCTATGGAGGTGGCCGTTGACTTTCCGCGTGTCTTCGGTGTGATGTTTGAACGTGCCGACCCGCACAGCCGCTGCGTGCTGCTCAGGGCTCTCGCTAGCGACCCGCCCGTCTTCCACCGCTTCGAGGCCGTTGTCCTTCGTGTGCTTCAGCACGACATCGCGTTATTATCCGCAGAGGATTTGGAAACGGTGCTGATGGCCGCCTTGCAGGTGCGGAACGCGGTAGCGGTGGAACCGTTGCTGGACGCCGTGGGAACACGCCTGCTGCCCATGATGGACCAGTGCCGCCGCAGCACTCTTGTGCGGCTCTTGCAGTGCTACTCCGCCTTTCACATCGACGACACGGCGGTGACGCTGGCGGTCCTCGGCGCCCTCGAACGGCAGTTCTCCGTGGAGGTGAAACTCGACGCGGCGCAGGTCATTATCGTTCTGGAGGCGATTGCGCAACTGCCGGCGTCTGCCACGCCGGAGCGGCTGGCCGTGTTGTGCTTCCAACGGTTGGAAAAGGTGGTGCAGGCGCTCTCGCCGCTCCAGCTGTACCAGACCGGGCGGCTCATCCTTGACCTGGAGATGGGCTACACGTCCTCCATCCACAAGCTTGTCACTCACATCCTGGAGAGCCGAGATGGGCCGCGCGGGCAGCGCGATTTCCAACGCGTGGCGGAGGCGCTATGCGACGTCTTTGACGTTGAGGTGAACGCCCAGTTGAGGGCGTCGCGGCTGCGCAAACGACGGCAGAGGGAACGCATTCGCGACTTCTACGCCGTGCAACGAAAGCTAGCACAGGCGGCGTAGTTGCTCTTCGGCGTGGGAGGGAACGGAGGAGGAAGAAAGAGACAGGCAGCCATGAGGAATGCAGGAGGGGCAGCTTCACACGTGAAGAACGGCGTTGGGTGCAAAAGAAACGACAGCCTGACGCGTTCCGCTATATTCGTCACAGACTTCTGACACAATAACTGTATAAAAAAAAAGAAATTGTAAACCGAAAAAGCTGATGATGTCATTGTTTCTTCCCAAGCAATCAAAAAAAAATTGTTTTGTTTGGCTCTTCTCGACGGGGTTATCACGCCTCGCGTGCATGGAGGATTCACTTTACTGGCCTGGGCACTGTTCCGCAGCTGTGGTTTCGCAGAGCTATCACGTTTGTGAAACGTGTGAGCGAAGCGCAACAGAATTACGTTACCGCTGCGATGCAGCGATCCAACTAATAATCTGTGTTTTTATTTCTGGTCACTACTCTGCCCGTTTCTCGGTTTTATTCTCGTGCGGAAGCGCTTCGGCGAGTAGTCCACAACGACCCCTCTTCTTCTCCGTCACAGGCGACACATCATTCGTCTTGTAGCTGAATTTTTTGCGTGTTTTGGTCTCGCTTGCCCTCTTTTGCATTACGGCGAAGGACAGTCAGAACAAAAACAGTATCAATGGCGAGTTCATCCACACAAGTGAAGTCTCTGACGGAGGAAGATGTTCGCACCGCGTCGAAGCAGTACGACGTCATGTTCATCTTCCAAGCCAGTCTTCCTCGCCAGGGACTGTACCAGATCGATCCTAGCGCTTTCTTGCGCTGTCAGTCGCTTCAGGTGGTCGATCTGTCGGGAAACAAGCTCACCACTCTAGTTGGCTTAGAACCCGTTGCGGCGCAGCTAACCTTTCTCAACGCTGCGGAAAACAGCATAATTGATCTCGCAGCTCTCGTCCAATGCACTGCGTTAGAATACTGCCATCTCGAAGGAAACGAGCTGGGCTCTGTTGCCGCCCTGCAAGTGCTCGTCTCTTTGCCGCGCCTGGTGGAGCTTGTCCTGCAGCGGACGGTGCCGCTTGCCCTGTCAGATCCGCATGACACTCTGTTACTCGATAACCCTGTGTGCCGGAACAGAGAATTGTATGAAACTGGTTTCTTAAGGCAGGTGTCCCACATTCGGTGGGTGGACGGCGTGCCGAGCTTTCTGCGGTGCAAGCTGCTGGCGTCCGCAGAGAGTCGAGGCGACAGCGAGGCTGGCAATGAGACGTCGAACGAAGCGCTGTTGGCCTCGGCCGCTGCGTCTCATGAGACGACGTTGCGGAACATGATGGCTGACAACCTCGAGGAGGCCAAGCTACGGGAGGTGCTGGCCGAAGCGGCCAAAAAGTGCACAAAGGCTTCTCAGGCGTAGATCCAAGGGCTGTTCTGCTTGGCGGGGAGAGAGACGGATATGCGGCTTTTTCGACTATCCGTATTGCATCTCTTATGTACAATTCCATATATTAAAGACCCCCCCCCCCCAAAAGAATAACGGCCACTTTATTTCAGATGCAGTCGCTACGTAACCTCTGTTTGTAACTCAGGATAATAGTAATCACACTCTGACCAAAGGGCATCCGTTCGGGAGGTTCTTGATGGCAGTTTGTAGCGCACCAATCCATCCTTTGGGCGGCTCTTTCCTTCCCCTGTGTTCGTGAATTCAATGGCGTTTTTACATGCTATCTCGTCCCTCGTTGCACTTATCGACCAGTTTTTTTTGTGAACGTTTTCATCCGTGTTCCGTTCCAATCACCCCAAAAATTACCTTCATCTATCATCGCTCTTCTGCACTGGGTGGAAGGAAGAGAGAAGTGCAACGACCAGCTGGAACTAATTCTCTTTTCATTCTCACCGAACCGGCAGCGGCAATACGCGGGTCGTTATGAGTTCGTCCGACGCCATTGAGGAGGACGACTACGTCTTCATCAACGGAGGGGGCTGTAAAAAGATTGTGCAAATTAAAAAAGATGTGAAGGTGCGTCTCGGGCGGTCGGGGGCGGCACTTGCCACCACACTCATCGGCATGCGCTACGGCGGCGTGTGCAACCTCGATCACGGAGGACAGCGCTTCATTGAAACGCACGAGTACCCTGATCTCGACATCACCGAAGTCGGCGAGGCCGAGGAGGTGAAGGATAATCGAGACTTAATCGACGACAACACGAACCAGCAGCTGTCGAACGCCGAGGTCGCGGCCATTCGCCGCGAAAAGGGACTAGGCGAGCTGCTGCAGACGCTGAAGGAGAAGAGTGCGAGTTTCGGCACCAAGACAAATTTTGCACAGGAGAAATATCTGAAAAAGAAGCAGAAGAAGTACGGCACGCTTTTCAAGCTGGAGCGGGTGGCGGTGGACAACTTGGCCGAGTTGCACCTCCCCACCATCCACCCATCCGATAACACACCGGACGACGCGCGGTGCATTCGACTGCGCGCCGACGCGCTAGCACTCATTCTGCATCACAGCGACGTCCACCACAACAGTCGCGTTCTCACGTACGAGCGCACCAACGGCGTGCTACCGGCCAGCCTTCTTACTCGCATGGGGAAGGAGGGCCGTCTTTTTCAACTTCTCGACAAGAACGCACAGCCGGACCCGACAACGGCGATCAAGGTGTTCAAGCTGCCGGAGGTGAAGGAGCGCTGGAAGGCGGTGCCGCGCAACCCGGGTTTCCTGGAAGGCATAGAAGTGTGCGAGAAACTGGCGAAGGCGTCTGGTGAAGAGCAGGGCTGCGGCGCTGTCGACTTGTCCGAGCGTCCCCCGCGAAGTCATGTCAGTGCTGGTGTAACGCAGTGGATGAAGGGACTCGAGGCGCGGGAGACGCTCCTGGCGCAGCCCGCTGATTCCCTCGTGGTCTGCGACGATGACGCGCCGCAGCGGGCCGTGACCGATCTCTTGCCCTTCCTCGCGAATGGTGGCCATATTGTGGTGTACAGCCCGTTTCTCGAGGACCTCACGGGGCTATTCTTAGAGCTGCGGAAGGACTGCGTCAACATTCAGATCTCGGACACGTGGTACCGCCATCATCAGGTGCTGCCGAAGCGCACGCACCCGACGGTAAACATGAGCACCGCGGGCGGTTACTTGCTCACAGCCATCAAAGTGGGGCAAAACGCCGCTTCGTCCTTGGTACCGTCGAGTCGACTTGTCGCTTCACCCAGCCCCGCCCCAACGGACGACTTCAGCGCATCCGTCGATGACACCCGTAAACGCTCGCACGAAGCCGATGAAGAGGGGGAGCTACAGACGCCGGAGTCGCCACAGAAGCATGCAAAGCTGGATGAGCCTTCCACCACCACAGAGTCGACGGACGGCGTGCAGTGAAGTTGTTTCTCAGCCGGCTCTGTGCCCGTTGGCTTGGAATAACTGTTGTGAGGTCGCTTAGTCGCGTTTAAGTGGTGCGTAAGAAGAAAAAAAACAACTACAGCATACCGGGCCTGTTTCCCTCCCCTTACATCCGTGCTCGGGTGTACCTCATGCCATTGCCGCCGCCCTTTGGCTACCGAACAAAAACGCTAACACAAGGCTCCATGGGTTTTTTGTCCTTCTCTGAAATTGAAGTAAAACGCAGCTTTTGACCTTTTACTATCTATTTGCGAATTGAGAACAAAAACCAAAGATTAAGGTTTCTAGCTACTCCCTACACGTGCGACGATCACAGTCCAATTTCTTCTCTCTCTTGCTGTCCAATCCCTTACCCACTACACACTCGTACACATACACACAAGCCTTTTTCTGCGTAACAGTTCAACCCTCTTCCCTTCAGCTTTTGCATTTACACACCAACCGATTTTCTCCTCCTCTACTTCAATCATGATCTACGATACCAACTCCGCCCAGTACCAGCAGTTCCTTAGGTCCAGCGGCCGCCGTCGCGATGACTATGGCAAGTCCAAGACGGCCATCGTGAATAAGCAGACCGCCAAGCCGGCGGGTGCGGCCAGCACGGGTTTGTAGTGAGGGAGAAATGACAAGTTGCGAACGAGAAGAGTAACTCTGCGCACGTGCACCGAGCTGGCGGGGTTTCACTTCTTTTCAAAGGAGCTCGGGAGGGCACACTCAATAGCCCTTTTTTTTGTCGCATGACGAGCGTGCCCTCACGTCAGCGTTGCCTCTCCTCCGTCCGCACGCGTTCAGCTTTCGTTTCGTAGGTAAAAGATCTAACTGTAATTATTCGTAAACGAAAAAATAACGGTGAAACGGGTGATTTTTGAGTATGTGGTGATTTTCGCAGTTACTTGAGGCTTTCTGTTCGTTTGGCTGTGAGTGCGGAAAAGTCTGATGTCAAGAAAAGCAGCTCAACGTTTGTGTTCATGGACGTTTCTGTTTTTTTTTTTACTGTTATGGTGCTTTTTCTGAAATACGTTTCGCGGATAAGAGTAAGGGAGAAAAGAATAGAATCTGTCACTATGCAAGATAGCAATAGCATTGTGTTCTCTGTTGTTTCGGCAATAAGTTTTTCGGCGCCCCTGCCGAAGTCTCCACAGCGTTGATGATGAAGGCAGACGTAGAGCTGTACTTTTGCCGTGAAGCTGTGTGACGGACCTGAGAATCTCGCAGCCTTATGCGAATGCGTAGCACAATACTGCTCGAAAGTAAGTGTCGTTACTCTTCTAGAGGATTCAAGATAGAAACAGTGTTTCAGCTTGTTACGCGAAAGTGTTTTAGTTATGAATATATATGTGAGGCTTTCGATACGCACTTCTTCAACTTTGCTTTCGCCGTCTTCTCTTTTTCTTCTCCCGATTGTACATCATCCCTAGATTATTTGCGGTGCAAACACGAGTCTCTTTTGACCCTTGTCTGCTCCCATCATATACATTCACTGTTTTTTCTACACACGGTCCCGTCTTTCCCGCTTTATTCTTTTTTTTCCTGGTTAAGATGAAGCGCTTCTTCAACTCCTTTTACGGTCGCACCGGTATGATCCCCGATGCCGGGCAACGGAGTGTGGCCAGTCGGGTCTCGGCACTGGTGCTGGAAGGCATCGTCGTCTTCACCGCACTCGGTACCTTAGGCGTCGACACCTCTCCCCTGGTTGCAGCGGCGGGCATCACCGGCGCGACGATCGGCTTTGCGTGCAAAGACTTTGGTGCGAACTTTGTCGCCAGCATCGCGCTCTCCGGACAGCAGGCGCTGCGCACCGGCAATAAGGTGAGCATCGGCGTGGGCAGCAGCACGGTGACCGGCACCGTCGTCGACTGGGACACGCGGTACTTGTACCTGCGCAACGACGAGCAGGCGGTGGTGTGCGTGCCCAACAACGTCATTCTGAACTCGGTCGTGGTGTGGAAGGATGTGCAACCGAGCGCGAAGATTACAAACAGCGAGGCGTCGCTGATGAAAGACAACAAGGAATGGAAGGCGGCCGCCAGCGGTGCGGACTCAACGAAAAAGTAGCGGTGCTGCTCTTTGCTTCTTTGATGCGTACTCTTCGGGGCGCCATAGCCTCCGCGTCTCTTGCACGACTACTTTTATTTGTCCACACTTCCTTTGTCCGTGTTTCTTTTTCTCCTTTCTTTTTTTTTTACATACTTATCGCTCTGTGGAATTCGAACAGCGTCATTTCTGTGTCTTGTGTGCGTTCTGCTTTTGTTTGTTTTGTTGTCTTTTTCGAGTTTTGTTTTGTTTTTGCTCTATACCTCTCGCTTTCCGCGTACGACGGAGATCTTGGACTGAAATGAACGTTTGTGTTCTGCGGGGCGTTGAAGGGGTACGTAGCTCACTCCTCCTTGACACGGAAGCATGTGATGAGCGTGGCCAATGGTCACTTTAAGAAAGCGATATGTCTGTGGCGCGACTTGATCCCCAAGAGGATGCGCCGCGTGCTTTCCCCTCTCTTTCTGTGTGTGTGTGTGTGTGTGTGATCTGGCCCGAGCAAACAGTCTATTTTCTGTTCCCCTCCTCTTTCTCTTTTTTGGCGTAATCCTCCGTTGCACGCGAGCGAGTTTCGGCCGCTTCGTTTTTTTTTCGTTCTGTCTTGTTTTTGATGTTGTGCCGCCTCCAATTCTCTCCACAGTTGTGTGTCGCCTCGACGATCGGCACGAAAGGTGACGGCACTCATATTCACACTCACAGCGGCTCCGTAAAAGAAAGAAAAAAAAACTTGTTTTTCTCTAGAAATTTAATGGCTGCACATGTCCACCGCCACCACGCCGGTTGAGCTCGTTACGGTGGGCAGAGTGCCTGCACGAGAGAGGGGACTGTTCACTGGCGTCGCGCCTTCCGTGGTAGAGGTCTTTCCTAGCGTTTTCCTCATCGCCAGCATCGTTCGCACGAAGAACCAGTGTATTTTGGAGCTTGTCCAGCCTGCTGGGAAGAGTGCTGCTGCGACCAATACAACCACGGTTTCGCCTGCTCTCAATAGCTTCAAGACCAACTCATCACGAGTGTCTCCATCGTCTTCTTCGTTGCCAGAGGTGCAACGCCGCCTCTGTGAGGCCGACGGCGTTCCCCGAGGACCTACACACCCGACCTCTGTGGCGGTACCCTTCGCGCTCAAAGCCGGATTTCGTGTTCCGCGAGTTATTCACCTCGTGGCGGAGGACGAAGGCGTCATTGAAACCGTCACCCTCGTGCGCGATCCACTCGGGGCAGCCTTCGTCGCGGCGCTGGAAGAGGAGGACCGCGCCACATCCGTGAACCCGCTGCGCGACACCGCCGCCGCTGGTGCTGCGTCGTCGATCCCGTCCGTCCACCTCGTCCACATTCACTTTTTTATTGGCACGTCGAACGGCACCGTCATCGTGGGCAACGCGCTGCGGGGAACAATCCTCGCCGTCGCACAGTTCCAGTACCACCACCTCTTCTCCAGAGAGGCTCGCGGCGGCCGTAGCACCACCACCTCTACAGCTCCACTGGACGGAGGCACAAGCGATGGGGAGGCGGAGGGGGCCCAGGGTGATAGCAAGAGGTCCCTAAACAACCAAGCGGTCGTGAAGTTTGTGGTGCGCGAGAAGCGAGAGGAGCAACTGTGGAATCCGTCGCTGCCCTTCTCACAGGAGAATAACATTTTCGTTAGTCAAGACGGGTCCGTTCTGTCCAAGAAGGCTGCTGCTGCCGATGCCGCATCACCTACTGTTGGGTCCCGTGTGGCCTCCGTCTACGTTGTGCACAGCGGTGGAAAGGTGGTGGAACTGACCCGCGCGGCGTTGGACGCGTTTGTGCGGTCGTCGGTAGACCGCCTCGACGGCCGCCGCCCTCACTTGATTCTGGAGTGGGACGCGGACACGTCCGCCAGCTCCTTCCCTGTCGCCGGGCCCGCTAGCGACTTTGCGGCCCACATCGGCCATATTTTTGTGTTGGAGCCCCCGTCCTCTAATTCCCCTATCGAAGAGCACACCGCAACGAGCAAGTCGGCTTCCCCGCAGTCCACGCTCTTCTCCATACGCGACGCCGATATCTTGACAGAGATGCCGGAGGCGACGGCGCTGCTCGCCCCGTTAGAAGCACAGCGACGCCCGTTCGAGTCGCTTTTAATAGGCGGCAGCAGCCCACTCTTTTCCTTTTACCGACTCCAACCGCATTCCTCTGGCTTTTCTGCTTCCAACGCGGTCAAGGCAGTGAAGAACATGGTGACAGGCGTGGCGCGCACATTGTGGTTCAGCGCGTTGGGCACCACAAGTCCAATCGAGCGTCCCCCGCACCTGAAGAAGATTCCGACGCCCGATACACGACGGTTTCTGCAGGCAGATGCGAAGTGTGTCGCGCTGCAAATTGACCCCTCTCAGCAGTACGCCGTCTTCGCCGTTGAGGGCGGTGGACGCATATACGTGGCGGAGGTGCAAACGGGCGTCATCAGCGGTGTTCTGAAAGGATGTCGCGCCGCGCAGTTTACGTGGTGGTGGGTGGACAGTGCAGCGGGCAGACCGGCGCTGTTGCTGATCGTCTACCTGCCGTTGCGTCGCGCCGTGGAGGTGTACACGCCGCGGACGTGGGAGCGCCTGGCAGCGTGTCACGTGCCGGAGGGCTGCGTTCTTCTTCGCACTTGTGGCGTCCCGAGGGAGCGCTGTGATGATGCGGGGGCGAGCAGAGGCCTTCTGAGCGGCGGCAAGCTGGCGCCGAGCGTCTGCAGCGGGTGTGGCAGCGATGCCCTCTTGATGGACCCCGCAGGCACCGTGTACGCGATTCGTGTTGGCTGGGTGCTGAAGGACATCGTTGGAAATGCTTCGTTTTTACAGCCCATGCCGTCCCTCTCCGCTGGCGAGGCCACTACCACTTCCACGTCAGCAAGCGATGAGGCGGCGCTGCTGAGCTCTTCGGTGCTGCGCGCGTGTCAAACCCCCGATGACTTCGTGGAACTGGCGCTGCAACTCCCGTTGCCGCAGCCGCGTGTGGTGTGGGAAGACAGCGTCGCGCCAACTTCTCCGGCAGAAGACGGTTCTTCCTCTGGAGATACGGCGGCGGTGGTGAAAGCCTATGCGGTGAAGGGCGGCGACGAGGTACGGCAGTACAGTAAATCTTTGGAGCTTCTCTGCCATACGGTGCAACGCCGCTTCGCGCCCGGCTACGCGGAGATCTTCGTGGCGGCGATGCCATGCACACCACAGCTGGTGTTGGAAGGCTCGGCAGCTGCTGTGCCCCACAACATGACTGCTGCGCAATGCTTACACTACGTGCGCACCTACCGCTCCCTCACGGAGAACTATTATCGACTGCTGTCCTGTCGACGGGTGGCACCGTCGCGCTACTTCGACCCGGCGCAGTGGACGTCCGGCCTCATCACACCCGAGTTGTGGAAGGAGACCTTTTCCACAGCCGACAGCGCCGCCACGGTCGCCTTTGTGCGGCACATGGAGGAGCGCATGGAGGCCCTTCTGGCCGCCTTTCCCGCGGAGCTGCATGTCTTTAAGAAGTACTTCGCCGCGCACTTATACCAGGTGTTGCGCAAGGTGCCATCTCTCACCACAGCGGCGGCGTCAGCTACGCCGTGCGCGTTGGCTGATCCTGCCTCCTTCATGCCGCTCGCCACCTTCCTCCATTGCTTTTACTGCGGCACAACCCGTCCGTCGTTTCTCTGCGACGCCATCGAAGCCGCTGAGGACGCCGACGGCAGTATCAACTTCCTCGGCCCCTTCTCCGATCTGGCCTTTGGGAAACTCGGCCTCAACAGTTTCTTTGCGCAGCTCCCCGTTCTCACCGAGCTGGGTTGCACCGACGGTGACGTGGCCGTCCTTACGGTCACCTGGATCTCCCGCCAAGGCGGCCGCAACCTGTGCTCGCTGCTCTCGAGCACCACCGTGGGACTCCTCGTCGCGATCCTTCTGAGCTTCTCCGACGGCGATTTTCTCTTCGCACTGGATCGGGCGCCTATCCCATTCATCTCGGTCGATGGGGATATTGCGACGAACACCGCGGCGAACAGCATCACGAGTCTGCTGTGGTGCTGTGCCGTTCGATGCGCGCTTCGGCCGAGCACGTCCTTCATCACCGGGCAACACTTCACTCGTCGCGTGCGACAGCTCCTTCAGTTGTGGTACTCACTGACGAAGGGTGTTGCCCCTCCTGCAGCTGCGTCCGCACCGGCTTCAGATCCGATCAGCAGTCCTTGCACCGACGCACGCATTGCCTTTTCGCTACGCCTCGGCAGCGTGGAGCCGCCGTCGTTGCCGCTGACATCAACGGCCAGCGTTGCCGCTTCTGCTGCCGACAGCAGCGGACTTCGCAGTCGTGCGGTGCAAACAGAGGGCGATGCGTTCGAGGTGTATCTGCAGCGCAACGGCATCTCCGTCTCCCTTCTGGACGACTACGTCATTCCGCGTGCCGACGCAGACGCCGAGGCCGTGCGTAACCTGCCGCTTTTTTACACTTTTATCTCCTCCCTCGGCGCAACGGAGAACGTGCGCAGCCGCAGCAGCGGCGCCTGCGACAGCCCGGACGTTGTAGAGTCCCTTCCATGGATCGATAGCCACAAGTGGGATCAGGAGCGCTTCCGTAATGACGTCACCAAGCCGCTAGAGAACCTGTGGTTGCAACTGACAAGCTCGGCAACTGGCAAAAGCAAAAGCCGCAGCCTCAAGACAACGTTGCGAGGAGCAGCGGCGGACGATGAAAGCCGTCAATCCGTGTACACATCCTGCCTGCTGCTCGTGGCGATGAGTGTGCTGGAGCACGCCACTCGCCCTCTCACGGACGTGGCCTTCTTCTTTTGGGACAACAACGCCATCCCAGACGGCAACCTGTTCCCTGTGGACGGCGCCCCAGAAGGTCTCATCCTGTTCGGCAGCCGCACATCGCGCGAGTACCTGAAGAGTGTTCAGAAGCTGGCAGCGCTTATTGAGAGCATGCTCCAGCAAGCCGTCGCGCCCCTGGGGAACGCAGATCGTGTGCGGCTTATTCAGCAGATCAACATGGCACTCTCCGAGGACGACGCGTTGCTCTTCCCCCTCGTGCCGAGCTTTCTGCGTACGCGACTCACGATTTTGATGCAAGTGCTCGCACAGGCCCCGCACGCGCCGTTGCGGCGCGTTCAACGCGTGAGCCGGCTGGTGTCTCTGCTTCTCTTTTTTTCCGAAGCCTCCGCCTTAACGATGGGCGGGGTGGCGCTTACGCAGCTCCAGTCGCAGATGGCCGTTCCGTGGAAGGAGCTGATCGGTGGCGCGAACCGCCGTGACCAGCTGCGTCTGCTGCCCGACGTCTTCATCGCCGAGGTCAACCTCCCTTCTCCGTCACAACCGGCGCTGGCGCAAGGCGCAGGGCTTGCGCTCTCCGCCTACGCCATGGAGGATGAGCAACCGACGAGCGCACCCTTGGACGTGGGCGTGGCAGTGGCAGTGATGCGGCGCTTTCTCGTAGCGGGCAGTGTCCTCTACGGCCAGCAACGCGGTAATCTGCCCTCTCCGTCCTCTGCTCCTGCTGCGGCTGCGGCTGTATTCACACCGACGCCGTATCTCGGTTTAGTGGCGGACGACACACGGCAATGCCTCACCCGACTGGCGCACTGCCTCGGATTGCACGAGGCATGGTCTGACGTGGCTGATATCGTTCTCATGGACTACGAGATCAAACACCTCTTTCCTGTCGCGGCGATTGAGCAGGAGATGCTGCTGCTCTCCACCAAGTCGGCCGCGCCGCGCATTGGGGTGTCGCTGCTGCAGTGCTACCTAGTGCAGGTCCTTCAGCACGTGACGACGCAGCGGAAGGGTCACAGGCAGCGCGGCGACCGGGCGGCGTTCGAGGTGTCTTCGGACAACCTTCGTCGGCTGGTCGACGCGCTCTCGGCAGAGAGTCGCGCGTGGCTGCAGCAGCGAGAGACAGAGATGATGGCAGCCGACACAGAAGGGAAGGCAGCCGGAACGGAAATGAGTCACACCAGACTTTCTTCTCCTGGTTCCTCTACAGGCGTGATAGCATCGGCGGACTCGTTGCCGATGGGCGATGCAGGTTGGGTGACGGTGACGGAGTTTGAGGATATGCGACGTCTTGTCCTCTCCACGCTTGGGCTCCCGAAGGGCACGCCGGAGCGGAAAAACTTTTTCCAAGTCCTCTTCACGCTGTCTCAGTGGGCGTGTGAAGGGCGTCTCACGCTGCCGGCGCCTCTCCAGCGTATTGCGCGCGAGCTGCCCCAGGTAGTGGAAAAGTGGGAGAAGATCGTGTAAGGACGAACGACGACGTCCTAACGAGTTCAATCCGGTATCAAAATGCACTTCTTTTACGATGGCGGAATTCGTGCACCATGGCGCCAGCATTGTTCAAATAATAATAATAGAACACAAGAAACGTTAATCTGGCGTTTGTCTTGTTTTCATTCCTCGGACTGTTTCCTCGGAGGTGTCTGTCATATTATCAGCTCAGTAGCGAGGAGTAGCTTCGGCATCGGTAAGAATAGAGAGTTCCCCCCCCCTCTCCTCTGTTTGTCTTTCTGAATTTTGGCTGAACTATCCGTGTATGTGTTCCTTCAACGTTCTTCCTCTGCTGTTCTTTTGTTGTCTCTCATCTCCATTCTTGTGTGTGCGTGCGTGTGTTGTTCGATTGATTCCTCGCAGCACGCCGAATACACAAATGCACGATTTTCTCGCCAGTACCACGCGGAAGCACCTGCTGCGCGAGGAAACGATTGGCGCCACTCGCCGCGTAGTGGACCTCGCGCGTGGAAGTGAAGCGGGCCCGCACAGCACTTCCGCACCACCTCGACCGGTTGTCTCTCTCAAAACACTCTACACCGATTTTGAGGTGCGAGAGCTCCCTGCATTTTACGGCAACGGTACCCCTCTCCGACTGGAGCTGGAGAGCAACGGCAGCGACCGCTGCGGTGGCGGAGTAAAGACGGATCAGTCGGAGCACGCCGCAACAACGCAGCAGTCGGATACGCCCGGTGACGGGAAGCGGAGCCGCGAGGTCAACGAGGACGATGATGAGAGGAAGACCTCCACTGTAACTGCAGCGCAGCCGCCTTCGTCAGTCCCTCCCGGCTCTTCGTCTAACTCTGTCGCGGACACCATCGGACCGCTTGTCAGCCCGAACGACCTCGCGGCCCTCCTCGCCGGACTGGCCGAGGAGGCAAAGTCGATCCCACTTCCCAGTGTTACGGACAAGGAAAGGAGAGGACAGCTTCACGCCGCCATCAAGGCTTGCCTCGGTGCTACACACGTGAGCAACACGGTGGACGGCGTTGTCTGCGTGGTACGGGCGAACGCGACGGATCGGCGCGAAGCGCGGCGTCGCTCTCGCGCGCAACGGCCGCCGCCGGTGTACCACCATTTTACCTTGTACAAGGAAAACACCGACAGCAACCAAGCGCTACGGATGATCGCGGCTCATTTGAAGCTGTCCAGCCGCCAAGTGCAGTTTTGCGGCACAAAGGACAAGCGCGCCGTCACGCTTCAACGCGTGGCGATTCGCGAAACGACGGTGGAGAGGCTCAAGTCAATCAATGCGCGCACCTTTGGCTTGCACAACGTTATTAAGGTGTGCGGCTTTACGCAGGAAGACCACGGCTTACGTCTCGGTGACGCTAAGGGGAACCACTTTCGGATTGCGCTGCGTGTGTTTCCCAATCACGATGCTGATGCGTCGGGGTGTGCTGCGTACGAGTCCGCTGAGCCTTCCGCAGCTCTCACGGCAGATTACTTGCAGGAAGTAGAAAACGTGGTGCAGAGGTACGGCGTGGTCAACTACTTTGGCCCGCAGCGTTTCGGCACGACAGACGTGCTGACGAGCGATGTCGGCATCCAGTTCTTGCGCGGTAACCTCCTCGAAGGTCTACGGCTCCTGCTTGCGTCAAAGGCCACCATTGTTCCTGAGATGGCGAAAGTGGTGGAGCTGTTTCAGGCTGGCAACTACACTGAAGCATTGCAGAGGGCGCCTTACTACTGCTACCAGGAGCGCGACGTCCTCAAGCACCTCAGCGCCAACCCGAATGATTACCTGGGTGCCCTGCGGTCCATGGCGCGTACCATGGCGATGATGTACTTCCACGCGGTGCAGAGTTTGGTGTGGAACCGAATGGCCTCGGCACGCCTGTCGGGCCCAGAGCGCATCCACGCGGAGGTCGGTGACCTTGTGTTGGAGTCCACGTACGAAGCACGACTCAGCGGAAAAGAAGACGATGGCGCCGGCACTGCAATCACGGCAGCGGATGACGATGCTGCGGCTGGTGATTTGAAGATGCCGACGGTTCGCAAGCTCACCTCGGAGGAGGAGTGCTCTCGCTTCACACTTGCCGACGTCCTGCTGCCCGTTCCAGGGCCGGATCAGGGGCTCGTCTACCCAGAAGCCTCTGGTTGCTCTCGCGCAGACTACGAGAAAGTATTGCAAGAGCTGGGCATCGACTTCCAGGGCAAGGAGGCGCTGTCGCTGATCAAAGTGTTTCACTTTTACGGCACCTACCGTGCACTTGGTGTACGGCCGAAAGACTTCGAGCTCCGTCTGCAGACAGCTGCCAGCTGGCGTACACCAGTGCTGCGCTCTGACTGGGAGTTGTTCTGCGCTCAGCAGCCGCACACCGAGCTGCCGTCGTCAACCAATGCGACGGCGGAAGTTGTCGCGTCAGAGCCGAAAGGTGTGGTACAGGTGTTGGTGGCTGCCTTCTCGCTGCCACCTGGGAGTTACGCGACAAGTGTGCTGAGGGAGTTTTGTATTCCCTCCGCCGACGCGTTTCCCAGCAGCGAAGCGGCCCAAGATGCTTGACAATGGGTTTAGGTGCATTATTTGTCGAAGCGTTTAATGGTAATGTGCAGTTTTTTTTTTTGCTGCTATAGTATTTGGTGATGCTGTGGTGATTAAGCCACACTTACAGGCAAGCAAGGAGCGAATCACAAAACAAATTAATTCAAACGCTCCGTTTTTGGGGCGGTAGAGCATCTTTTTTCCCCGGGTGCTTCTCTTCTCTACGTCATCTGCACACAGTTGATTTCTCGCGTCGTTGCCGGTGGCGCGGTTGCCGCGTTCCTATTAGTGGTATTCTCGTCCTTCTTCGCTACTTCCTCTCTTTGTCTTGATGTGGTACATTTTCTTTGTTCTTCTGCGTTCTCCGCGTGCTGCTCGTTTTCAAGACGCGACTTTACCTTTTGACACCTATCGTAGCACTTGCTAAAAAAAAAAACCCGGTAGAGGAATAAAACTACAACGTGACGTTTCCAAGCACACCGAAGGAATGGCTGGCGAAGCTCGTCAGCTTCGACACCACCTGCACCACTCAATCGAACCTGCCGCTTGCCTACTACGCCCGTGACTACCTCGAGTCCCTCGGGCAGAAGCCGAAGATCGTCTACAGCCCCGACAAGAAGAAAGGCCACCTCTTCTGCACCCTGCCCGGTGCGAATGGCGCGACCAACGGTGGTATCATTCTTTCTGGTCACACCGACGTCGTCTCCGTAGTGGGGCAAAAGTGGGACACGGACCCGTGGACTCTGACGGAGAAGGAGGGCAGGCTCTACGGCCGTGGTGCCTCCGACATGAAGGGCTTCCTTGCCGTGACGTTATCACTTCTCCCGACGTTTCTGTCTGTGAAGCGCGCCAAGCCCATTCACATTTGATTTTCTTACGACGAAGAAATGGGGTGTACCGGCATCCCGTCGCTGATTGACTACATGAAGAAGAACAACGTGAAAGCGGACGTGTGCCTCGTCGGCGACGGCAACTACGCGCTGCGGACGGGTAACAAAGGCCACTCACAGTGGAGGTGCACGGTGAAGGGCAAAGCAATCCATTCCTCCATGGCGCTGATGGGCACCAGCTGCAACGCCATCGAATACGCCGCGATGATCATTACAACGGTGCGGGAGATGGCGAAGGAACTTAAGGCACACGACGCACGCGACCATCACTACCGCTGTCCCTATTCCGCCATGTCGACGAATCTTATCCAAGGTGGCAACGCCGTGAACACGGTGCCGGCCGAGTTTGTGTTTGAGTTCAGCCTGCGCGTGTGGAATTCGAAGGTGCTGGGCCGCATGGACGCGCGTATTCGTCAGTACATCAACGAGGTGGTGGTGCCGGAGATGCGCAAGGAGTACGCGGAGGCGGCGGTGGAACTGGACACCTACAATACGTGTCCTGGCTTCAATGCTGATGAGTCTGCACCTTTTACCAAGCTGGCGAGGCGGGTCATGGGCACGGACCAGATAGTAAAGAGTGACGGTACCACGGAGGCAGGATACTTTCAGGAACGTTTGGGTGTACCGACAGTGATTATCGGCGCCGGCACTGCACGCGCGCACGAGGCGAACGAGTACACGTCGGTGGAAAACCTGATGAACTCGCACCGCGTCACGCTTCAGCTGGTGACCCTCTGCACCGAAACTGACAACCCGTTCGAATCGCATCTGTGATAAGCGGAGTACTGGGTCAAATCTCCTCTGTTTGGCTTTGCGGAGCCGTGCGGGCCTTATCGAAAGACTTTTTTTTAGTGCTATTTTCCCTTACTCAATCACATAGCTATAACTATCTTTTTTTTTTCCTTCTAACTCTGAACGTTTATTTGTATTTGTTGTAGAGTCTTTTTAATGAATTGGACAAAAAACTATTAAATGTTCATCGAGGTGGCGTGCGCAGTTATCGTGGCAAAAAGGTAGCGTTTTTTTTCTTTCTATTCCCCTTCTTCTCTACGGCCGATATGAGGCGTTTCGACCTCGTCGTGCATTCCTTATCGTGTTTTCGTTCTTTTCCGGTTGATTCCTTTGCATGAGCACCTGCGCACAATCGCCAATTAGTATCGTTATTAAAGCTATCTTCATTTGTTTACTGGTGCGAATTGCGTATTTCAACGCTACTCTTTTCTTGGAGGGGCTGTGACTGTTACACTTTTGTCTCGCTTTGAACACTTCGTTGTGTGAGGTGATCAAAGCGAGTTTATGCGAGTGTCGATGTCGCTCTCGCTGTTTCCTCTGGCCTTTCTCCTTCAGACACCTCGTCACACTCGATTCGTCCCCTTATCGCCCTACCACCTATCATCGCTCCCCTAGTTCGCAAAAAGACTTCTCCATCTATATTTCTCTCAACGTAATGGTTTTCCCAAACGGTCCGAAGGAGTGGCTGGCGAAGCTCGTCAGCTTCGACACCACCTGCACCCAATCGAATCTGGCGATCATTTACTACCTCCGTGACTACCTGACGTCCATCGGGCAGAAGCCGCAGATTGTCTACAGTCCAGATAAAAACAAAGCCCACCTGCTTTGCACGCTGCCCGGTGTGAATGGCTCGACCAACGGCGGTATCATTCTTTCTGGTCACACCGACGTCGTCTCCGTAGTGGGGCAGAAGTGGGACTCCGATCCGTGGACGCTGACGGAGAGAGACGGCAAGCTGTACGGACGCGGCACGGCAGACATGAAGGGCTTCCTTGCCGTGGTGCTGGCTCTTGTGCCGACATTCTTGTCCATGAAGCGCGCCAAGCCGATTCACCTCGCCTTCTCTTATGACGAAGAGCTCGGCTGCATCGGCATCCCGGTGCTGGTTGACTACATGAAGGAGAAGAAGATTACGGCTGATGCATGCCTCGTCGGCGATGGACGCCTTGAAGTCTGCACCGGCAATAAGGGTCATCGTGTGTGGCGTTGCACGGTGAAGGGCAAAGCAATTCATTCCTCCATGGCGCTGATGGGCACCAGCTGCAACGCCATCGAATACGCCGCGATGATAATCACGAAGATCCGTGAAATTGCGAAGGAGGTTCGTGACAACGATGTTCACGACACGAGCTACGGTTGCCCCTTCTCGCCCATGTCGACGAATCTTATCCAAGGTGGCAACGCCGTGAACACGGTGCCGGCCGAGTGTGTTTTTGAGTTCAACATCCGCATCGCGGACACCAAAGTTGCGATGAACGTCGACGCGCGTATTCGTCAGTACATCAACGAGGTGGTGGTGCCGGAGATGCGCAAGGAGTACGCGGAGGCGGCGGTGGACTTGGACGCGTTCTGCTGCTGCCCGGCTTTCAACGCCAAGGAGGATGCGCCGTTCACTAAATTGGCCCGGAAAATCATGAAGTCGCAGAAGGTGGTGAAGGGCACCGGCACCACGGAGGCTGGCTTCTTTCAGGAGGAACTCGGCATCCCGACGGTGATTATCGGACCGGGCACGGCGGGCGCGCACGAGGCGAACGAGTACACCGCCGTTGCCGACCTACTGCGGTGTACGGAGGTGACACAGGAATTGGTAAGCTATTGCACCGCAACGGACAAGCCCCTCGAGTCACACTTGTAAGTCAAATGTTTATCTGTATCTCCTTTTCTTCTTTCCGCTCTTAATAATCCCTTCTCCGTTGCGATGGAGAGTGTTTGTGTTTTGGGTTTTCTTCATCTTCGTTTTCTTACCGTTTTGTTTTTCCCCTCATTAGTGTTGTTTATCTTGTGCGCCCTCTTCTGCTCCGACAGTGTTCGCTGCGCGTCTTTAACCTAAACGCCCACTTTACTACACCGTTAAGCTTGACAAATCAAAGTGGCGAAAAGACCGAAAGAGAGGTGTTTTTGTTGCTTCATTTGATTTGGATCGCGGAGAGACCCCTTCGATCCTTTTTGGAGACGTACACATTGTGGGAGTCAGACAGCTCTCCCCACTCTGATGTGCACATGCGCCTTCTAAAACAATGAACACTCTGCAATGATCACTTTTCCTTTTTTTTAGAGTCCTTGGTGCTACGCCGCAAGCGCAGCGAATACCCTCCACCGCCTATTCGATCGTTTCATCACTTCTTTGCACCCCTGTGCGATTCTTTCCCTTTCCTTTTCGTGTGTTAGTTTGCTTGCAGCTGTAGAGAACAAACTCCCTGCTCTTTCCCCGCAACTGCGTCGAAGGACTCTCATAGATTCACCACCGTGCACCGCACACGTAGGTATTCGATCTCTGGTTGTCGTTTATTTCGAATAGAAAGGTAAGATAGAGGCGGTGGGAGGGGAACTCTTATGTGCTGCTCTTGAGATCCCTCAGCAGTTTTCACACGCCACATCCAGGAGAAAGGGAGAGAAAAAATGTACATGGATATCCTGGAACAAGAGGTGGAAGCGCTCAGTGCGGAAGTGACACGCCTGCGCCTCATGGTGCACCGTGTCACGCAGGTGATGGAGGCGCCTCCATCACGGCGGCACGGTCATGCAGATCCCTTGCATGTTGCGCCACCATCTTCTTTCACACGTGACACAGCCCCAGCCGATCTGCAGGCAACTGTGGACTCCTACAAACAACTTCTTCCACTTATCCAAGTGTTGCTGGAGCAACAGCGAAGCGCCAAAGAGGTGTCTGGCCACAGGAGCAGCAAGAAGAAGAAAAGTTCGTCTCACAGGCGTCGTCACGAGCACCATCGCCGTCACCGCTCACGGCGCTCTCCGTCGTCGACCAACGAGTCTTCCTACACCTCGTCTTCGCGCTCCCACAGCACCTCCAGCACAACGGATCGATCGTCAGGCATCGCTACCCCTCGCATCGACATCTCCCACGTTGTCCAGCGCTCCCGTGAAGCACCACGCGAGGAGGTGAAGGGACATGTGGAAGCCCCACCGTCGACATCCACCTCCGCAAACAATCCCGCCGCTGCACCGTCACTGGCGGCCCAACACGCCGCCTCTGCCGCAGCAGCAACGGAGCGTCGCCGCCCGAGCACCGTGTCGATCGAGGAGACGCCATCACGGGCGGAGCAGCAAGGCTACTCGTCCACACCGACGCCAAAGTCTGGCTCTGTCGTAGACCGCCTGCGCGCGCAGCGTGGGCTGACGAGTCAACAAGAGGACAAGAGTTTGTCAACGGAGTCTAGCGAAGACATGCCCGCGTGCAAGTCGCTCACACGCTCTGCAACAACTTCGGCAGCGACTTCTCCATCCGCCGCAGTCAAACGACCACCGCACGGCTCTACGAGCACGTCAAAGATGGCAGCAGGACCAGCAGCAGCAAAGGCAGTTGCCAAGAAGTCACATCTTCTCGACGCGTCCTACAGTATGGCCTCCAGCAAACTACTGGATGCACCCTTGGCCAGTGAGGCAGTACAGAGTGCTGCGAAACAGCGTATGGATAGCGGGCCGCCCGCTTCTCTGCCAGCGGAGGAGATGGGCTGCTACGTCTCCTCTCCCGACCTTGCTGTGTGGGACGTCTCTCACGCGGCGGCCGACACACCAGCGGAAGGAAGGCGCGATGGCGTCCACCCATCCAGCCCGCATCACGGGCGCTCCACCGCGAACAGTCTCCAATTCAGCGATCAGGGCCGATACAGCTACAGCATGTTCAACTCGCTGGCCAACTCGCCATCCATTAGCCAAGTGGCCGATGATTCGGCGAAGGGCACACGCACAGACACCACCGCCGGAACCTCTGCCGCACTGGAGCCGACACACGCGGTGCCCAGCGGCAAGCTGCTGCCCCAACAGACGATCGTGATGTCGCGTGCACGGCATATGTCATCCGACAGCAGCAGCAGCAGTAACTCGACCGATGATGACCATGTTGCGCACACCCCTGTCGTCCTCACGACGTCATCCACTACACGCCCGTTTGGCTCCGGTGTGGTTCTCGGGGCTCGACAGCCGATCAGCGCACACTCCCCCAGCAGCAGCGGAGCGCCCGCCGCCCTTCCAGCGTTGGGTTGTACAATTCCGGCACCCATGAAAGGCACCGTAGCCCCCGCGGAGGTGCACGCCAACCTGACCGCGGGGCGGCACCCGATGAAGTTCGACAACACCAGCGAATCTTCTTCTTCTTCGGACGGCGCCGCCGCCGCCGCCGCCGTCTTCCAGCGTCAGCAGGCGCGCCACGCCGTTCACGAAGACCATCGCGAGTCTAGCTTCCACAACTACTCGGAGACAGCCGTTTCCTCATCGCCCGCCTCGATCAACAACGCTCCGTTGCAGAGACAACTGCAACAGCAGCAGCAGCAGCAACAGCTACAGTCGTCGTCGTCATCACCGCACCAGCAAGATTTCCCCGCCGCGCTGAGCCAAGACGCCTACAGTTACGCTTTGTTTTTAGCCCAATACTCCGCGCACGGCTCACCACATCCGGGAAGCAATGAGAATGCAGCATCACTGGAGTTGTCGCGTGCGGTCAGTCGCCCGGGAACAGCGCGCAGCGAGTCGCACGGTCCCTCGCTGGGTGGCAAGCGCGGCTTCTTCGCCTCGGGTGGGTATTACTACGACTGCGACTTTGCAATGCGGAGTCCCAGTCAGCCGAGCACGATATCGAACGCAGGGGCGGAGCATGGTGTCTCCGGCATCTCCGCCGCTTACGACTATTAGACATGTGAAGTTTTGCTTGCTCTATCCCCTCCTCTGTTTTCTCGCTGCAGCTCCTTCTTGATTTTCCTTGAAAAGATGTGAGCGACATACATTGCCAACAGCGGCAACAACAGGAAAACTTCGATTGTGCCTTGCAGTTCATTAAGGAGTGTTGTGTTTCTTCTTTTTCCTCCTCGTGCATCGAATGTACTTTACGGGGCTTCAGCCGCGATACTCGTACAACGAAACGCAAAACGCTCTCCTCTCCTCCCTACCCCTCCTTTATGTCGTCTCCAGCTCGGCAATTGTGGGCGCCCGCTGAGCAGCTGGAACCCGGTGTCTCGCTTGCGTTTCTTTTGAAGTACTTCCCTCTCTCTCCCTTCCACCTCTCTCCCTTCTCTACAAACACACAGAGGCAATCGTAAAACGCTCGGGCTCTAACAAGCGATGTTGCCTCGGCTTTCAGCGGTGTGCAGCGAGCTGATGCGCATTCAAGTGCAGCTGCTCCAGCGCCAAGGTGCGCCGTTGCTGTTGGCCCACGAAGGAGTGCAGCTGCTGCGAGAAAACCTCCCTGGAGTAGAACTGACGACCTCGCGGGACGCAGAAACGCTGAAACTCGTACCGAAGCTGCTTCGCGCGAGTTCAACGGTGTTGCGGTTTGTGCCAGACGAAGACGCGCTGGCTGCGCTAGATGCGCTGGACCACTGTGCGGCAGTGGTCGGTCAGTACAGCGCGGGTGGACACGTGGAGCGCAATTACAACCTGCACGACGTCTGCTCGCTGCTCCGCTCGATAAGCGTGTTGGACGACTGTCAAGGTCGACTGATGGAGCTGAGCGAATTGTCATCTCCTTCGTGCTTTCCCTCTTCATCGGACGGCTTATCTCCATCTTCGCGGCCCACACGAGTCTCCACCTCATCTTCTCATGTATCTGCCCAAACGAAGCGATTTGGCGCGCTGCTTGTTCCCGTGTACACACACGCCATGCAGCTCTGGACTCTGCCGCGCGAGAACGCATCCACACTGAGCATTCTCTCCCTTATCGATGCTAACAGCCGCGTACACGGTCAAAGCTTCAATTTCCCTGCCATCAGCGCCGACCAAAATGGGTTACTGCCCATCAAGGCGAAGATACACATGGAGGCCAAAATGCAGCGCTGCCGCGGTGCACGTGGCCTCCTCGCCGCGTTGCGGGACTGTGCGTTCAATCGCGTGGACGCAGGCATGAGCCTCGCCACGATGGCCCGGACGGGACTCTATGACGCGGAAGTCTGTAATCGCAGCTGCGAGACGCTTTACGCCCAGCACGCCCTCCTATCAAGTCAGCAACTTTGCCAGGTGTTGTTTCACTTGGGCACGCTGCAGCACCGGCACATCCACCAGAAGTATTTCTCGAGTCTCGTGGAACCGCGCGACTGCAACGCGGAGGCGATGCGGCAGCACGTGCTGGGTCTCGCGATGCTCCGCCAACCGCCACCGAGTGAAACGGCATTGATGAACGGCGTCTTCCTGCACGCCCTACGCACCACCCACGCAAACCGACGGCACCGCGACGACGGGTCGTCTTCTTCTCCTTCCTTCTACTCCCACGGCGACGGTGAACGACGACACTCAGGCGGACGTCGCCTTTCTCACCTATCACCACAGGCGCAACGCGCTATTCAGGACCCGCTCAACGACGAAACTTACACCCTCTCTCCGCAATGGTACATCGACGTGGGCCACGGCCTCAGCTGTCTCGGCATTCAACACCCTAAGTACAAACTCATGGTGGCGCGTCAGACGCGACGCAGCATCGGCTGCCTCACCACCGCTGAGCGCTGCAAGTTGTTGTACGCCACGGGCGGTCTGTCCGCAGCACAGGTGCCGGTGGAGCTGCGTGCGGCGTGGAAGTCTAAGGTAGACCGCAGCATCGCTATTACGGTGGAAAAGCTGAAAGACATCGAACCGCACGAGGGACCGTGCGTCATGAACGCACTGCGCTACTGCGACATCCGTGAGCACCCCCGCATCCCACGCGCCCCGAAGCTCGACTTGGACGAGAACCCGATGGATGTGCTGCTCCGCACGTGGTCGACGGTGCCGAAGGAAAGGGTAATGCAGCTGACGGAGCAGATCAAACCGCAGCACCTTCGCACAAGCACGCACAAGGCCGCCGCGACCGCCCTCACCAACGTGGTGGCGCACGTCGCAGCGACTTTCGACGACGTCCCGCAAGAGCAGTCGCATCGACTGGAGCCCCTCTGCGCCGCAGTTGACGCGCACAGCGCAGAGATGACGGTGGAGGACACGATGCGTACGCTGCAAGCGTTACGGAAGATGGGCCGCACCGGACCACGACAGCAGGAAGCGGTGCGCAACCTCTTGATGAATCTGTGGACGCGTCGGTACGACCTTGAGGGGGAACAGCTGACGCGGTGTTGCGCCTGTGTGCAACACTGGCCCGAGGTGCCCGAGGCCATGGAACTCCTGCAATTCGCAGCCTCGCACTGACACAAGCAGTCTTTCATTGTTAGTAGTATTATTATGTGTATGGGTTTGCCTGAGCATCCAAGTTACTCTGTGCATTAGTGTTTTACGCTATCGATTTACACGATGAATGACTTTCACAGAAACACGAGCATCAGGGGAGGTTTCGATGGAGGTTAATAATAATGATAGTAGTAAATACAAATATGCCGGCGAAAACAGCCTTGACGAGAGCCAAAAGCAACATATATTGTTGCTGCTGTCTAAACGACACTGTGTGCTACTTCTGTTTCCATACATGCACTATTTCCATACCTCGTATCCCTTTTCTCTCTCCCTTTACTCGGCTTTTTGCTATCCTCCTTTTGCATCGTTCTCCCCCACGCTTTCACAAGCCCATCCCAGCAGTTGCTCTCCTGAACCACGTATATATACTTTCCCATAAAAAGAATTGTGAGCTCCACCATGGGCAAGCGAACCAAAAAGGCCCCAAAACAAAAGCAGAAGCTCGCGATGGCCGATCGCCCGCGCAAGCTGACGAAGAAGGGCAAGATAAAGCACAAGCGTGGTGACCTCAAGATGGTGGCCGCGCGCAACGTCAGCTTTCAGATAAAACAAGGCAAAGGAGGAAAATACATAAAAACAGGAGAACGGAAGTGCAACATTCACACGGTGTGCGACTGTGTGAAGCGAACCGATCCGGCTCGTATGCGCTTTATCTCTAATCGGTAGTGTTCTCTTTTTTCTTTTAGTGTGTGTGTGTGTGTGTGGTCATTGGCAGTTCTTCTTTCTGGTAATTTGCCACTTTCAGTTTTCGTTGGCGTTGTTGTTTGCTTGTTTCTCACATTTAACACTTTAATGATGATGTTTTCGCTAATGATTGCGTTGCATTGTAATCGGTTAAAATAACGCGTATTGTACGTTTCAGCTTCTTCAGTTTAAAGATGATAAAATATAACGCCCAATGGAATTCGGGTTCTTCCTCGTGTTCGGTTTGTGCGTTGACGCGAAACTGAACAGCCAACGAATTTGTAGGCGGACAAAATAGAAGTTGAGGTGGCGAGCACGGCGTTTGCCTTCCTTGCTCTGCTCTTTTGAGATGTCTGTTTCTTGTTGCTCATGACTTTTCACCCTCTTCACCGTCTGTGTTGCGGTCCAATCGATAGCTCTGTTTCCATTCTTTCTCTGTTTTATTTTTTCTCTCACCCACCTTACTGTCAGAGCAGCGACAACAAACAGGGAAACATTTTTTGTTCTTAGTCAATCGTGTCATGCTTTCATCCCTTTGAGGCGAGCGTTTTCACCTCTCCCTCCAACACAACCTCTACTACGTCTCTCGCTTTCTTTTCTTCAGCCGTGTTCTTCACACGGTGCAGTCTCAACAAGCCACTAGCTTCTGTGTCTGCGTGTGTGTGATTGCTTCGTCTGATTTTTTTTTCCCTTCTCTCCTGCTACCTCTTTTTGTTTCTGTCGTGGTTTGAAGAACCTTCTGCGCTGACATCTGCTTGCATTACTTCGCTGAAGGCTTGCGTCTGCGCTTGTTTTATTAGTTGTCTTTTCGCTATCAGTCCTTTCATCTGCTCTCTTTGAGGGAGAGAAGGAAGGAAGGGGGGCACTGTACTCCACTAATACTTGACTGTTTGAGCGACACACATACCCTGCCCAAGAGCCGTGATGGTCTTCTTGAAGGTCTCTCAGGGTAAAGAGGTGGGGAAGGGAGAGGCGTCTGCAGCAAGCATTGCCCAAGAAGCCTTTGAGTTTATCTATCAAATGTCGCCAATGGAGGGAGCCAGGCCGGGTGAGCGTTACCTTGAATTCGCGCACTTCGAGCCTCTCGCCGCCGCTGTGCACCTCAACCTGGAGGACCTCTCGTTTTACTTGTTAGCCTTCCTAGCAGATGAATCACCCAAGATCAACTACAAGATTCCCGAGAAGCGCTTTGTAGCGTTAATGACGGCGCTAGCAGGAGCACTTCCGCGCAGTGCCGGAGTGCCGTCCAGAGAAAACGGCTTTGCTCCTCTGTTTGCTGCGGCGCACACCGCCGTGATCGACCTCAACGCGCGGCTCCGCGCCAGCGAAGAGCTGCGGGTGAAGTTCTATCATTTTCTCTACAATTGGTGCCTGAAAACAAACAAGGCCACCGACCGCGTCGACATCGCGAAGGAGCTGTGGTCGTTCTTCTTCTCCGCCTCACCGCTGTCTTTCACGAAGGAGGAGGCGAAGCTGAAATTTACGGCGTATGTGTGTTTCCCTCGCATCAACCAGTGGCTGAATTTTATTACGATAATGTCGGAGAAGGCAAAAAATACAAATCAGAACGGGTCGGCGCTGGATCAGATGGGCGTGCCACTGGACACCTGGTCGCAGCTCATTCCATTTGCCAAGATGGAGAGCTACAACGAGTACGACGACGAGGACTCGTGGCCGGTGGCGATGGACGATTTTGTGGAGTACGTACAGCAGCTGAAGAAGCATAAGGAGGCGTGAGCACCCACCGCAGCAGCTGACCGCCTCCTCAGCGACCAGATTACCTCGAGTGCTCTCTTTCCTGTGTGAGGGTGTTTGCTCCTCTATATACGTAGATTTTTGTTGAATATATATTACACAGTTGTGACCAGCTGGTGGGGATGCTCGATTGTGTGGTTGTGTTGTCTGTCGTTTTCGTTGCTGCCCTCCGCTCATGGCCGTGTTGTTGTTTCGTGTAGGATGCACAGAGAAGCAGAACGTGATGAAGTAACTCGTTCACAAAGACAACCTGAAAAGCGAGGAAAGAACGGGAGCTTTCTTTTTGAGGGGTGTTGAGTCACAACGGCGCTGCGTGTCGCGTCCTCATAGGCATCGCTGAATGATGCGTGAGGGCGTCTTTATCTCGGAGCCGCTGATGCATCCGCGTTGTTTTCCCGTTCTCCTCGTTTTCACGAACACAGTCAATGAGAGTATGCTTTGCTGCGTATCCGCTCTTTCTTTCTTCTTTTTTTGTCTGGTGCACGTCCTTCTGCTTCCTTGTGGTTTGTTTCACTCTTTCGCTCTTCCACTACACCGCACTCACAACCATTTTCTACACACACTGCAGGTGCAATTCAGTTCTGCAAACGTGAACGATGCACCGCGTGAGCCCTCCCCCGACGTTGGCACAATGCAGAAAACCCCTGCCACCTGCAGCGATAACGCGGTACACCCTTCGTTAGCCTCGTCTTCCTTGTTCTCCCGTGCGGACGAGATCGCACCCACGGAAGCCTCCCACCCGGTCATATCGCTTTTTCGACGTCTGTTGATGCAAAGCGAGGACGAAGCTTCCACACCATCAACAACGGGTTTGAAGAGGGAGTCCCCACCACGGGAGCTACGCAGCAGGAAAGGGGTGGGTGCTGCCTCCACGGGGGGTGCCACTCCTTTCCAAAGCATGCGCCAGCAACATCGTCTTAAAGTGGCGATTGTGGGGGAGTCAGAGAGCGGCCGGACGACGCTGTGCAAAAGCCTCGAAGATGCGGCGGAGCACAAAACGACCCATCCTCTAGTCGCGTCAGGCCAACCCGCCGCGCTCAAGATGGATGCTGCTGTTCTGTCGGTGCAGACGTACGATGTTGCATGCGGCGACGACGCAGATGCCCTGGGAGGCGAAAGCTCCATCAACGCCTCTGTTAGAGGAGAGAAGCAGTGTCTGCTCGAGGTGACCGTCGTAGATAGCGGACCCGCTCCGCTGAGCGACGGCGCCGGCACGATGGCGATGATGGAGGCGGATGTCGTCCTCGTCTGTTTTCCCCTCTGCCGACTCAAACAAGTTGTCCCGCTACAAAGCAATGGGAAATTTGGTCTCTCTCTTCGTCCTGCCCAACCGACAGAGGCGTTCATTCACACGCGGGACTATCGGCTGCTCACCACGCTGCTCATGCTGTTGTCCACGCGGTGTGGAGGCGGGGCGGGCGATGTCCCCTCATCGAACTTTCCCTCCATCGTCCTCGTAGGCACCTTTCAAGACGTGCTTACGGATGCGTCTGTCGCGGCGACGCACACGATACTGCGCGCACTGCAGCGTCTGTGTGATGGCGTCCGACAATGCTCGTCGTCAATCCCGCCTGTTACTGATGTGTCTGCCGTCAGCGCCACTCAGGCCACTGCGGTGTTGCTGACCAGCGAAAAGCACGTTACCTTGCGTGACTGGTGGCTCCTCCTCCTGCAGCGCGCAGCGACGGTGCACGCGTCGAGAAGACCACCTGCATCGACTGCCTCGCCGAGTCATCCACAGCCATCTCGTGAAGCTTTCATCGCGCTCCCCGCATTGCTTCACTTACTCGCCCATCCAAATCGGCTGCACGCGCTGAGTGCAGGCGTGCGACAGATCAATAGCGGTAACGGCAGCCCACGCCTGTTGGATGTGTCGGTGGACAATTCTTTCACACCTTATGCATTTCAGGAAATCGCCTCCGCTGCAATGCGTGCCGAGGACGCGCGGGTGACGTCCTTAGTGGTGGACTTCATCACGCAGCTGAAGGCGCGCAAGCGGGTGTGGATGCTTCCGCTGCCGAAGCTGTGGCGGGTGGCGTACGCGCTAGGGATGCAGTCGAGAGAGCAGCTATATTTGGTACTGCGGCAGATGGAAGCAGCAGGCGAGGTGTTGCTTCTCGGGCGTGCGCTGAGCTACGCGCAGGAGGCCCGCCTTGGCGGATGCGGCAGCACCAACGAGACGGTATGTCTTTGCCCCGCTTTGCTACGGACCTCTTACTCGATCCTGTACGTGTACGTGGACCGAGTGGCGCACCGACAGGGGCGACACGTGCGGAAGTGTCTACGCAATGTTGAGCTGAGCGAATGCGCGCTCGGGGATCCGACCTCACTGGCAGCCAAAGGCATCTTTCCCCTGCCGCTGCTGCGACGCCTTGCTGTGGCGCTTGGGTTGAGAAACACCTCGCCAAGTGAAGCAGCGGAGCTTCTCATCGCCGCACTCATTGGCTCGGACTTGGCCTATCTTGCGTACGACCCCAGCAGCCAAGCCGGCAATCCGGCACGTTCGCTGAGCAGGGCATCCTTGGCATCCCACTTTTCCAATCCACAAGATCCGCTGCAGCCACCGTTGTTGTCGTCCTCCTCGGCAGCACCGTCGCCCACACGGCGAAGAGGCGGCGAACGGCTGCACAGAAGCAGCGATAGTGCGCCGGCTAGCCCGCTGCACTCTCGCGGTCTTGTGTTACCGCCTCCGTCTGTTGAAACGACCGCCAGCGTCACCGGCGACTCCTCACCATCTAACTCGACCCCGGGAGAGTTCCCGCTGCTAACCCCCTCAGCCGCTGATCTCCTATTGGGCGTAGAGGATGATTCCAACTACTCGCCGAACATCACTGTGGCGGAGTTAACGTCGCTTTTTCTGCTCGGCGAGCTCACCTCGTCTCAGGCCACTTCTGAGTCCGTTCAAGCCACTGCGCAGCGAAGTGAGCGCTCTTCCAGTCCAACGCGCTGCATGCCACCTCCCGAGGACGACGCGGTGCTCATCGTCCCCTCCCTGCAGCAAAGAACGTTGTGTCCTGATGCCGTGACGCACCACATATTGGCGCGCGCTAGTGCAACTGAAAGCGCTGCTTCCTCAGGACAAAGTCTGCGATCGTCGCAGGTGCTGCTGCGCGTCGAGCCCTACCCGTACGATCTCGTTGCGCTGCTCACGTGTCGCTTTGCCAGCCTGGCACTCCGTGTAGAGAGGGCGTATTCTAATGCGGCGCTGCTGTCTTACAACGTGACCGAACTGCTGCGTCCCACCACCGATCGCGCCTCTCGTTCTCAACGGAAGCGCGACGCAGCGTCTCAGCTAACGACAGACGGCTGCTGTTTTCTCTTCTGTGCTCCCCCGTCCGACGAGACGGCGGCGGCAGTCTGCTGCTCTACGGTGCTCCGGCTCGTTTGCTTTGCCGATTCGCACATGCGCGTCGCACGCCTGGCACTTGCACTGTGCACGGAGATGCACCTGTTTGCGCTGCAGCGACTCCCTGGTGTGACCGTGGCACAAGCACAGGACACCGACGCGTCTGCGGACCGTGACGCTGCTACACACGGTGTTAGTTGCGCCAACGTTGCTGCGCTGCTTTGCTCCTTAAACAGTTTGGCGTGAAGCTGTGCGCCACAGGTTCACAAAAAGTGCCCTTCGCATAGATGAACGTTTTCTATCCTTCCGACCGGTTTCGCTGCGCTCTGTTTTATTCCTGAACAACGCTTGGTTTCTGTCATTTCGATTGACACGTGTGGGCGAAGCTATCCACTGCTGCGTGTCAGCAATACATCGAACAACAACGGTCGAGTTAATACGCGCTTGTAGTAAATTAATTGGATGAACACGATCCTTTGTCGCGTCTCCATTTCGTTCCATCGCAGCTTCCTGTGTATCGTCATCTGTCTCGAGCGATGATCTGAATTGAATTGGTTCGAAATCAATGTATGGCAAACTGCGTGGTAGACAATTTTTCTTCACCCCTTACTTGGTTATTATTTTCTCGTATGTCACGCCTCTCACTCTCTCTGTTGTTTGTGAACGGTACGTGAAGTACGTATTTCTTTTGCTCGCTCTTTGTTCTATAACGAGCGGAAGCAACACGCAAATTACTTCTTCCTTTGTTGTCGTTGTTGACTGACGGAGCGAGTGCAGCAGTCCGCTTTTAATACTCAGCTGCCGTGCAACAACCTCATCAACCTGTGTCTGTTGAGTGATATCTCAAAACACATTCGCTGTCGGAAGAATGGGTGTTGAGCTTCGAGAAGGCTTCCCCGACGCTGGCGGTGACGTCTGCAGCACCTTCTTCAGCTCTGTTGACCTGTCTGACAAACTCTGGGGCAGCATCGAGCGCCTGGCGCACGCCGATGATGTGACCTTCTGGACGGTGTTGGCTAACCACGAGAAGCTCCCTGTTGTGTTTCTCAGCGTCGTGACAGCAGTCGATCACGCCCACAGCTCTCACTCCAAGGCACAGCGACGCGCTGTATCGGCGGAGAGTGAGCGTGATGTGATTGAAATGGTGATGCGCATCGCCACCGCGACGGAGCCGTGTGCGCGCCGCGGAGTTGATCCGGCGAGTTTGGCGATGCGGCTGAGCACGCTGCTGCCGTGGAAAGTGCTCCTCCCAGTCTCCCTCATGCTGCTGCGCCACAGCGGCGCGGCGGCCTCCGTGACCGTCTCCTCCCTCGTCATGCTGAATCCTGGTTACCTGTGTACGTTGAACTCGTACATGCCAACGTGGTGGGATAGCGTGAACCGCCTTGCCGTGCGGTGCACCCATGAGCTGCAGCGCGGCCGCTACCAGCGCCTCCCTGGCGATATATTGGCCATTTTCGAGCAGGTGTACCGCCTGACGAAGCAGTTGTGGGCGGTGCTGCAGTGCGCGCCGTTCCTGTCCGACTACCTTTCTCTTCCCCGTACGCTGCGGTCCTTGCGGATTGTCGTCGACGTCCTGTCCCCCATTCTCCAGCACTTCATCATCGTGTGCGACGAGCTGTCAACGCGTCGCGCCATTTTAAGCCGAGCCAACTCCGTCATCGTCAACGCGGCCCTCAACACCTCCTCCGTGCTGCTCCTCTACCACATGTACACCACGCAAGGTCCGCAGAAGCACCATCACGAGAGCTTCTGTGCGCCGCAGGTGGTCAATGCCACCTACAATCGTTTGCGCGAGCATCTCCAGCAGTACGCGCAGGGGTACACGCAGTACTTCTTGCAGGTGACGCAGAACCAGTCCTTTGTTGGGTACATTCATTACCTGTGCCCACCAGCGCGTGCCGGCGACGCGTCAGGCGACCACGCATTGGGACAGGTGCTGCTGTCGCTGACGCAGGAGATGGCGGACAGCAACGACTTCGCCAGCGCAGCGTGCGGTACTCGCCCGCGCTTCTTCGAGCTGGTCCTACTGGACGTCGTGCGGCAGGGCGTGCACATCGACGACCTGCTCGCGCGCCACTTTGTGACTCCGGCAGAAGCGTCGAAACTCGGGGCCTCGGAGGACGCTGTCACACGCGCTTTGGCTGGTCTGCCTTCCTTGGAGGTGGCAGCTGCGTCGTCCGCGCCGCACACGCCGGTACCAGAGGCGGCCGGTACAACTGCTGCATCACCAGCAGCTGCTGCCCCATCACCTGAAAAGGTCGACGACCCGTTAGTGGCGATGGTCATGGACGTCTTTCCCCAGTACTCTCCCGCTGGTATTCGCGCCGCGTTAAACTTTTACTCCAACGACGTGGAGCAGCTCATAATGGACGCGAGCATGGAGAACTTGCCGCCGCACTTGGTGGGTCCGCTGACGGCTACCGGATCTTCCGATGCGGAGGTCGCCGCCGCCTTGGCTGCGGAGGACGAGCGGGTCGGCTCTGGTTCTCCAGAAGCGGCGACGGCGGATGTGAGCGCTGCGGGCAGCGCCGCGGCCGCCCACCTTCGAGCGAACGACTACGACGACGCCTTCCAGCCGGAGACGCTCTACCGCCTGCTCGGTCGCGATCTTTACGAGCTCGTCACCGACTCGGACGCGGACGACGCTGTCACGGACGCGACGTCTCGCGGCGTGATCGCTGGCAACGACATCGACGATGACGTGGGCTACCAAACCACGCTGCACGACCAGCGCACGTACGTGTCGGACGCCTTTGACGTCGACGAGGACATGAAAGCGAAGATTCGAATGCTGAACGAGGTGATGTACGAGGATGAACTCGATGACGGGCAGCAGGACGTGCACCTGGCGGGCGGCGACATCGTCGACGACGCGTCTGACGGTGACGACGTCAACAGCGGTGGTGGTGGTCGCAATCGTGGACGTGGCCGGCGGGGCGGTGGGGCGGGTGCCGCGGAAAAGCCGGATAGCCCAGCTCCAGCAGCGCACGCCGGCCCATCCCCCTCGTCATCGCCCGCACCGGCCCCCGCAACCGGCGCTGCCGCACCGCCGCAGCGCACATCGCACGATGAGTACCACGACAAGCGCTATCACGAGCAGCGTGCCAAGGATCGCGTGACGCGCACGAAGCAGAAACAGGCGGAGCGGAATGAGCGGGTGCCGGCTTACGCGAACAAGAAGAAGACGTCCAAGTCGAAGGTGAGCGGGACGAAGACGAGCTTGCAACGGGCAGTCCGGAAAGGCACGTACGATCCTGATGCGTAGGCTCGACTTCTTCCACGGTCCTGCATTGCGAGAGGAATAAGAAATAATCAGTCAACACGTGAGAAGCTCGCACGTGTCAGAATCCCTCTTTCCGTTTCGGTATTCGCCTTCTGCTCTTTGCCGAAAATCGCAACAAGGAAACAAAACTACTAAAGGATGGTAACTGCACCCGCACAAACTAAATCTGCTGCTCTTTGCATGGCAGTTTTCGAGCTGAACGTAGAAAAGGTCAATGACTGCAGGCACAGTCAGGTGATTGAAAGCCGCGAGTGAGCATTTCCCCCTGCGGCAACTGTGGGAATGCATCAACGGAAGTCGATTCACCACTCTTTCCCTTCCTCACGTTGAAGGCACTTCTGCACCTGCGCACTTCCTTCTTTTGAACTTCTTCTTCTTCGCCTGTAAACGGTTTTCTTTCCCTAGTTCCCAGTGGTGCGTGTCTTTCTGAGCGCTTTGTGAAGCTCTTCTCTTTTTTGTTGTTGTTTAAGAATAGCGTCAAAAGGTCATAGTAGTGTGCAGCTCTTTTTTTCTCTCCGGTCCACGCAAGTCGGCATGCAACGACTTGCTAGAGCCGCAAGTGTCACCGCAACGGCGTCGGTGGGCCTCGCCGGTCACCATCCGTGCGGTGCGAGTTCCTCTTCCTCCTCTCCTTTTCCTCGTTCGCCGCTGCTCGTCCAACGTCGTGGCATTCGCAATCTACACCAGTACCCTCACGCGCGATACAAGAGTCTCGTGAAAGACAACCGCCGCTTCGCGCGCAACTGGTGGCTCACGGGGGGCAACAATTACGAGCTCGTCTCTGAAGTCGGCCACGAGCGCGAAGCAACCGAGAACTTCTCCACGTTGCGCGACGACAGCGACAACGACGCCTTCGTGCTTTCCACAAACAAACTAGAGGACCTGCCACCGGCGGAACGGCTGAACACACTCGTGGAGCTGATGCGCGTTCGCTGGAAGGTGCGCGACAACAACCGCGGCTTTGACAAGGCGAAACTGATGCTGAAGGCGCTAGAGTGCTTCAGTGAGATGCGGCAACTCGAACAAATCAAGGCGTTTCACGAGCTGCCCGAGCCCGACCAGGACACGTTTCTCCAGTACGTAGAGGGTTGCGTCAAGTACGCGCAGGCGTGCTCGCACTCGCACCCTGATGCCGTCGCCGTCGTACTGCGCGCGGCGGAGATCTGTGACGAAATGCGGTGTACTGACAAGCGCGAGGAGTTAATTCACATTTCTGAAGAGATGGCGAAGCGGCTCGACCGCGCGTACGCTTCTGCCCGCCCATATGCCACGAAGGCGCAGCTGCTGCCCACGCCGATCTCTGAAGTACACAGCCAACTCCGCATGAAGCAAGTGAAAGCGTTGGAGGAGCACTTCAAAGACAACCCGGCAGTCGTGGAGAAAACAAAGCCGCGCGAGTTCTTTCGCGGACCACGCAGTCGGAAGATCTACCACGATCCTATGCGCCACAACGATGTGCACCGCCACCTGCTCGCCATCCCGCATCGTCCGGAAACGCGGTCGTGGAACGCGTGACAACCGCTATTCTGCTGTGGTGTTGTTGTCCTCTCCTGTCTGAGTTCCTTCGAGTTTCACAGAGCATCCTTTCGGTAAATATCTAAATGGTACATTGAAAAAAAAATGGTTTCTACCTGATGAAAGCATGAAAGCTCGTAAAAAAAAATTTTGCGGATGCGTTGTAAATATGATGCTGGTAAGCCAACATTGACTCTATTACTCGCGCTTGTCCGTCTAAGGCGGAAAGAGAAGTGGTACTGGGTGTGCGCCTCTTCACCACGTTTTCTTCCACTTTCACCTATCTGTTTCCCCTCAGCGAAGTCATCAGAAGTGTGCGAGGCGTCCATAAACAACAACACTACCAAACAGAACGAGAAGATCAACAGTTGGAAGAAAATGTCGCACTACAACACGGGCATCGGCAGTAGCGTGCCGTCCGTGGTTGATATGGTGAGCGGCTTTTCGGCCTTCCTTGTCGACTTTGTGCAGGTCGTCCTTGGACAGACTCAAACAAGCTTCCAGGCGGCATCACCAGAGGACAGTGATCCTGGTGTGTTTGACCCAGACACGCGCAGCTGGTCAGGCCCGGAAGGTCTGCGCTACCGCGTTGGGCTCTTTCCCATCCCTAGTGAGCGTCACACACGTGAAAAGACACGCAACATTAAAATCTTAATGGATAACTGCCGCCGAATCTGCCTCGCCGACGAGCTTCCCGCGACGAAGGAGGAGAAAAAGTTCTGGTCCGCGTACCGCTTTATGAAGTATCAGCTCTTCCTCGCCCCTGCGTGTATCGTCATGCCGCCCCTGTACGTCTTTTCGAAGATATTTCACGACAAGCTGCACCCGGTGCTGCGGGGACGCATGATGCCAATTATGGGCGGCATGATGCTGGCTGAGTTGTGGGCTGATGCAACATATCCCGGTCACCAACTCTTGTCGACGGCGTTGCGGGCAAAGACGCCGATGGGGGACGCGGCACGGGCGGAGTGGGTGCGCCTGCAGCCTGTGGATATTCCCTTTTACATATTCACCGCCTATCAGTTTCAGCTCATGTTCAACGCCGTTCCGGACGATATACTTTTCGGAGGAGACATCGCTACGCTGTGCGGGTGATCGGCGATGAGTGGAATCCGAGAAAGGGGATGTGGTTGTACACCCGTGTAGTCGCGTTTGGCAAAAAAAAAAAATCGTGTGGTACGGGGGGGAGGGGAGTGCTCATGCTCACGTTTGCACTTGCGCGTGTGAGGCATCTGCGTGGTGTCCGTTGCTGTTGGTGGTGTTGCTCGATTTGGGGGAGTTTCTACGATCTCGCGCGTGGAGTTCGCTTACTTACAGATCTAACTAATTTTGTCATATTCAGCAAGAATAGCGGTACACACGTTTGGTTTAGGAACGTGATGGAAACGTATCCGACTGTTGAGATGGTCGGCGCACCTGTAACATTTTGCTTTTTGAGGGGGCTGCCCTTCTTTCCAATGAATCGTTTCTTTCTCACTGCAGCTCGCAAACGAGCGTTCCACTCCTGGTATAAATCCAGTGCTGGATTCACTCTCCTGTCAAATGTCGCCTTCTTTCTCTTTCGGGTCCTGCTCCTCCTTTCATTTTACTCCCTTTTTTTCACCTTCATCTGCAGCAGCCAAAGGAGTGCTTCTGTGAAGGGTTTTTTTTCTTCTGAGGTGCACGCGGCACACAAGACCAACAAAGGTCCGCTTTGACTTACTTTGTTTTTGACCGCGCCGCACAATGGCGGCAAGTAGCACCACGAGTAATACGACGCCGGTGCTGCCGGTCACGGAGGCGCGGGCGTCCATCGTGCGCATGATCCGCCACAACCAAGCCGTCATCATCGTCGGTGAAACAGGCTCTGGTAAGACGACGCAGATCCCGCAGTACGTGTGGGACGACATCCTCAGCAAACGTCCCGGCGGCGGCATTGTGGGCTGCACCCAGCCACGCCGTGTGGCGGCGGTCAGCATTGCCCGCCACGTCGCCCACACACGCGGCGGCGGCAAAGTCGGCGGCGAGGTCGGCTACGCCGTGCGCTTCGACGACACGTGCACGGCAGCTACACGAGTGAAGTTTTTAACGGATGGCATTTTGCTGCGCGAGATCCAGGCGGACCCAACGCTGAGCAAGTACGGCTGCATCATTCTCGATGAGGCCCACGAGCGCACGCTGCACGGCGATGTGCTATTTGGCCTCCTCAAAGCCATCGCCCGCAAGCGCGCGGACTCGCTCAAGATTGTGGTGATGTCTGCCACCTTAAACGCGGAGCACTTCTCAAAGTTTTGGTGGAACGCCCCCATCGGTGTCGTGCACGGGCGCATGTTTCCTGTGACCATCTTGCACACCGTTGAACCCCAGGCAGACTACGTCGAGGCGGCGATTAGCACCGTTCTGCAGCTGCACGAGAAGGAGCCGCCAGGCGACGTCCTTTGCTTTCTCACTGGCCAGGAAGAGATAGAGGATGCGAAGCGCATCTTGCTAGAGCGCATGCGGCTGCTGCCCAACGATGTGCCCGACTTCTCAATTCTCACGCTGTACTCTGCGATGCCGTACGAGCAGCAGTTACTCGTCTTCGAGCCGACGGCGCACGGCGAGCGCAAGGTGATTCTCGCCACCAACATCGCGGAAACATCCATCACGGTGGAGGGTATCCGTTACGTGGTGGACAGCGGCGTTGTCAAGGCGAAGTACTACAACAGTAAATCCGGCATGGAGGCGTTGACAGAGGTGGACATCAGTAAAGCCCAGGCCACGCAGCGCACGGGTCGCGCCGGTCGTGTCGCCGCTGGCAAGTGCTACCGTCTCTACACTGCCAACGCCTTTGAAAACTTGAGCGAGAACACGACTCCTGAGATTCGGCGGAGCAGTCTTCTCAGCGTGGTGCTGCAGATGAAAAGCCTGCACATTGACAACATCCTTGGCTTTGAGTTCATGGACACGCCGCAGCCGCGCGCCGTCGCCAAGGCGGAGGAGACGCTGATGCTCCTGCAGGCTCTCGACAAACAGGGCCACATCACTGCGCTGGGTGAGAGACTCACGGACTTTCCGATTGAGCCGATGCCGGCGATGGTACTTCTTGCCGCGAAGGCCCTTGGTGTGTCCCGCGAGGCCGTCACAGTGGTGGCCATGACCAACACGGAGAACTTGTTTCTCACCTCGCGCGAGTTCAAAGACGGCGCAGATCGTTGTCGTGCGGCGTTCGCCAAGTCTGCTGGCGACCACGCCACCCTCCTTAGCATTTACCAAGCGTATCGCCGCTCCCCGCGCGAGCAGCGCAAGACGTGGTGTGAATCGAACTCGATGAGTCATCGTCAGATGCTGAAGGCAGAGGATATCATGACTCAACTGCAGAGCATTTTGGACGAGAAGGACGACCGCCCACTTCTGGAGCGAATTCTGCCGCCGACGCTGCGTTACCTGCGCGCCAGCGATTCCACCTCCGCCGGACACGCACCCAAGCGGGCGCGAAAGGAACAGGAAAGCGCAGACACCGACAAGGGCGCACTCGACGGTAACGATGATCTCCTTCAGCGCTATGAGGCGCTACGGCACGGCGATGACGGCGCTGATGCGGCCGGTAGCAGGGGAGAGCGCAAAGGCCGGCTGCTCGATGCGGAACTTGTCCGTCGTGCGTTGTGCTTTGGCTACTTCCTCAACGCTGCCTTTTACAACGCCAAGCTCGGGATGTACCAAACGGTGGTAGGTCAGCTGCCCGTGCACATTCATCCCTCCAGTGTGCTGTTTACCCACCGCAAGAAGCCTGCGTTGGTTATCTTCAACAGTGTGGTGCGCACGACGAAGCGGTACATGAAGGACGTTTCTGTGGTGTACGAGGAATGGCTGCAAGACGCTGCACCGGCTTTCTTGACTGCTGCGTCCTAAGCTCCCACACCCCCACAACTCTATACAGACATACACAAAAGTGCGTCTGGGATTGGAGTCATCACACAAGTCAAGGTACTTACATTAGTGTGTTTTTTTCTCTTTGATCTGGTTGTTTTCTCCCATAATCTCACGCGTCTAACGACGGTGTGTACGAAATCGCGCATACACGTCCTTTATTACATATATATGAACGCCAAAGCGCCACAACGGAATCGAACCCAGCCGTTTGTGTTCCATAGGTAGAAGAAGGAGAGAGCGTTTTGCTGCTGCTCCTGTTCCCGCTCTGTGAAGTGCTCGATTCAAGAGAAATGCACGGAAGGGTGTTTCACTTCCGTTAAGCTCAGAGCAGTAAAAGGGACAAAGGGAAGAACCTCTACACAACTCAAAGTGCGCTTTGAAAAGGCAGGTGCAACGTGCGCGTGCCATCAACCTAAAGCGCACGACGTCATTACAGAACTCATCTTCTTGTGCTAATCTTTGCCTTGCTGTCTTCTCGTTTCCTTCACTCATTGCGTCGAAACAGCAGCTACGTGGAGGATACCATTCGCGCTCCTCCAGGCTACAAAACACGGCACAAACGTGTTAGAACGCTAAGGCCATATCTACTCCTTCTTTTTTTCCTCTCCCTCCAACCTCGTGCGGAACGAGGAACGCACACATACAAGACCGGAAACAAAACCAAAGACAGGAGAGAAGAAAAGCAGGCACCGCCGCCGCCACCACCGCACGCGTCCATCTTCACAACTTCACTTGAATTTAGTGCTTTTGTTCTTCACATCTTTCCTATTTGCGTTATTTATCATCACATCCACCGCAGCGGTAAGCCAGGGCAATGGGACAGAAAGGTTCGCGATGGGTTTCGGCCGTTGCACCGACGAGTGCGGAGGAGGCGCAGAAAGGGGTCGACCTCGGCGAGCGCGTCTCCCTCGAGGCGCACAACGCGGCAGTGATCGGCGCCGGCGTGGCAGGCGTGCACGTGGCCTACGAACTGGCCAACATGGGCTTTAAAGTCACAGTGTTCGAGCGTCGCGACGACATTGCAGGAGGCGAGACTCAGTACTCGCTTCCTTTTGTCGGAGTGGGGCTGGTGGAGCCGACCCTCGCACGCGCCACTTTGCGCTCTGAGATTTTGCGCAGCGTGTTGTTCCCTGCCGCCTGCCCCGACCTTATCGCGCGTGAGCATCTCTTTCACACCGTCCTGAACCCCGTGATGTATCGCTGGATGTGGGGCCGCCTCTGCAGCTGCTTCTCTGACCAGGAGGTCTTGCAGTACACGAACAACCTGTCCCGAGTGAGTCACACGGTGGTGCGCGATCTCGTGAACAAGTACCCACAACTGCAGAAGCACGTTTTTGCCGGTCCGGTGACCGTGCTGAACGAAAAGAAAGAAACCGCGGCAACGGCGCACAGCGAGCCTTTCATGGTCGACCCTGTCGGGTGGACGCGCGCCATGGCGAACATCTGCCGCTCGCAGCTCGGCGTGGAGTTCGCGCTGGGCGTGCGCTTGGAAGACACCAACACGTACCTGAAGTATGACGTAGAGTCGATGAAGAGCATTCGCGTCTCCAAGCTCGACCCCCTCAACCCAAACCAGCGCGTCTTTGCGAACGAGATGTACGATGTGGTGGTGCTCGCCGCGGGCTCCAGCACCGGCACCATTACACTGCCAAACTCACGCCTCCCCATCTTAGGCCTGAGCGGACTCTCCGCCGTGGTGCAGCAGCCAGCGGGCGAGCTGAAGGACGCGCTGTGGTCGCTGTTTCAGCGTCGGCCGCCGGCACCCCGTCGCGGTGCGGATGCGGATGTTTCTTCTATCGCCGACCCCACTACGACTGCCGTTGCCGCTGCAGGGGCCGCCTCTTCTCGGTCGCGACCAGCCCCTGGCACGCTGGCCTTGCTGAGCTCGAAGTGCAGTCTGTACGCTTACACCTGGCCAGGCGCCACTACCGCCAACGCAGATGCGTGCGGCGCAACTTCCCTGGTGCAATCCAAGGTGATGCCGACTGCGCAGGACTACGTAGTGCAGGGTCTTCTATCGCTGGACAGCACATTCAAGTCCCGCAGCGACTCCATCGTGACGCAGCAGTTGGAGCGTCTTGAGTCCTATATTCGTATCAAGTGCGGCGCGACGGTGCCACTGTGCTCATCCACACCGGCAGAGGCCGACAAGACGTGTGCGCACGCTGACGGTGACAACAACAGCAGCCACACAAGCTGCACCAAGCACAACAACATCCACATGAGCGAGTACGTGCGGGCTTTCACGCCGGATGGGGTGCCGCTCGTTGACCATAACGGTGGCGCCTTCAACTGCTTTGTCTGTAGCGGATTTGGTGACCACGCGATGGACTTTGCGCCGGGTGCGGCCAAGGTGCTCGGGAAGCTGGTGGAGCACCAGGCACAGCGGTTGCGTGAAGAGGACATCGAAAACGTCAAGACGTGGGGGGTGCTGGCTTCGAAGCTGACCCCGAGCCGTCGAGCAGAGGTCGAGTCGGAGCTACAGGCCCTCTTCAACGGTGTTGTGCCGCGGGAAGCAAACGAAGGGAAAGATGGTTCGTTGTCGGCTGCCACTCTTGCGGCAGACCTTACCGCGGCGCCGCAGGAGCCGACGCTCAAGTTTGAGATGAACCCTTTCAGCACCAACCGCTTTACAGGACTTGTGCGCAAGGAAGTGAAAAATGTGACGACGCCGTCGTGGCTGGAGCAGCTCTACGCCTTCGAAGATCGACTTCAGGCCCGCATCGAGCCCTATCGTGTCGGCCTCCACCACAGGATGATGGACTTCGCGGAAAGGGACAACGTGCCGGATGCGCTGCGCACCATCATCTTTTGTTACTTTTACGACGAAAGCGACGACCCCGACGCGGTGTCGCGCAAGTTGGCGCTCCGCGACGAGATACGCCAACTCGCCGAGAAGTACGAAGCGCCCGCAAGCACGCAGGACGGTGTTGCCGGTCTCACGCCCGCGGAGCGTAGCCAGAGGAAACAGGCGGAGGCGGAGCGTCAGACTCGTGAACTCTTTTCCAAGCCGTGAACAACAGCTCTTGCAGTGAGGCGATGCGGTGTGGATGGTGGAGTACGAAAGTAGGGGGAAGAGAACGAAAAAGGCTCTTTGTTTCCCTTTGAGTCTTTCGCAGGGTTGCTGATTTCTTCCATCTCTTGTGCTTGTTTGGTTTCCGTAAGGCTGCCGAGTTGCACTCCAGTGCGTGTTTCCGTAACGGCGTCGGTGAATGTGGCTGGTATCTTTGTATTTTCATACTCTTCTTTTTTTTTGAGAGAAAGGGGGAGTGGGTTGCGTGCCTAAGACGCACTTATCGGTGTCCCACATGAAACTCATTCTCACAAATCAAAACACGCACACAGACACAACATGGCATGCGACCGTTTTGTGTTCAACAAAGAGTGGGCACTTTCCTTTTCCCTTCTTTCTCTGCCGTCATTTTGTGGTTAGCTGTACTCACAGCACCGCTTGTGAGGCACCTGTTAAAGTTGGTAGTAGACTGTAACGCAGAGAGATGTTCGTTTTCCTATCACCTTGAATTGACGGCCTATGCAGAAAAGACCACTGTATTGTTCTTAAGCTGCTACACGTTGTCCTCAAAGTCATGACCTTCTTTACAGTGAGCCGTTTCTTCTTTCTCAACTGATCCTTTCATCTCACATGACGCAACGTAATGGGCCCAATGTGTATCGTCCAGCATCACAGGAACAATACAACCGTGCCCACAACGCGCATTACACAGGAGAATAATTTCTCAAAGAGTATCTGTTTCACTGCAAGTTTACCAGCATGCACACCATGCAGTTAAGAGTAGCCACACCACTTCTTCTCGTGCTGTGCGTGTTGGTCAGCAGTGTTGGTCTTGAACGCGCGACGGCACGAAAGGAGCTGCCTCTCAACACCGCGTTTCCTCCCGTTGTGCAGGACGCGCTGCGATGCGATGTGTGTGCCTTCATCGTGGCGAACTCGCTGAATCATGTGGAGGCGAAGCGGGACGAGCTGCGCGCGAAGCGGCTGGCGCTGCGGGAGGATGACGTTCTCGAAGAGACGGAAAACTTGTGCATCCCCTTCAAAGACCAGGGCCAGTGGATCCGGCAGGTGAGTCTGCAAGTGGCGCCAAAATCGTCGCAGGATGCGTCAGAGGGCCATCAGATGGAGGTCGGCGTGGTGAACTTCTACGGACGCTGTGGCCGTACCTGCGACACGGTAGCCGCGCTGTGCGAGGAGCTGATGGACCGCGATGTCATGGACGACTTCCCGGGGCAACTACTGAAGGTCTCGAAGGATGCGAATATGGCCGACGAGGCGCACCGCGACGCCGTCTTTCACCAGTTCTGCTACGCGTCAACATACTGCAAATTGCACCAGAAGTACGTCGTGGCGCTGGAGAAGGAGCTGCGCACGAACGTGAATTTGCTGGAGGAGATGAAGGCGGACAAGCCGCGTCGAATGAAGAAGGAGGAGCTAGAGATGGAGACGATGATGTACCGCCTCATGCGCGAGCAGCGGCAATCGGCGGACGTCTTCTCCCGTGACGAGATTCGCAAAATGCAGCAAGCCTTTATTCACGGTACGAAGGAGGACGTCGCCGCCGTGGACCCCAAAGCGTTCGACCTTTCCGACGAGGAGTTCGTCGCACTGCGAGAGCACATGCGCGCCGATGAACGCGTTACAGGCGGCAACCGAAGAGGTCAGAAGCAAGAAGGAGATGAGGATGGCGACTTGTAAAAGTGACACATACTACTACCACGCTTCACCGTTGTTGTTGTTACGGCGTATCTCGCATTCTTCATGGGCTTTATTCTCTTCTTTTCTTTCATTCAACGAGTAAGTGAAACAACAAAAGAAATCCGTAAGGGCCTTGCTGATGACCTGGCCCGTTTATTCTGTGTAGCGAGTCGGAAAAATATGAAAAGGTATTTGCCAGTTCTATATAAATCGAAGGCCGTCTTCCCGCATTATATGTTTTTTCTCCCTCTTATGTTGCACCCCATCTCTCGTGGTACTCTCCTCCCCGTCTTACTCTTCCCGAAATCCAGAATCGAACGGAAAGCAAGAAAAAAAAAGAGTTCAGCCACAGCCCTTCTTCTTTTGGAAAGGAAAAGAAAAGGCTTCACGCTATGGGACCGCGGAGGGTATCGTATTGCGCGTCTTGCCAGCTGCCGAACACTCTACCTAAATAGTTTATTACCTTCTCGAGCGTGTGTGTGTGTGTGTGTGCGTGAAGCGCTGCTAGCGTATGCATCGTGTAATGGACGACGACGATTCTCGCGATGCCTACTATGCGTACGGTGTCGACTTCATTCGCACCGCCGGCCTCCTGCTACGCACGACGCCCTCCGTCGTTTTCCGCGCGTCTATTCTCTTTCAGAGATTCGAGACCTCCGTGGACGCCCACTTCCGTTCGCAGTATATACGCCCAATGGATATGCCGGCGTATCGGCAGACGTTAGAAGCAGATTTAGTCCGTGCACAGCGACTTGCGTTGCAGCCTGCCTCTCCCCAGAGCAGCCCGCACATGACAGACGCCACACGCGACAACGGTGAGGAGGACAGCGACCCAACAGCCCTGCCAACCGGCGCGGAGTACCGCATTCCAAATCACGCACAGCAAGAGATGCGCACCGGTCTCGTGCCGCTGGTCGACCTGCGTGCCCCTCTCGATTACTGTCTGCAGCACCTCATTGACCAGGAGGACATCGTCTACCTCTGCGCGGCGTGCCTGCTGATCGCCACGAAGATGGAGGACCCCGCCATCCGTATTCGGACGGTGGTGAACACCTGCATGCGCGTCAGCGAGCGACGCGCCGGCGTCGTGGTCAACGAGCTGCAGAAGCCGCCCACGGCACGTTACGAAGATTTCAAGGCGTGTGTCGTCGACGCGGAGGAGGTCGTGTTGCATCAGCTTGGCTTTCAGACCTTCGTGGATAGCCCGTACAAGTATGTGCTGCTTTACCTGAACGTCCTCGTGGAGCCGACGGAGGCGAGTGTTGCCGACGCTGCCGCAGCGAAGTACCTTACCGTCCCGAAGACGTCTTCCTCTCGCGCCATGCAGACGCCGTCTCGACCTTCATCCGCTGCCCTCACGCAATGGATGGTGCGGGCGGTGCAGCTCGTCAACGACCTCCCACGGTGTCGTCGTCTTGTAGACGTTGCGAGCGACGTACTCGCCCTGTACGCCATTCAGCAGACGTGCCCTTCGGACCTGACTCCGCCGCCAAACTGGACAAACGTGTTTGGCGTCACCGAGGCCACCGTGGCCGTTGTCGCACGTGTGTACGCAGCGTATCTGAAGGACGGCCTCGGAAGCCGTCGTGCCAGCGACGCGCTGAGTGAAATACGGACAGGAAGCACGGCGGCCCCCTACCGCACCGTCAAGGAAGGCCTGGAGTATGACGGTACCTTAAAAGGATTGAAGGAGATCCGGCGTGCTGTTGTTGGGAGGGGAAGTGGTCGCACGTCACACAACACTTCACCTGCACCGCCTTCAACAGGTGACCACAGCTCGATAACCCGCTCAGCTGATGTGGCGACTTCTCTTCCGCCAACCAAAGCGAGCATTGAAGAGTTGCGCGAGTTGATTGGCTCTCCTTTTGGATCTCCTCTCCCGCCGCTTCCACAGGTACCACCGCAGGCCGCTGGAGGCCGCCGGGATCGTACCGAGGCGCACAACTTTGCCAACGTGCCCAAACGAAGCCGAAAGGATCCGCACCACGACGGGACTGAATGAACTTTACGCTCTTGTTAGACGGAATGCGAAAGTATTCACACGACGCGAAAGGTACCTAAACACATACCAAGCAAAAGTGCATTGCGTGCTGCTCGTAGGGCAGCTACTGACGCCTCTCCTGAGCGCTAAGTTGTTTTCTTAACTTCGTTTCTGTCACTCGGTTGACCAGCTGCGTTTCTTGCTCAATCGTTCCGTTGCATATGTCCATTTCCCCGCTTTCCCAGTTCCTCCATTTCCACCTCTTCCATCTCTGGAAGTTCATTTGACTTTTTTTTCTGGCTTGTGTCTCTCAGTACATCAGAACTAAAACAGGGCACCGCATCATTTTTTTCCTCCTCTTCGACTTCGTTAGTCCGCTGTCTTCAGTGTAAGATGCATCAGAGCGAAATCTGTTGACTGTCCTCGGAGAACTCTCTTTTAAAAAAAAAAACCAACACGATGTATGCTCGTTCCGTGGAAGTGTACCCGGCTCTCGTGACCGAAGCGGTGCTGGACTTCTACGCACAGTACCTCGTTGCACGTGCTGCTTCCTCTCATAGCGACGATGGAGCAGGTCAAGGCACCGCTTCAACCTCGCAGGAGGTGCCGCAGAGTCTTGAGGAAGCGCTCGCACCTTTAGAGGTCCTTTATGGAAAGACAGCGTTATCCGCCATTGGAATTGCCCTGCACGGGGCCGAGCCTGTTATTCGTTATGTGGAGGAAATAAACCCAGAAGCAGAGCATGAACGAGAAAAGGACGACCGAGGCGCAGTCGATGAGGAGGAAGAGGTCACCTCAGATGACGAGGAAGGAGGTGTGCACGTACGAATGGCTCCACCTGCAAGCAGAGAGGCTACCGCTACGGACCTTGCAAGCCCGTCGTCGTTCGCCACTCAAGACAGGAGGCGAAACGAAGAACCGCACGTAACAGCAGCAACAGTGACAACAACGACGCTCTCGCAGCAAGCGAGGCAACGCGGCCGTTGTCTCTACCACGTTGGTGAACACACTCTCTTTTCTCCCTACTACTGTCCTTGTTCCGCGTATGCCTATCAATCCATCCAGCGGCAGGAGGTGTGGTGTTGCAAGCATCTGCTCGCCCTACAACTGGCGCTGCGCGTGGAGGCAACGGGGCTGCCGCAGGAAAACTTACGCGACCGTATCGTGCCCGCCGCCGAATTCACGCAACTCTTGTCATGTGCACTTTAGTCCTTCGACGGATGCTGTTTTCTTTAAGTGATTTTGTTGTTAGAGGTTTTGGTTGTTTTTCCTGCTGATTCCGCCTTGGTGACTGCTAGCGGCGCTGTTTGTTCTCCCCTTTTTGATGTGTTTGAAAAACAATGTGGCACACCAAAATGAAAGGTGGAGCGCCTCTACGCAACGCATGTACGGCGATGCCAGCACCCACACATACACATTCATTCACCTACCTGTAAGTGTGTACGCATGTGTGTGGTGGGGGGGGGGGGGAGGGGGGCAGAGATGAAGGGTGTTCTCTTGCAAATTTGGAAGGGCACCTTCCCTCATGTGAAACACAAAGCGGTGACGAGCTACCATCACCACTGCCTGCGCGAGTGGGCTCCATCGCTTTTATCGAACTGCTCTTCTCGTTTGCCGCTCCTCTTTTTTGCCGTTTTCCATTCAACTCCTTTTTCCAGAGTCTTTCTGGATGTAAAGCAAAAAAAAAACCGCTTTTTTTCTTAGCGCTCTTTCGTGGACATCGTTGTAGCGCAGCGGTGCCCACTGCCATTCAGCTGGCAGTGCCCATCACATTTTTCGCTCTTCTTCTCGTCGTCACAGTAGAAGATCCACTTTCCCCTTCTCTGCAACTTGAATGTGTTTTGATGCATCTTCGTTAGTGAGCTAGCTTGTCAAGCACGATTGCATTCTCACAAAAGATAACCTTTTTTTCTGTGCTCTTGAAACGCCCATCCAATAACGCACACACACATACACACGTAGCTCGTAGCTCGTAGCTCTTCACGGTTGCGTTAGCCTCGTTGTGTCTCGCTGCCACGGCAGAGCGATAAAAGGATGTTTCGGTGCAGCACGGGGCTTGCGCGAGGCTACGGCTGCGGTGTCTTCGCGCGTACCGCAGGGAGGTTAAGGAAACGGAGCGACAAAAGTAGTAACCCTTATCCCACCGCGGCACGCACGGTCATCTACGCCGCCGCCGCCAAGGCAGCCCCCCATGCGTCTACCCCCACCGGTACTGCTACTACTACTGTTGTTTCTCCCTCTTCCTCGTCCCCTCACCCTTCCTCTCCCCGCTCATCAGCATCCAGTCCAGTCCATTCTAGCAAGCGCAGCTCCACTAATATAGTAGGTTTGTCGTCGGTTTCCTCCGTGTTTAACTCACAAGGCACCGTCACCCACAAGATGACGCACGACAGCAATCAGCAGCAGCACCAGGACCCGCAGCCGCAGGCCGCCAACGTGGGCCAGGAAGGGCCGCTGAAGAACTACCCCGAAGTCTTCCACTTCTCTCAGATGGAGGAGGAGGTTTTAGCCATGTGGCGCGAGAAAAAATGCTTTGAAACTTCCATGAAGCTCTCGGAGGGCCGTGAGCCATTCAGCTTCTTCGACGGTCCGCCGTTCGCGACCGGTCTGCCGCACTACGGCCACATCCTGGCGGGCACCATCAAGGACACGGTCACTCGTTTCGCCTACCAGACCGGCCACCACGTCGTGCGCCGCTTCGGCTGGGACTGCCACGGCCTGCCGGTGGAGTTCGAGATCGATAAAGCACTCGGCATTAAGTCCTCGCACGACGTCGCTAAGATCGGCATTGCCAAGTACAACGAAGAATGCGAGAAGATCGTGACCCGCTACGTGACGGAATGGGAGAAGACGGTCCAGCGCATGGGCCGCTGGATTAACTTTGAGAACGACTACAAGACCATGTACCTGTCCTACATGGAGAGCGTGTGGTGGGTCTTCTCGCAGCTGTGGGAGAAGAAGCTGGTGTACCGCGGCTTCAAGGTGATGCCCTACTCCACGGCGTGCACGACGCCGCTGAGCAACTTCGAGGCGAACTCGAACTACAAGGATGTGAGCGATCCCGCCGTGACGATCGCCTTCCAGTCTCGCGCCGACCCAAATACCTATTTCCTCGCCTGGACCACCACGCCGTGGACGCTGCCGAGCAACCTGAGCCTCTGCGTGAATCCCGAGCTCGACTACGTGAAGGTGCTGGATGCCAAGACGGGTCGCCACTACTGGCTTGCCGAGGCCCGCCTGTGCGAGGTGTACCCCAAAAAGAAGGCTGCCAAGAAGGATAAGAAGGGCGACGACGCGGCGGCCACGGCGGGCGATGCCCCAGCGTACACGGTGCTAGAGAAGACCAAGGGTGCGACGCTCGTCGGTGTCAAGTACGTGCCGCTCTTCCCCTACTTTGCAGAGGTGATGAAGGAGACCGCCTTCCGCATCATTCCCGGCGCGTACGTCACGACGGACGCCGGTACGGGTATCGTGCACCAGGCCCCCGCCTTCGGTGAGGACGATTACCAGCTCTCCCTCGACAACGGCATCTTCACTAAGGGCGGCAAATTTGTCTGCCCCGTCGACGAGAACGGCATCATGACGGCGGAGGTGACGGACTTCGCCGGCCTGCACGTGAAGGAGGCCGACCACGAGATCATCAAGTACCTCGAGGCGAAGGGCAACCTGGTGCACAAGGCCTCCATTGTCCACAGTTACCCCTTCTGCTGGCGCAGCGACACCCCGCTCATCTACAAGGCGGTGGAGTCGTGGTTCGTCAACGTCGAGGCCTTCCGTGACCGCATCATCGACTGCAACGAGAAGACGTACTGGGTGCCAGACTTTGTCAAGACCCGACGTTTCGGCAACTGGCTCTGCGAGGCCCGCGACTGGAACGTGTCACGCAACCGCTACTGGGGTACGCCGATGCCGATCTGGCACAGCGAGGACTGGGAAGAGGTCGTCTGCATCGGCAGCGTGGCGGAGCTCGAGAAGCTGTCCGGCCGGACCGGCATCACGAACATCCACCGCCAGTTCGTTGACGACATCACCATCCCCAGCAAGCGCCCTGGCATGCCACCACTGAAGCGTGTGGAGATGGTGTTCGACTGCTGGTTCGAGTCCGGCTCGATGCCTTACGCTCAGCAGCACTACCCCTTCGAGAACCAGGAGCTCTTCAAGAGTCTCTTCCCGGCCGACTTCGTCTCGGAGGGTCTGGACCAGACGCGTGGGTGGTTCTACACCCTTCTCGTACTCGGCGTCGCCCTCTTCGACATCTCACCGTTCCGCAACTGCGCCGTCAGCGGCCTCGTGCTCGCCGAGGATGGCAAGAAGATGAGCAAGCGTCTCAAGAACTACCCCGAACCGCAGGTGGTGATTGACGCCTACGGCGCAGATGCCCTGCGCATGTACATCATCAGCTCCCCAGTCGTGCGCGCGGAGCCGCTGCGTTTCCGCGAGACCGGCGTGAAGGGTGTGGTGCGGGACATCCTGCTGCCGCTCTTCAACGCCGCCAAGTTCTTCACCTCCAACACGAACTACTGCATCGCCGCGGGCGGCACGGTCTCGCTGGACGTGCGCAGCACCAACGAGATGGACCGCTGGATTCTCGCCTCCTGTCAAACCCTGCTGGGTTACGTCAAGGAGGAGATGAAGCTGTACCATCTGTACAACGTCGTTCCCGGCGTTCTGCGCTTTGTGGTGGACCTGTCAAACTGGTACGTGCGCATGAACCGCCGCCGCATGAAGAACGCGACCGACAGCGAGGACCGCTCCCAGGCACTCTCGACGATGCTGTACGTCCTCTTCTCCGTCTCCCGCATCCTTGGCCCCATCGCTCCTTTCGTGGCGGAGATGCTGTATCAGCACATCAAGCCGATTCTGCCCACCAGCGAGCAGGTGGACTCTGTGCATTACCTCATGATCCCCGACGAGGACGTCGCCTTCGACGACACGGAGCTGGAGCGGGCCATGTCGCGCATGATGAACATTGTCGACCTCGTGCGTGTGCTGCGCGACCAGATGGTCATCCCGATCAAGCGCCCCGTGCGCCAGGTCGTCATTGTGCACCCCGAGCAACAGTACCTCGATGATGTGCGCAAGGTCGTCAGCTACATCAAGGACGAGGTGAACGCCTTTGAAATTGTCCTTTCGAGCAACGACGAGTACGTTGAGACGAAGCTGGACGCGAACTTCGAGGTGCTCGGCAAGAAGTACCGCAAGGACATGCCAGCGATCCGCAAAGGCATCCAGGCGATGTCGCCCGCCGATGTGGCGAAGTTCCTGCATGACCAGAAGGGCGTTATCGCCGGCAAGGAGCTCACGATGGAGGACGTCAAGGTGCTGCGCCATGTGAAGGACGGCATCGCGGACTTTCAGAGCAACACCGACAACGACGTGGTGGTCCTGGTGGACAAGCGTGAGGACCAGCAGTTGATCGACTCGTGGCGCGCGCGTGAGTTCGTGAACCGTGTGCAGCAACTGCGAAAGAAGGCCAAGCTGCAAATCTCTGACGACGTAGACGTGTTCTTTGAGGCCGAGGAAGCCGAACTCACCACGTCCATCATGAGCTGCAAGGATCAGGTCAACCAGACCCTGCGTGGGGTGTGGACAACGCTGGACCAAAAGCCCAGCGACGCGGAGCTGATCGCAGAGGAGGACAACAGCATCTCGGGTGTGGCGGTGCGCCTCGTCTTCACCAAGCCGAGGGCGTAAGGTTTGCGATGTCGCGAGACCACTAGTTCAACAGCCCTCTATAACGTTACTACCAATATGTTCCTTTATTGTTGTTTTCCTATTGTTATTACTATTGGGATGCGCTCTCTGACTCCTTGAAGAGCGAGAGAAAGAGAGAGACACCGGTTGTGCGTGACTGTCACCACATTGACACTCATCGCTTTTTTTCAATTGCTGCCCGTCCGAAGTGTCTTCTTCTTTCTAGCAGAAGGTGTATGTGTGAGCGCGTGCGCTACCTAATTAGTATCTCGAAGTAAGACTGTCAGCTTCTTCTTGCTTTTTCTTGGTCATTTCAATTCAATCCTGTTGTAGATATTCATAGCGAGAGAGAGAGAGAGCATGTTCCCGAGGGAGGTTGTCGCGAACCACGCTGGGGTGTGTGTTTAGAAGGGCGGACAGACACTGCTTTTTAATTTGTTTCTAAAGTTAATAATTATGGATTTGTGGCGTCTCTAATGAAAAGCGATAGAGCGTGAGAGAAAGTGACGTGGCCAACGAAGGGTGCAGCGCCTTTTGCTCGTACTCCACGATTCTGTGCATCCACTTTGGAGTTGTCTGACCTCGCGCGATACTTTACGGACGGAGACTGAAGAAGTACTAACAAGAAAATGATAAGGTCTATTATTACTATATTTGTGTGTGGTTAAAGAGGCGGCCCGCTTCTCTTTTGTTGTTTTAATCGTCATTTGGTAGGGGAACGTGAAGCGTAAGAGAACGTAAATAAAATGCTTTGTACCCGCTGCCAACCCCGAAAAGAAGCGCCTTTATGTGTTAGAGAAAAGGTTGTTGGTAGGTTTCTCGGGTTGGTGAGTTTTCCGAAGAAAAAAAGATCGCAGTCGTGATCGTGCTTAACTCGTCGTACAATTACCGGTGCAGAATAACACGTGCTCCATATTGCTTTTGTTTGTTTTGGTGTGCGGTGTATGGTGCCGAAGGAGGAGGAATCTCATCGGAGCGGTGTTTTTCGCCTGCCTCGGTCATTTGGTAGTGCTGTGGTGCTCTCTAACTATTATTTTTTTTGTCGCAACGCAAGTGCTTTCGCGTGAAAGGTTTGTCGGGCTTAAGAAACGGTATGAAAGGAAAGAAACGGAAAATGTACCAATAAAGAAATTTAATGTTGTGGGCTTGTGTTCACTTGCACTCGGATCGAACGTAACACGCACCATGCGGGCTCCCTACTGCGTTTTCTTTTTCGATCTCTTTGCCTACGAAAACCACCCCAACACCCACTTGCCTCTCTCGGTCAATAGGCCGCTACGATGTGTTGATAAGGGAGAGATGTGACGTCAGCTGCACTTAGACCAAACTCACAATCGCCTTTTTTTCCGATGCATTTTTCTTACTCTCTTTGTCATTCCCCCCCCCCCCACCCGTTGGGCGCCCTGCAACGTTTCTTTCTCGCATTCCGTCACACTCGCCCTCGCAGTACGGAGTTCGCCTCAGTGGTGGCACCAACAGCTAATCTCTCTCTCCAAAGAAAAAAAAGAATCAAGGCCGGCAAAATGTCAGCAATGCGTACGCTCCTCTCGCTGCTGGACGGCACGGTGTACGTCCTCCTCGCCCTCACCACCGTCGCGCTCGTCGTCGTCGCCGTAGCCCTCAGTCGCAATATGTACCGTGATGCCCTGCGCACTCAGGCCCGCTCGAATCTTCGCCGTGAGGACACCCTCACAAACGAGCAACAGGGCTTTCTCAAGTCTATGCAGGCCGAAGAAAACGTGGAGGAGGTGCTGCGCAAGGCGGGGTGGAGCGAAGTCTTTCTGCGCCGACGCGTGGCGGTCGCGCGCGTCGGCCACAACCGCGAGATCGACGTCGTCGCTGTGGGGCCCATCATCCTGGTGGTTGAAGTGAAGAACTGGCAGGGATACGTGTGGAGCCACGGCTCGAGCTGGTATCAGTGCCGGAACCGCAAAACGATGGACACGCTGCAGTTTGAGGATGTGCAGGAGGACAACGTGGAGAAGGCAGCGGCACTGCGGCGCTACATCGAGAACGCACGCCGTGTGGAGCTTCCCGATTCGAGTGTTGTGCAGACCGATGCTGTGATATTTGGACACGACAAGAGCAAACAAAACGGTCGAGGAACGTGGTACTCCGACAAGGCGATCCACAAGGTCTGTGGCAAGTGTGTGGTGCCCGTTGTCGTCTTTACAAACCCGCGCGTGAAGCTGGACCCTGCTACGGTGAAGGCGAAGAAGTACGTGTTTACTCTCGATACGTTTGGCGCCTTTGCGCAGCAAGTCCTGCACGGCAACATCGACCTTGACGCACTCAACGACGTGGTCACGCCGTCCTCGTGGTGGTCGTGGGCTCCTCTTGTGCGAGCGCACACCCGTGCCCCGCGCGCCGCGCCGGCGGGGACAGCCGGTTCTTTTTTTCTCACGGAGGATCAACAGTGCCAGGTGGCAACGGTGGTGGACGTGATGCGCACGTGGGACGTCATCTACTTCCTGGATAGCCGCATGGTAACAGGTGACCTGCAGAGCATTGACGTACCGAGTGCCTTCTGTTCGTACGAACGCAAACACCTCCTCGACATAAACGTTCGCTGGAACCGCGGTGTTTGGGGTCTTGTGAAGACCTTCCTGACGAACAAGGCGGGCACGGTGGAGCTGGTGCTCGCGACGGCGAAGCGGCTGGCAAAGAAAAGGAATGAGAGGAAGCCGCGCAACGCGCAGGGGAACATCGTGTTTCCGATGGTGCCAAAGAAAAAGAAGGGGAATGACACGATTGTGATGAAGATGGCCGGCACCACGGAGCTGAAAACGATCCTGTTGTGCGACGTGGACCGCATTTTCCTCAGCCATCACCTCTACGAAAACGAGAAACAGCTGGCGTAACGGTGCGCACGGGGGAGTCTGTTTTCCTTGGAGTAATGCGCCTCCCATTTTGGTTTAACTTGCTGTGTGAATCGAAAACTAAAGTAATTATTATTTTTTCTTTTGAGGAGTTTTCTTTTTTCGAGTAATTCAATTCTTGGTTTGCTAATTCTCCGACAATGGGAAGAGGGATAATGTTCTGTTTCAGCTGTTTCGTCGCCGAGACTCGTTCGCACGCAGTGGGTGTGACTTCCACAACCGTTGAACGCGCATGATGACGGGTTCGTGTGTGTGTGGTTACTGCTGTGTGTTTGTGGTTACTGCTGGTTGGCAGCAGAGACTGCGAGAGAAGGTGGAAATGGTCAGTCTTTTTGGGGGGATGTCTCTTTCTGATCTTCTCGTAAGCAGTTGTGTGAAAAGGTGTCTTCTTTTTTCTGTTTCTCTCACTTTCCCTCTCTCTCTCTCGTCCCTTCTCCACTTCGATTCTCTCTATGCACATGAAACAGTGCAGCTTCGCAGACGCAAATGCTCACACGCTCCCTTGCGCGGCTTTGGACACCGAAATACTTCCGTGGACAGAATCGTAATGCCGCTCGCCACATCGGACCACGACGCACGCGCACAATAGAATCCACAAGTCTCTCTTCTACGGCTACTTATCCGACACCAGTGAAAGAGCGGAGGTCGGAAGCAACGCAAGTTCGAACTCGTCCTTCACTACACACACCCCTGAGCCGTAAAACTCGTCAGCAGTTGGCAGCAGCACCCGCAGTACCGGCGTTCTCTATCGATGTGAACGCTGCTGCCTCAGCAACCTCTACGACGCCTGTACTCCAGCTCGTGCAACAAGCTCAACAACTGCTGACGCAGCTTTCCCAGCCTTCTTCTGTTGTGTCGTCATCATCTCCGACGACAATAACGGCTGAAGCGATGCGCAACTACGTGGAGTTCACGGCACGGCGCGACGTCTTCGGCCCGTTGCGCCACTACCTGCCTCCCGCTGTATCGTCGGCCGCCACGAGAGCCAGCGGTGCCGCCGCCCCACGTTTTCGACTGGTCCCTTCCACCACAGCGCCTGTCACAGCGGATCCGTCTGCTCTACCAACGGCGAAAGACGAGGGGGTGCAGGCGTTTCGTCTCGCGGACCTGATCGTGTTTCTTCAATTATACGATTCTGTCGACGCTGATGACGGCCAGCTGCTGGTGCAACTCATGACAGAGGTGCACCGGCAGTTGTTCGCCTACGCGTTGGCGCAGAAGTCAACCGCGGATGCACCTGGCACCAACTCACGCAATCCGACGTCCGCCGAACAGGCAAAAAACAACACGGATAATTGCCGCAGCCGCGACCGGGGCGATCAATTGAGCAAACCAGTGGTGTACCTGCCTCTGCCAGCGTTACTCTTCACGATGTCCTCATTGGGACTTGTAGAGGAGGCCGTTTTAGAATTGGTCACCACAGCGGCGGCCTCCACCGACGGCTCTCGAGCGCGGCGCGGGTTGCTGTATCGGCAGCTGCCTCTCTACTCCTCCGAGGAGCTCATCACGCTGCTCATCGCGCTGCACCGCTTTGGCCATTCGCAGCAGCCGTCCATGAAGGCTGTCACCAAGACCCTACGTGCGTCGCTCTACAACCCCGCTACTGCAGCGAGTTCTTTTCATCGCATCATGAAGGGCATCAAGAAGCGCACGCAACGCACGGCAGGCACCGCAAACGCGGAAGCGGTGGAGGCGCAACTTCCCAAACTGCGTGTGGAGGGCGACGACGAAAGTGCAGAAGTCAACGTGGTGCGGACGCTTCAGTCGCACGTGGAGCTGCAGTCGTTGGTAGTCCAACTGCACAGCCCGCTGTTTTTATTGCTGGAGGCGCTCACCGCTGCTGCCATGACGGTCTACCGTCGCAGCGATGTGATCTCCTTCCTGTCCGATTGGATCGCTGTGACTGCCGTGATGGAGCTCGCGGCGGCGCTGCGTTGCCCCGGCAGTGGCCGTTCTGTTCTTTCTTCCAGCACCTCCCATCGGGTTCAGGAGGAAGCACAAGAGTACGTGCTCTTTGTGGCCCATCAACTCCTGCGCGCGGCGAAGCTCACAGAGGAGATGGAGCTTCCACAGCCGGTGCTGTCTGCGGTGTTCGCCTGGAGCTGCACGCTGTCCGGCAAAGGCGTCGTTGTCGATGGCGGGGAGGACAGCAAGGTGCCGTCGGAGCGCGTGGCGTTCTATGATCACGTTACGGCCGACCTCATCAAGGCAAAGCGCACCGATTGACGCTCCGTCGGAGTAAGGGGGAGAAAAGACTTGAACCGACAAGGCACGCTCTCTTGTTGTTGTGTGTTATTCTGCCTGTTTAACTGAAAGCACTCACAGATGCTGAAGATGAATCCTCAACTGAAGGTTAACAACACGTAAGCGAAAGGAATCAACATCTTTTTTTTTATTATTTTGGCGCTTTGAATGTTCAGCTGCGTGTTCTATGCAGGTATCATTAGAACGGAAGGCTAAGAAAAGGTATTCTATGCTTGTAGAAAAGCATCTTCTAGGTCGACTGATGCTCACCTTCTTTCCGTATCCTTCTCTTCTTTTTCTTTTCTCATTGATCACCTGCGAAAACCCACCATGGAAAGGGACGGAAAGCTGCTGCTCGGTTGCCTTTTTGCGACAGACAAAGCACGGCGAGGTCGAGCAGGGTCGTCGTGTACTATCGTCTACAAGCGATTAAGTCAGGTCACTCCAACAACGAGAATAGAAGCAGTACACCCGAAACACAACATCAACTGCGCTTCTCAATGAGTCAATCGCCAGCAACAAAGAAAGGCGGCGAGATCGATGATATTCGTGCCTGCCTGCGCGAGCCGCCAAAACCCGGCGATGCACCGACAAAGCGGGCGGCTCTGCGCAAAGTCGTCGCGATGATGACGAGCGGCATCGACACCTCTGCGCTCTTTCCCGATGTGATCATGTCCTGCTTCACGAGCGATGTGGTGTGCAAGAAGCTCATCTATCTGTACCTCATCACGCAGTCAAAAGGCAAGGAAGACCTCGCCGTGCTGGCCATCAATGCGTTGGTGAAAGAGTGCAGCGACCAGAGTCCGGTGGTGCGCGGCGTGGCGCTGCGCACGTTGGCCGCCATGCACGTCCCGAACCTCCTCGAGTACTTGGTCCCACTGGTGGAAAAGGGGCTGAGTGACTCCTCCGCGTATGTCCGCAAAACGGCCGTGTGCTGCCTGCTCCGACAGTACCACCGATCCGTCGAGGACTTCTACGAGCACCAGTACTTTGAGCACGCCCTCCGCATGTTGTCCGACCCGGATGTGCAAGTGAGCTCGAACGCGCTCGACGTACTGCTGGAGGTGACGCGACTGGAGTCCATAAAGGAGTTGGCGGCTGAGCTGCACCCACCCTTCATTGTCAGCAAGTCCCTCTTGTATCAGCTTTTAAATCGTCTGCGCGTGCTGAATGAGTGGCAGCAGATCCAAGTGATTCGGCTCTGCCTCCAGTACACTCCGAGCAGCGAGGACGAGATGTTTGACATGATGAATCTGCTGGACGAGCGTCTCGAATCGAACAACACCGGCGTTGTGATCGCCTGCAGTTGTGCGTTCTTCCACCTCACGCAAAACGCGCCGGCGGTTCAGCGAAAAGTGTTCCAACGGCTTCGCGAGCCGCTGCTCGTCATCGCCACCAGCCACGTCACGGAGACGGCGTACGCGGCGCTGTGTCACGTTAAACTGCTAGTGCAGCGCGACCCGCGGCTCTTTGACGAGGACATCCGCGCATTTTATTGCACTGTGAACGAGCCGTCGTCGAACAAGTGCGTCAAGATGGACATCCTCGCCTCCACGGTCACCGCCGCGTCCGTGAAGGCAGTATTAGACGAGCTGGTCGCCTACTCCGAGGACCGCAACGCGACCGTGGCCCGCACCGCCATTGCGACCATGGGTCGCGTTACCCTGAGGCTTCCCGACGCCCTCGGCTCGGTTCTTGCGTTGTTCACTGACTTCATCACGTTGGGCCTCGAGGACGTGCGCGGGGCAACACTGAGTGTGCTGGCGGACGTGCTGCGGCAACATGTCCAGCTCGATAAGGTCCGCCCGCTGCTGCAGACGATAGTGCAGTGCTACAAGGCCTCCCCGTTCACCGACGACGAAAGCCGTCTGTCGTTTCTCTGGCTGCTGGGCGAGTTCGGTGAGTACGTTGCGGAGGCGCCGTACATCCTTGAGATTTTTAGCGACAGCGTGCTGAAGGAGCCGGCGGCGCTGCGTCTGCAGCTTCTCACCTCCGCCGCAACGTTGTTCTTCAAGCGACCACCCGAGATGCAGCGGTGCCTCGGCCGCGTCTTTCATGCCCTTCTGAACGAATTCACAAGTGCTGATGTGCTGGACAAGGCGCTCCTTTACTTCCGTCTGTTGCGCACCGATGTGGCGGTGGCGGCACGCGTGATTTGTGCGGCGAAGGCGCCAATTCGCGCGTTTGCGGAGGACGTCGACGCGAACCTGCTGGACCGGCTGATGGCGGAGTTTGATACGTTGTCCGTTGTTTACGGTGTGCCGCAGGAAACGTTTATCGTAGACGATAAAGCAAGTGCTGGAGATGAAGAGGAGGAAGAGGAACAAGAGGTGGAGGAGGAAAGAAGGGAGGGAAAACAGCTGGAAATGTACAATCCCAATGATGTTGATGGCAACGGCGCGAACACACGTGCGTTGTTCATCGGGGACGCGTCGGCTGCCGGCATGGATCAACTTTTCGGCAGCGACGACGCCGCGCGAGCCGCCCCGCTGTGTCTCTCCTCGGATGCCCAGCTGGACGCGTCGGTCTTTCAGCAGCAATGGAGTCAGTTGGACGTCGCCGCGACTTTTTCGGTCACGCTGCAGACCAGCGGGATGCCCTCCGTTGACGCTGTTGAGGCTGCTCTGGAGGACCACGACATCTTCGTCTTGGCTTCAGGGGTGCAAGACGGTGCACAGAAGCTCTTTCTGTACGCGGAGGCCACAGCGCCGACACGCTGCTGGTTCTTTATAGAGGCCTTCGTCACCCTCACCGGGGCCGTCCGGGTGACTGTGAAGGCGGATGCGCCTTCGTCTTCACCCACGGTGGTAGCGTTTGAAGCACTTCTACGCTGCGCTTTCGACGCAGTGGAGTAGCTGCAACCGCTGTAATGGGTTGTTTGCCACGTCGCAGCAGAGCCGCTTTACCTTCACCGCATACGTCTATAAATGCGTACTTCGCTTGAAAACCTGTTCCCCTGCTTTTTGTGCTGCACGTTGGTACCTACCGGACAAGGCGTGTTTAAAAAAGAAGAGAAGCACGTATCTGAAGAAAACGGACTCGCGTGCAACAGTAGGGAACGGGGTCTGCAACACAACTGAGAGGGCGGTTCCACTTCTCTGTAAATAATAAAAGAAAACAGAGCGTTGTGTTGTTGTCGGAAGCAAGGTTTAACCAGTCTCCTTTGTTTGTTTCTTTTCTTTTCTTGCAAGCTTGCTGCATCTCACTCTTTCTCCTTCCCTCATTTCTTTCTTCAACCTTCCGCTTTCAACTCTGCGTAAAAGTAGAATATCGGGTTTTCGAGAGCTCACTTGGACACCGCCCCGCACGCCAAAGCGCACACAGAACAAGAACGAATAAGTGTTCCCCTCTTTTTGTACTGCAACTATTTATTGACAACGCGCCTTTGAGATTAATTTCCGTTGCAAAAGCATACCACAACAACAAAAATGACTGCACCACCTCCCCCTCCCCCTCCTCCGCCGCCACCACCGCCGCCGCAAAGAGTCGACGATGGGTCCGCGGCGAACGTCGATGGCGGCGTTGGCGGTGCGGCGGCTGCGATGTTCGCCGAAATACGCGACGGTGGCGACAACATCACCTCTCGCCTGCGCCACGTCACGGACGACGAAAAGATCTACAAGAAAAACATCCAACACGGTGAAATCGACATGAGTGAGCTGGAAAGGAAGAAAGCCGCGGCCGAAGCACGGCGGGCGGCGCAGCGCAGCGAAGACGCGATGAAGACCGCGCACGAGAAACCGGCGCAAGAGCCCGTATTGGAGCTAGAGGGCGACAAGCGGTGGACGGTGCGGCACCAAGCCGGCACCGCCGAGAAGCAGCTGAGGCTGGAACTCGACAAGGTGGAGATGCGCCACGCCGTCCGCATTGAGAGCTGCAACCATGTCTACATCACGCTGACAAACAAGGTGAACTCCGTCAGCGTCGTGAACTGCACCAAAGTGCAGGTGGTGGTGCAGACCGTTGTTGCCTCGTTAGAGGTGCTGAACTGCGCGGACTGCGATGTGCAGGTGACGCAGGCGGCCCCGACGGTGGCGGTGGAGCGCTCGTCCAACATCAACGTTTACCTTCAGGACAAAGAGGAGGCGCGCAGAACTGAAATCGTCACGGCGTGCAGCTCCACCGTGAATGTGCTCTTTCCGTCCGAGAAGGACCCCGACGACGTCGTGGAGCGGGCCGTCGCGGAGCAGTTTGTGTCCCGCATCGTGCCGGATGGCAAAGGGGGCTTCAAGGTGGAGACCAAACCGATCGAATCGTTCTAACAAAACAACAACGGCGAAGCTTTTCCGCGCTGTGTGCCGATGCGTATTTACCGTGCTTCGCTGTTTCTTCTTTTCTTTTTTCTTTTTTCTTGTTTCGTTGTGGATTGCTGTACTCGGTGTGTGTGTCTGTGTGAAAAGACAAATGAGACCGATAAGACTCGCTGTTTTACCTGTGTGACGTATGTGGTGGAATCGCCTTGCCGTCGTCCTCGTCTTCTACGCCAAGATCACAACGAAATGACGAAAGGCAGTGTGAGCTTACCTCTCCTACGATCGTTTCTCCTAGCTGTGTTGTTGAACATTCGGGGTGAGCTAACGATGCAAGGGAAACGCTTATCATTCCATCAACGAAATGCCACTGTGATTGCAGTTGACCCCCCTCCTTTTTTAGACACTCGAAAAACGGCTCCAGTAGTACTCTTTAGATGTCAAAAATTTTCTATGCCGTTAGTGCGGCTATAAATGGTGGCATAATTGTTTTTCCTAGTTACAATGAACCTTGCTTCCTTTATCCGCTTTCACCTCGTATCCTCCTTGTTGACTCTATTACACCTACTCTTAGCTCGGCGACTACAAGTCGTTCTGAATCTGGTGCACACCGATATCGTAGATCCTCTCTCTACGCGAAGAGCGTCAGTGCTTGGTTCCGTGTTCGAGCGCCTCCGTAGCGCTGCAGGTGAAACATTGATTTTTGGAGGTTCTTCTTCTTTGTTTTTCGATATTGACAGCGTTTGCCTTCTTGCTTGTGCACCAACAGTCTTGCCATTTTCACAGATCGATTATAGCATATATATATGTGTTTTTTTTTTTCACCTCTCTTCTCCGTTCTCTCTCGTGTTTTCATCGAACATCGTTTTTCTTACAACCAACTCTCTGGGAACTTGCAAACGCACACACCCACCACACACACAGGCGCACAAGCACGGTCAAAACTCTTTTTACTAGCCACACGTACCTCAGACTGCGGGCGGAACGATGGCGACCCTCAACACGGAGCTATCCCTCGTCCGCCGTTTTCACGCGCTGCTGCAGAACTACGACGCGCGGCCGGCGGTGGCGCAGCGCAACACTCTCCCGACCCTCTCTCGCTTCCTCCGCAGCAAAGACCGCGAGATCCGCAAGCTGTCGTTGGAGGCCGTCTACCTACTGGCGGAGCACCCGGAGAACTTAGAGCTGCTTGGCAGCGACCGCGAGTTGGTCGACGGCGTGGTGGAGATTTACGACGCCGCGCAATACGACGACCCGGAGCTGTGCGAGCTGTCTAGTAATACGTTAGACCTCCTCGCCTCCACCTTCGCCGACGGCGATCCGCGGGAGAAGGTGGTGGCCCGCCGCGCGGAGCAAGAAACCGGGGCGGGTCCAATGGGCACGTCGCGCCTTCAAGCCGTCGCCCACCCGCGAACGGGGACCTCGAGCGACCTGAAGGACCTGTCAAACGCTGTAGGCGAGTACGACACGATTGTGGGGATGACCCCCGGCGGCGGAAGGGCCGGAGAAATCCCTGTAGACGCGGACCAGCTGTCCATCGTGTCCAACGGTACGGGATTTGAGACGGCGAGTTGCAGCTCGCGGCCGACGCGGCGCGTGGCGGAGGAGCAGGTGCGACCCTCCGAGGTGATTCGAGGGGTTGGGAAGGACTGCCCGCTCTCCATCGTGCTGGAGATCCCCGCGCTGGATGCCATGACGGACATTTCAGAGATCGAAGAAATTCTGCAGACAACGCGCGGCGTCATTTCCTACACGGTAACGGCCAGCGCCCATCAGGTCCGCGTGTTTCTCTCCGCCTTCGCGCAGGCTCCACTGCAAAATCTGCTGGCGGAGGCAGGCTATGAAAATATCCTCGCAAGCGCGGAGAGGATGCGCTACCAGGCCGGCGATGGTGGTAATCAGAGTCTCAATAACAGCTTCTTCTTCGACGAGGGGGCGAAGCGGCCGACCTATGTGCAGACGGCGAAGAACTTTGCGTCAAGTTTGTTCCGCTCCGTCATGGTCTACCGAGACCCTCAGAATAATTCCCTCGCGGCACGCATCCAACAGCAGCGGAAGGCGCAGGAGGAAACCGGTAGCACCACAGCGGATCGTCTTGCACAAGCGTTTGCACGCTGGTGGTAATCGTAATGAACATGAAGGTGCTTACAAGTTGCAGCTCGTAGAACGCTCCGCCCGTTGTGGAGCTCCTAACAATAAAAAAAAACGCCTCTTCTTTGCGATGGGTGACGAGGCGTCGCTTTTTGGCTATTCTTGTTCCACGCATGAAGCGTGTATAAACTCAATTACACCACCACGCATACTACACCATTTCCTCTCGTTTGCTTTTCACTCTTCTTCTTTTTTTTTATCTAGAATACACGTCATTTCACATTTGTTTATACCTTTTCGACACTTCTATCCTTTTGTTTGCTTTGGTCGGCGTGAGCTGCTACGTTCTCTCGCCTCGGTTTCTACGCGCTGCAGAAGGCGTTTTTTGTTTTGTTGTTTCTCCGCATGCCCTTTTCTTTGCCCCTCGTTTTTACTGTCGTGCAACACAGGGAGACTTGCGACGTGGGAGAGCGGAAGCCAACGGGGATTCCCTGATCTTATTCCTTTTCCGTTCGTCACTCACATATTAAATAGCAGCTGCGGTCATGCTTCGTTTGGAGGCATGTGAATGGTGGAGCGAAGAGGTGGCGGGATTCGCTGCGGGACTTGGTAGGCCGTTTTTGGCTGAAATGGAGGACGTGCTTCCGTGTTTGGAAAGGTGTTCTTGTACTTGACAAGGAGCTTGACAAGAGCCACGCTCGACTTTGAGGTGGTTTTCTACTGCGCTTAATTGAAGAAGCGCACACGGGTTTCATTTACCTTAAAGAAAAAGGAGTACTTCTAAAAGGCCCAACTGGCAACATGCGACGTCCACCTACAAGCAACAGCAATTGAGAATGCGGTGTTCTCTCTTCTTTTCTTCACTCAGCAAAAAAGCAGACACATATAGCACACTCCTATTTGGAAAAGAGTCGCTACTAGGGCCAGCGAAAAGGGCAGTGCAGTAGCAGCTGTGGTTCTTCCGAATCGCCCTGTTTGTTGAGGAGTTGACGCGCACCCCGCGGGGTTCGGTATGTGCCTTCACCGGTGTATTGCATTTACTACGTTTTTTTTTCTTCTCTCTCTCTTCCCTCTTCATTTATTATTTTGAGTGTGTCTCTGTGTGTCTCTGTGGGTCTGTGCTTTGCGGACTTGGGCAACGCTCTCGCCACGTTCTCTACACTTCTGCGGCTTCAATTATCACCGGCTGTGACGACGCAATCGCGGCACCCGAGTTTTAAAAAAGAAAGCCCCCCAAACATCAGTGAATTCTCTCTCCCTTTCGTCGGTCTTCGTTTTCCATCGTATTGACGATGATGATCCCCTTCACAAAGCAACTCGCACTCGTGCTGGTAGCGCTTTTGGCGCTCGCCACCGGCACAGCTTCCGCCGGGTCCTCGTACTTTCTGTTTTCCGGTGTGTACGTGAAGCTGCTTCCGGGCCGAGAGCTGTGCTTGAACTACAATGCCTATCGCGACCCACAAGAGGACCCCGTGACAGTGGCGTTCCAGCACCGCTGCATCGACGTTCGACTCGCCACTGTTCGCACGAAGTTGTACGCGCCAAGCGCGGAGCCCGGCAAGCGTGGTCGCGAAATCCCCCTCAACGAGTTCGTCGACACCTTCGGTGACAACACGCAAATATTATTCAAAGCGGAGCAGACTGGAACGTACAAAATGTGTTTCCTGCTCCCGCTCATGAAGCCGGCCATGCGGTTTGAGATGTCTTTTAGCGCCGTAAACGACGTCGTCGAGCCGCCGACACTGGAGGACGACGCGTTCGTGGTGGATAAGCCGCCGGAGGTGCAGGACTACGCGGATCGGCTGCAAATGCTTAACCTCTCTCTCGAGACGACAGTGGATGAGCTGCGCATGTACGAAACGCGTCGCTACTTCTTTGATCACACGACAAGGTCGGCTTTCAACCTGTGTCTGTTGAGCGTGGTGTTGAACATCGTCATTGCCGTCGGCGTCAGTCTTTGGTCAGAGAGGTACTTAGAGAAGTTCTACGTGAAGCAGAAGATTGCATAGGGATTTTTTGTTCTTCGTCGCTCTCTCTGAAACGAGTATTTGCTTTACCTTGATGTACAACAACGCGCGCGTGAACGTCTTTTGTGTCGGTCTATGTGAAAAGGTGACGATGGTTCAACTGTAATGCCACGTATGTGTTTTGTCTCTGTATGTGCTTCTCTTTCCCTTTCTGTTTCTATCGCATACCCCAGAGAAGAAAAGAAAAAGTGGTCTATGAATGTAAAGGGCAGTTTCCTTGTGCGTCTTTAAGACGACTAATGTGCATCCTCCCGCCTCCCTGCGCGCTGAAGAGATGAAGTAGAGAAACTCGACAAGGTGCCGCTGTCGTACCAACAATTTATTGTCGCTGAATACTCCCGCGGCGGTGTCCAACCGGCTCCGGTGATTCTGTGTTTCCTCCTCTGCTTTCTCTCTATGTTTTTGTGTTTCTCGCGAGTACGTCGAAATACGCACTACTTTTCCGTCACTCTCCAGTGTGAAGAAACTCTGGAAGCAAACAGAACAAAAAAAAAGTGGACGCACAAACGAAGCACGAATGTCCTTTCAATGTTCCGGCGAGTGTCGCGTAGCGCCGCGATGCTTCCAGGGCATCGATGCCCCGCTGCTGTGCCGGCAGCTCTGCAGCTGACCTGTCAACGCCGTTGCAATAGTCATGCATCACAGCGCGAGGAAACGACACTCGAGGAGTACGCGGAGCGGCGTCAGTGCTTTCTTCGGCACCTTCCACCGCACAGTATCGCGTTGCTCCCCGCAGCCGACGAGGTCAGCTACAGCCACGACATTCTGTGCCCGCACCGGCAGGATTCGTTGTGGTATCACCTGTTCGGGTTGCACACGCCGTTGCGCCGGCAACTCGAGCCTTCGTCGTCCACCCTTACAGCGGACGTGCGAGCGACGATGGCGGTGTTTGCGAGAGGCGCGGACAACTTCACTCACACGATCCTGTGCGCTCCTCCTGTAACGGTAGACCCGGCAACGGTGGTATGGGCCGCAGAGACAACGCCACGAACCTCGTACGAAGCGAGGTTGCGTGCACACACGCAGACAAAAGAAGTTGGATGCATCGGCTCCACGTCTGCCGTGATTACGAACGACGTGGGCACCATCTGTGACGCGGTGTGCCGTCTAATTACGCAGATGGCAACCCAGCAAATAATAAAATGGGCCGAAGCCGAGCGAGCCTATTCAAACTGCGCATCATTCAATCCAACTGCTGAGGAACGCGTTGCGCGTGATCGCGGTGATCTGCTGCGCATCATGCCGCAAATATTTGCCGCCTACCCTCAGCAGCTGCGGTGGGACGGGCGGCGCTACCGTTTGCCGCCGCGGTCCCGTCAACAACCACAATGCGAGGAAGTGAAATCCTTGCAAGCGCGCCCGGAAAAGTCACAACACACGTTCCACCACCCTTTAGAGGCGTTTTTTCACACCCTGCACTCTACTGCGATCACCGTGCATCTTCCGCGCCTCTTCTTCGACGGCACACCACAGCCGCCCTGGGACTCTGCGACGTTCCATTACAAGACGGCGGCGGCGTATACGCCAGGTCTGGTGTCACATCATCCAGCACCATCCACCGCCTCCGCCGAAGCGCAAATTTTCATTGCGGCATCTGCATCGGGCAAGTGGACCTCCGACTCGCCTACCCGTACAATGCGGGGTGAAGTACGCCTGCCAATACGCCGCTTCGACGCCTACGGGTGGTCCTATCGACTGCTGAAAAGTCCCTCGCAGGTGCGACAGCATCTCCGCAGCGCACGCGCCACCGAGCACGCGTTTGTGCACCTCATGCGCCGCTCTGCCACGACGGCCGCAGAGCACGATCTGCACTGCGCCTTCCAGCGCTGTGTGTGCGACTGCAGTGCGCACTTTGGCGCCGCATCCCGGGTACGGTCTGCGTACATCCCTGTCATCGCAAGCGGCGTGCGCAGCACTGACATTCACTACACCGACAACTGCGCGGAGGTGGCAGCAGCAGCAGACGTAGGCGTGGTGCGCGTCGACGCCGGGGTGGAGGTGGAGTACGTGCCGACGGACTGCACGCGAACGTTTCCCATTAGCGCCGCGACGTTTCCGTGCCCGCAGCACGCACAGCTGTACGACGGGCTTGTGCGGATTCAACGGTCGCTGCTGCATCGTATTGCCCCTGGCGTGGCGATGAGTGACGTCGCCAAACTTCACCTCGATGAAACGCGTGCGTTGCTGTGCTCCCTCGGCGTTGACTTCCGACGTGTATCGTCGATGTCTGTCTCTGAAGCCCCTCGCGTGTCCGGAGGTGAGGACGAAGGGGAAGAGGAGCAAGAGCGCCAGCTGCCCATGTCAGTGGTGCGGGCGTGCTTCTGTGCGCACACCTTTGGCCATCTCTTTGGCCTTGACATTCATGAGGAGTGGGGCATAGCGTCGCCGATCACATCTCCTTCGAAGGCAGTCCTGCAAGGCACCACCGCAGCACCAGCTCCGCACATCTTTACCGGGGGCATGATGCACACCGTTGAGCCTGGAGTTTACATGCCAAGTCTCGCACGCGCTAGTCTATTTGGAATGACGGCGGCCCAATTGCCCGATGCGTTTCACCGAGGCATCGGTATGCAGGTGGAGGACGATGTACTGATTCTTCCCCTTGTCAACGATCAAGGCAACGCTGCTCCTCGTGAAGAGATTACTTCTTGCCTCGGCCGATGGAGTCGAGGTACCTACCTCCAACACGCACTGGCGGCCTTTGCGCGCTACTACGGAGACGCTCGCGTGTGTGATGTGAAGTCCTTCCGTACACCTTTGGAGTCCGCTTCAGCCGTTGTTGAACTGTGTCGACAACACGTGCAAACCCTGCGGAAAGCCGGTGCCGTTGCGTCCGTGCTGCCCACACACGAGTGGAATGTTGTGTGCTTTCTCTTCTCCCAACGCCTGGCGATGGACGGGCATAAACCGGCAGTGGCGGCGTTAGCGAGCGATATCGCTGCTGTCCAGGCGCTGACATTTGTCGCAAGCCCGGCTTACGCGTCGGCATCTCTTCTTGTACCTACTGTTTCTCACACGGAGTGGTATCCGTATTCTGTGGTGGTGCTGACGGCATCCGTACCAAAAGATCGCCACTGGATCGAAATGTTGATGCGAGAGTCGCTCTAGGAGAAAAAGAAAAGATTCGAATACACACTGACCGTGGAAAAGTAAACAATGACAGCATAACAGTACCGAAACGGAATCAGACGTGGAAAGATAATTTAAAAAAAGTACTACCTACGCGGAGCGCGCTGTGGGACCTGTTTTATTGCGTGTCGCAAAGGCTGGCGAAACCTGTTTTTGTTTTTTTTGTTAGTTTATGGAGGAAGTCCCAGCGGATTAAAATGAAAATATGTCTGCGTTGAATTACCTGCGTTACGCTTCAACCAGGCCAACGCACACCACTGGAGCATCCACTGTCCTCTGGCGGTTTGCTCAGCCACGTTTTCTTCTTTGTTTCGTAACCTCTCACTCTTTCCCTCTGTGTTTATCCGCATGCCATATTTCAGAAGAATTCGAGTTCGATGCAGCGCATGTTGCCTTTGGAAGAAAACTTCGCTTATTCAACTTCCGACTCATAATAATTTAAAACAGAGAAGGTCTCGTGAAGAGGGCCAGTTGAAGACGTCCTTCACTTGTTTTCTTTCCTCCTCCTCCGGCATCGTCGCAGTGTCGATTACATAAACTTGACGAGGAACCAAGAGAGCCCAAATATCTTTAAAAAAGAAAAACCGCAATTCTTTTTTTCTGGCGAGCCGCGATGCGATACAATGTAGCGGTCACCGCACTGCTAAAGCGGATCGAGCAGAACAGAAACGTCCTGACGAAGGAGTTGTCGCAGTCACTTTCTCGCAGTCTGGCTACATCGGTAATTGCGCAGTGCTATAATTTTTCATTGAACTGGAAGAATGAGGTTGCCGGCTCGAGAGCGGCTGACCGCGGCAGGGCTCAATTGTGTGAAGCTGATCCGCTCCGCGCCTTCCCCCATTCGCGGTGGAGAAATCTGGTGGACCACATCCCGACGCTTTTGCTGTGCCTGCAGTTCACGTACGACTCCACGGCCTTGGTGAATCGAATCTCCCGCTCCCGTGACAAGCTGTTGACGGCGCTTCTGTACAACATTCCTCGCCGTAACTGCTCCCTGCAGGTGTACGCGCTGTACCGCGCGCTGCTGATGCACCTCCTCCCATCAGATCTGCGCAATGCCACCTCCGCGCATCTTTTCTGCACCTTCGTGACGCTCGCCGTAATTCGATCCATCCACAAAGAATCCGTTCGGTACGCTGAGTCTACGGCATACCGATACGTCTCCGACGGCACGTCGACGATGCGGCAAAACCGCGACGTCGCCGAGGTCGTGGATCACCTGCCAGACTGGCTGAAAGTACACTTCACGATCCAAGATGACGCGCCGCTGCTGAGGCGCCTCTGCGACGAGTTTCTTCGCCGGCTGCCCCCTGCTGGAGAGAGCTTTTCGATGGACTACGTGAAAACGTTAGTGGAGGGTGAGTTACGCAGCAACGAAGTAGTCGCCGACACGACGCTGGCGTACGCGTTCAGCAGAGTCATCGCGACCTCCTCGGTGCATCGTGTCTCGCGGGAAGAGTTTGTCTTGTTCCTGCCAAAGCTTGTGACGACCGAGGTAAGGGAGGAAAGAACCCGCTCGTTGGAGCTTTCATCGGAAATGAACCAGTTTAGCCAACAGCCCTCGCACGTAAAGCGTCGTTACTTCTACGCAGAAGCCGGTGCGGTTGCCGTGACCAACGCGCTTTCCAACCTCTGTCTGCTGCGCCATGTGGAGGAGGTGATGGCAGCACGTCCGTTGAACCTTAACGAGTGGCTGTGCTTGATGGCGGCGGCGACGGGGGAGAGGCAATGGGCCGATGTGGCACAACCAGCGCTTTTCAAAGCCCTCCGCATGGCAGAGAAGCAGCGCCTCCAGCGGCTAGAAGACAGCAAAGGACGCAGCACAGCGAAAGACACTCTGTTCCCGCTCCTGTCCGATAAGCAATGGATGTGGTTGCTTCGACACGCCATTGGCAATATTGCCTATATGCGCTACGACCCCGACGCGCTGTGCCGCGTCGTTAACGTGTACATGCCTGTGCTGAGCGAGTACGGGCGTGTGCTGCACCGCGACCCTGACATGACAGTGGCGCATTTATTCGAACTGCACAACATCCTACCAGCTTTCTGGATTCTCACACGACTCTTTGGGGTTCTCGATGATAGGAATAGATGGTGGCGAAGAAAGCACTGGAACGACGTGGAGCGCCACGACGAAGATACGGACGACGCAACTCCGTCAACGGTTACACCGCGCATCCCCAAGGAGCTGAAGGAGGAGGATGTGCTGAAAATGGCAATGACCATCACAGACGCTGTGGAAAAGTGCCTCACCCGCTCCGGCGATCTCACGCGCACCACGATCTCACCGCCCGCCCCACCACTGCAAACGGATGCGAGTGCGCCTGTTGCGCCAACACGCGGCTCCGGCTTTGCACGGACAGCGCACCCACCTCCGCGCACGCAGACACACAGACGTCCTCGTTGCGGACACACAGCTTCAAGGGAAAGCCACCACGCCGAGACTAGAAGGGGAGCCGCATATTTGCTTCTTGAAACTCAGTTTTCGTGTCTCAATGTGATTATGGAGAACCGCGAAACGTCGCCGGATCGCCTCCGGTATGCAGTCGCAACCACCCTCCGCCTGTTGCCGATTTCGAATACGTTGTTTGAAACTCTACTGCAAAATATCAAGCGTGAGCTGCAAGAGCTCACTGATCAAAAGCTCTTGTCCGACGACCACACCGTACAGTCCCGCTACGCAGACACGTCCATACGCCTGCCACCTCGTCTCCTCCAATTCTTAGACATTTTCACACATCAGAAGTTACACGTACTTCGCGCCATCCGCAACCTATCTCGGTCGACGTGTGAGTCGGCCCTCTCAGTGGAGGAGCGTGCCACAGTCGTTCTACACTTCACGGACGTGGTGAACTCGGTCACTTCGTTTTTGCTTGTGCTGAAGGACATGCGGAACGTAAATTTCCGCGCAGAGAATCTTGTTCATAATGTATCCAAGTGCTACGCCATCATTGTGATGCCCGCTGTAGAGAAGGACAATGCCTACCATGGCTTTCTCGAGAACAGGCAGGCGGTGCAGCGGCTATCGTGCGTTTGCTTGGAGACCGTCAACCACATCTGGTCGTCATCATTTTCCGCCTTCACCACCTCGGGCAGGCGCGACATGCCCGCTGTAGGAGCTCGTGTGGTGCATCAGGAGGCGCAGGTCGACACGGTGCGACTGGCGTTCAAAGCGATGGGCCTCGGTGGACTCTGCGGCCTCACCTCTGAGGAACTCCCTCACCTCGTGCCTACGCTGCACCGCATGTTTGACACACTGACTGAGTGCTCGAAGCAGCGGCGCGACAGCAGCAGCGATTACAGTGCCAAAGTCGTCCCTCGCGGTAATCAGATCTTGTGCTTGTGTTGTTCTTCGCTGTACCGTCTATGCTCCCTCGGTGTGTACGATGAGGGCTGCTTCGCTGCCGCCACCGAAGCACTGCGCCGTTGCGGGGAGGAGGAGAACATCAAGATGATGTCCACCTACGAGCGCAATCGATGCTTAATGGACGCCGTACACTCCTTTCGCATCTTGTCCCAACGCTCCACCACATCCCGGGACGTTCGTCAGCTCATGCAGCAGCTTCTCGTCGTCTCGGCCCGCATGGCGGCGGGGCGGTTGGCGTTTGCGGAAATGGTGAAACCGGACCGCGGCCACGATACGAGCGATGCGGAAGTATGCGCACTGTCTGGGCAGGCTGTTCTTATGTGGCAGCTGGCCAGCATGGCCGTCGTCAGCACTACCCCCAGTCCAGTCGTGGACAAGAGCATCAACGCCCTGATGCAATTCGTGAAGCGGCACCTTGGCATCCCAGTTTGCGCCGGCTACACCCCACCCCTCGAAGCGTCCACCACTGCCACACAGCTCGATTACCACGAGCAGGCACTCCGCACCACGCAGTTAAAGGCGTACACGATGGTGATGTTGTCTCCGCCGCGGACGCCGTTGGAGGTGGCGCAGGTTTCCAACACGATCATACGCAACATCGTGTCGAGCAACAAGAGAACGTATCGCCGCGTCCTAGCTGAGATGGGCAGCGGAGCGACCGCGGCACACCGGCAGCGGTGGCAGACGCACATGGACGTCTTTTCAACGTTGGTGCAGCGCTTCAAAGGGTTGATTGCGCCGACATTGTGGCACCGCATCGTCCGCGAGTGCCTCGTCGTCCACGACGTTCTCACCGTTGTGAAGCTGTTCACACCATTGATGCAAGACACACTGGTGCTCGCGATCGATCAGCTTCTTCTCTACAGCGAGGCGCACGACAACACCGGCACGTGGGGAGATGATGGCATTGGCGAGGCGGGCGGAGAAGCTGGTGGATTGGGCCGAGTTTATCCGGTGCTCTACGAGGCGGCAAAGACGCAGCTGATTGTGTACCACCGCGCCGCGCGGCTCCTGGCTTTTCACGAGCACATCAAGAACATGCATCGCCGTGTCTACCTTGTCGAGTTGATGGACCGTCTTGCTCAGGAGGCGGCGGAACTTGAGCGGCGCAACGAGGTGCCGCTGTTCACGAAGAGTTTCTCAGCAGCCACGACAGACGGACAACATGAGGCGATGACGTCAGTTGTGCAGTCTGGTCGCTCCTACGTCCTCAGCGCATTCCGCAAAATGCACGTGTAAGACCCCAACACCACGGGCAACGTCAGCAGCGAACAGGCGAGAGCTATATGGTGTTCAGGGCCGCGGTTTTCAAAAGGAAACGGAGGTTTCAGAGGCTGTCACAGGTTCAAGCAAGAGCTATATTAATGAAAAGTCGAAAGCCGTCTTGTGATCCGCCAAGGATCGCCCTGACTTTCCCTTTGGGGTTTATTGCTATTATTAGTTGGGTGAGCTGTTATCTGAAGAGTGGAAGTGCTACGAATCGGTGTGTGGATGACAAGTCAACGGCCCGGTACGCGCGCACCTTGTGTTGCTTGCACAAGGTATTATGTACGATCACACACTAGGAGCGAGTGATCGGCTGATTTCCCGATGTCGTTTCGTCTTCTCACGCGCTCTTTCATTCACTTTCTGACGCCTTTCCTCTTTTGAGCCCTGCTCCTCTTTCTCATCGCAATTATTGACCGCTATGAGACAGCCCTTTCTGGTACGCTTTGTTTTCGTTGGTGTTGCTGCTGTGGAAGCTGATGCGGACGAGGTGAGGTGAAGGAAGAGCAATGGCGCAGTCCCGTCCTTCCAGCGCAAATGCAGACGCAATGGCAATCCTTATTTTAGTGACAGGACTCCCTGCCGCCGGCAAGTCCTCGTTCCTGCAAGCCGTACAACACCTCTACACCAATGCGCAGGGTAGTCAAACGTTTTCCCTCTTCGGTGGTGCGCGACGCGGCCGCGTTGCTGCTGTTTTCCGCCTCGACGACGTACTGCTGCGCTCCTGCGGTCCACGAAACGAAGAAGAAAGCGCTACGGAAGGCGCTCGTGTTGCGCAGCTCGCTTCGAGGGAAGTCTCCTTTTCTCCCGCGCGTTGGCAGGCGGCGACGCGGGAGCTTCTACGCCTCACAGAGGGTGCGTTACGCACGTGCGCAGCAGACGAAGGAGGAGCGGCGGCCCTACCGCTGGTTTTTGTGGAAGACAATATGCACCTGCGCAGTATGCGGGAGCGCTACTATCGCCTGTGTAGACGCATAGAAGACAAGGCGGTGCAAATGCCGAGTACGAAAGGCGGCGACGCAATGCAGTTCGCGGTTGCCATGTTAGAGCTGCGCTTTACGATTTCGTTGTCCACCTGCATAGAACGCAATGCTCTCCGCTTACAGTCTGTGGAGCTTTGTGAAGGTGCACATGCAAAAGACAAGAATGCGGCCGTTGCGTCTTTATACGTGCCGACACCCGTCATTGAATCGATGCACGCTGTGTTCGACTGGTGCCGCGATGCGTCATCCGGCGCAGCAGCAGAGCAGGAGAAACGTGTGCTGTCTGAGAAGGGGGACTCTTCTCCATGGCGTTGGTGGAAGTGGACGCCGACGACGCAACCGTGGAGTTTGCTGGAACTTGCCGTGACAACCGAACCGCCGGAAGGGTCAGCGGAAGAAAACGAAGGAGTGCCCGTTTCGCGCCTGCCCACCGCAGAGGAGCTCGTGGACGAATTCTTTACTGTCACCCTGCAAGATGCAGCCCGGAACGCCTGTAGGGCTCAGTGTGCACACGTCTTGCAGCGCCGCGAGCGGCGAAGGCAGGCAGAGGCCTCAGCTGCAATGTCGAGGGAGCAACGCAACGAAGCACACGTGCGTACACACACGCATGAGTTGGACCTGCAATTGCGTGCGTTGGCGCACACGTTTCTAAAAGCACAGCACACCCCTGCCGTGGGCAAGCAGGTCGGAAAGTTAAAGAATGGTGTGTTACAACGGTTCAAGGAGGGGAGCCGTGCATATGCAGCGGTGCAGCGGTCGCGTGGACACGAAAACGCCTCGCGAGGAGAAAACGCAGACGAAGACGACGTGGCTGAACTGCACGAGGCGTGTCTGATGGACTATCAGAACGCGCTCGTGTCGCTGTGGGAAAGAGGGGAACGGAGGGAGGAAACTCAGTGATGGCGAGAGAAACGGAAGGTAGTGGCGACGGAAGACGTATGGAGTTTGTCTCGCGTCGCACCCATCGTTTCTACACTCTCCTGATTCTCTTCTTTGTCGTTTACTTTTCCTTACCGTTGTAGGTCTGAAGAGTCAGTCGAGAACACTCAGCTGCTATTCGGGAGCAATGGCTCCCACCACGATCCACAACCATCACGAGTCCTGCAAATACAAAGGAAAGTTGAAGTTACGCTTGCAATGGGACCACAACGCCGCATACTTTCTTGTTTCAGCGGCTTTGCCTCTCCACGTCGAAGGCGTTTAGCGACAGTGCACTGCTGTCTGCGCTAGAGGCCAAGGAGTCCCAGCGCGATCCCCGAAAGAGGAGAAGAAGCGCTTTGATTTTGTTTTTCCACGATGGAAGGAGGAAAGAGCTGGCTGCTCGCGTGTGTTACTTTCACATTTTAGCTTCTCTAAAATAAAAGTCAAAAGATATTTTCCTTGTGCTGTTGTGACGCTAGGTTTGAGAACCACAGGATGGAATTGCGGTGGCAAATGTTGATAGGGTTCGTCGATGGACGCTATTGCGTTCCACTCGTTGTAAATGGCTGCTTTCCGGTCCACGATCTGCTCGCATCTTTTTTCTGAACGGTGAGAATTGTCCTCTCCTCTTCCCTTTCTCCTTGACGCTGCTCCTTCTGCTGGTCTGCACTTTGTACTTCTCTCTAAGTAAGTCATTTTGTTTTTATTTATTTTTATGATGCATTTAAACTCATTACCTGTACGACACCAAAACAAAATCCCCCTTTCTTCTTCGTTCGCGAACATCACAGAAGCTCACAAGTTTCTAAAGAACACCGAAATTCGTCTCGCTGTTCGGGTTTTTTTCTCTCTTTTTTCATGCACGTTAACCAGATCAACTTGGGTCTCTTGACAAATCCGCAGACCCCATCATCGTTCACGACGGTCGAACTAGGAGTTTACATTTAATAATAGTCGTAATATTTGTAAAAACCTCACTCCTCACTATTCATCACCTCTACAACCCTTAAAAAAAGAAAACAATATTTCTGAAGGCACTCGCCGCCACACGGGCAACATGTGCGACACGCTCACCGGCTACGAGGCGCGACTCCGCTGCCGTGCAATTGTCAGCCACAAGGCCACCGTTGATGCCGCGAAAACGGTCGAGGAGGCGGCAAACAAGCTGATCGAGAAGGCGCAGCGGCACCTCAGCTTCAACCCTGCGCCGTCCCCCATTACCCGCCACCCAGAGTACCCCCTGTACGATGTGTCGTCCATCCCGGAGTGGCTGAAGGGAAACCCGTTCATCTTGAGTTATTACCGCGCCGGCTACTCGACGAAGCAGTGCTTCAAAAGCATCTTTGCCCTTCACAACGAGACGCTGAACATTTGGACGCACCTGATCGGTTTTGTGATCGTTCTCGCCCTCACCGTGCACATCTTGGTAAACCTCGAGCTGCACCGCACACGTGACTACCTCGTCTTCTCGGTCTTTCAGCTAGGGAGCATGGTTATGCTGGGCGGCTCCTCCATTTACCACACGCTGAGCGCACATCGTTGCGAGGAGGTGCACAACCTTGCTCTCGCCTTCGACTACTTCGGAATTACCGCGATGATTGTGGGCAGCTTCTACCCGCCGGTTTTTTATCTCTTTTCCTGCTCCAACGTGGTGCGTGCCGCCTACCTGGTCGCTATCACCTTGCTCGGCATCATGGGCTTACTGGGGCCATTCTTTACCTTCTTCAACACGAAAACGTTTTACTGGCCGCGGATGGTTCTCTATTCCTCGCTGACGTCGGTTGGCATCCTCCCGACCGTTCACATGTTTGTTGGTTTGCCGACCAACGAACAGACGGTGCCGCTCTACGAAGGGATGTTTCTGATGCTGACGACCTACTGTGTCGGCATGATTATTTACGTTTTCAAGGTGCCGGAGCGCTGGTACCCGGGGCACTTCGACGTGTGGCTGCACAGCCACCAGCTGTGGCACTTCTTCGTTCTCGGTGCCGCCGTGGTGCACTACTTCACGTGCATCGGTGTGTTTCAGATGTGGCGCGTCACGGGCGGGGTTGGCGGCGAATGCTCGTAGACGCGGTTGAAAGCACCAGAGGTTGTCGTTCTGCGCGAGAGATCAGACGCAAGATCTTGTGTTGGTTTTCTCCGCATCAGCCCTCTACCTTTGCGGTGACATTGATTGGGTCTTCCATTTCTCTGCCCTGTGCCACCTCGCGTGTTTCTGTGTGAGCGTCTTTTTTTATTTCTATTTGTTCTCCCTGAGTGTTTTTCATTTTTTCCCTCCCTAGCTGAACCTGTTGCAACTCTTTTCGCGGCTTGTTGGATTCAATAATCACGGTAACTCTTCTGCTGTCGCACTTCGCTGACATTCATCGCTTTTTCCTTCCTTTCTTTTTTTTCGATTTTTAATGCTCATTTGATTCCTTGTACTAGTTGCCGCTGTTGTCGTGTGAAATGCTTTTGCTTGTTTTGATTTTGGTAACATAGAGTCTCTTTCCTCTACACACTCGCACATCACAGGTCCGCGATGCACCAGCCGGCACGCGATTCTTACAGCCATAGCGAAGACCTGTTCATGAGAGGATGCCTTTTTCCACTCTTTCTGGTTGTTTCCTTTTTTTGTCTCGTTTTTGACTCCCTTTTATGGATTACGACATGGATGTGAAAGTGAATGGTCAACTACGCTTTTTCAAAAAAAAAAGTGCATATGTTCCTCTAAACGGTGGTTAGCACGTTTAACTACCAAAAATGCGGCGGGAATCCGCTTTCTTGAGTGCACACGATGCAGTTTTCTCTTTCCCCTCCTCTCCTTCTTTTTTTTTCCGAATTCTTTCAGCTTCAATTTCCTTGAACACGGATGCAACAACACGAATAGGTGTTTTTTTTTCTTGTGTAAACGTGTTTCTGGGGGAGGGGGGTTCTGTTTGTGTGTGTGTTTTTTTGAAGGTCTATGCGTTCCGCAGTGTTGCTTTGTTCTGTCCCTGAAGTCCGTTTTTCAAAGGAGGTCTTTTCCCCAGCAAGGCGTTGCGTTGCCGAGCCCTCTCGATATTTTTTCCCCCTTTTCCTGCCCTCGTGCATGGACCTCGTGTAATCGTATCCGTTTCCCCCGCTGTTGTGTCAAAAGATTCCTCTGAAACGCTTGATTTTCAGAAGTGCCAAAAAAAAACCCTATGATCCCCTAATACGAATGATAGCGTTAACTGTCGAGTCACTCCTCGTGACGGATGAAAAGTGGTGCACGAGCGGCGCGTATAACCTTACGTAGTCCGTGTCGTCGCTTGAAGCTTCTCCTGGTGAACAGCGAAGGTGAAGTTGGTGCCCCTTCGTCGAGTATTACCATTTGTTCCAACTGTCTTCCGTACTGAATAATCATTCTACTCTCCTCTCTCCCTGCGTTTTTTTTTTCTTAACTCGTGCCTTTTTGTTTGTGTGTGTGTGTGTGTGTGTGTTATGCTGCTCGCGTTCACGGTCTCATCTCCGTTCATCAGCGGTCATTACCTTCGTTGATTGTTGGGATCACTTTCTGACGTACAGAGAGAAGAGAGCTCGCTCTTGGCTGAGCCACACATCTGTATTGCGTGATTTTGTGTTTTTTTTTTTACCTGTCTCTTTGCTTCTGTGAGCGCCGCACACGTTGTGCGGTATCACAAGAAGATAACTAATAGCTGTAATTCCTTTTTGTTTTTCTCGTAGTAGAGAACAAACTTCATCTCGAATCGTTGAGGTGACTATTCTGGTGAGGTAACTTTTTCTTTCTGTTATTCTTTGGCCCATTTGTTTGATATCGTCTCGGGTGTGTAAAGGACGATCGACGCTCACCCTAGGGAAGGCAGCGCTACAAAGAGGAGAAAAGGGAAAAACGAAGCACGCTGACACGTATTAAAACGTTCTGACCGTACCCTTTCAATAAATTGTAGGATTTTTATGGGGGTTAACGTTTAGTTTGTGCGTTTTTCGAACTTTTTTATTTCCTTTTCTTCCTGTGTGTTTGCACGTGGTGGATGAGAGAGACGGAGAGCGAAGCGACGTTTTACTGATGTCCTTGAATGCGAGCGAGGTGATAGTGGAGGCGGAGAGAGCAAGCCCGCCGACGCCCTCCCTCACAATTCAAAAAGAGGACAGTCGCCTTCTCTCGCGGAGCAATGGGAGCGACGAAGCCCTCCCTGATCTTTCTGCCAACGCTAACTGCGTTGACAGTGGAGGACTCAGCAGACCGCAGAGGCGTGTGGTGGTGCATGTCCCTCCTGCCGGCAGTCCACAAGGCTATCACACCTACGTTGTGCTCGACGCAGACATGGAAGGCTCTCCCTCAGAGAGCGTCGCCTCTCCGCCATTTTTCCCGACCAGCCGGCACCACAGCTTCTTCATGAGCGACCTCGACAGCCACGCCGGCGAAGGCGATCAAAGTCCGGTGACGAGCACCCACCCCTCGTGGACGAAAACCTCGAGCCCGACGGCTGCCTTCGCCGGTGTCATGGCGCGCGCTCAGCCCCAGTGCGGCCCCGCGCTGGTGAGCGATACCACGAAAAGGATGAACAGCGGCAATGTCGATGTTGTCGTCGTAGACACAACGTGTCCGCCAGCAGCTGCGGCGAGCACCTCTACGCCAAACAGCGAACCCGCCGACGGTGCAGCGCACTCTACCGCCCCTCCCACGACGGAGCAGGCGGTGGAAGTGAAGCCCGTGAAGCGTCGCCAGCATCGTCATCGTCTTGTGGCTGTAGCCCCTCCGCTGGGCCCGGACCGCCCACGGCAGTGGAGCCTGCTAACGATGGGACCCGATCCAGACCTCCCCCTCTACACTTTTAAGGAGCTCCCGCACTGGCAGAAGTACAACCCATACATTCGCAGTGGCTACCGTGCCTTTTACACCGCCGGCATGTGCCTGAAGAGTATGCTGGGTTGGCACAACGAGACCATCAACGTGTATTCGCACCTTCTCACTTTTGTTGCCTTCGCCGTCTTCACGACGCTGCTTTACACAACAGTGCTGAGCAAACGCATTACGGTGCCGTCGATGAAGGCGTCGAAGCTCATGTACGCCGTTTTCTGCTTCGGCTCCATGCTCTGCACACTCAACAGCTCCATCTACCACCTGTGCAACTGTCACTCCCACCAACGCGTCATGACGGCGATGGGCCGACTTGACTTCATCGGCATCACCGTCCTCATCGTAACCAGCTTTCTGCCCCCATTGTATGTCATGTTCCACTGCTATAGTACGCTGCGTATTGTGTACATCGCGTCGATTATCATCTTGGGATCGGCGGCCGTGATTGGGCCGTGGACGGACATCTTCCACGAGCAAGTCGGACTGCGCGTGGCAACCTTTTTCGGCCTGGGCCTTAGCGGATTAGTCCCGGCCGTGCACAGTGTGTTCCTGCTGCCCTTCACCTCCGCGGCGTCGTCTGTTGCCGTCGGGGTGGTGCTCATGGTGTTGCTCTACTCCAGCGGCGTGGCGTTCTACGTGACGCAGTTTCCGGAGAGTAAGTTCCCTGGCCACTTCGACTTTTGGCTCTCCAGCCACCAAATTTGGCACTTCTTCGTGTCTATGGCGGCGCTTGTGCATTACTTTAACTGCGTCAGCATGTATCAGATGTGGCAGATCAGTGACGGCGTGTGCAACTAGGTTTCAGCGAGTGTGACGGTGTGGAGACCTTTGTGTTGTGGCGAAAGCCTTTTGACTCCGCTTTTTGTTTTCAAATCGTTTAACAAGGTTAGTGGAGCCTTTAGGTTAAAGAGTAAGTGTTCTTTTACGCGTTTTCATCATGTGGTTGCTCTTGCCTTTTCCGCTGCCTCACAGAGCGCCGACTTTGGGGGCTTGTCAGACAGGGGACCGATAAAGAAAGAAAGTGTGTTTTTGTATGTGTGAACGTTAGTAATGCGGCGTTCACACGAAGCTTTTCTTCTGTTTTATTCTTCACCTTTACCCTTCGAACGTTGTCCTCTTTAAGAAACTATATATATATATATCGGTAGAGAGAGATATGTATATGAAGTCTCCGGTAAAACGTTGAGGTGTGTTGTGCTTAATTACTTTTTTTCCCAGTTACTCCTTCACCGTTTTACCTGATGTCTCCTGCTTGCTCGTGGATGCACAAATTGTGGGGTTGCCTATGTTTTGACTCTGTTTTGACTTTTGTTTTTCTCTGTTGCCGATGAATAATCTTCCTTTCGCGGTGTTGCACTGATGCCGTGACGGCTTGTGCGTACGAGTGGTGGCGCATGTACAATCTGTTTTCCTTTCCCTTTCTTTTCTATACGTAGTGGGTTGTAGGCAGGTAAGGAGACTGCGGTTTTTCTTCTTCTTTGCGTTTTGCACCCAAATCCCTCCACGGAGCTGACGTAACGGTTTTTTTTTTTACCTTCCACCGGCGTTGCATCAATCGAGAGAGAGGCGCTCGTGGGAGAAAGTGAGGTGAAGTGTAATGGCTAGTATTTCGTATTCGCACACCGCACTGAATTCTGCGCCATGTCTGCGGAGGCAATAACAGCGGGGCGTCACGTGTGTCTATCTGCGCACACACGAAAACTCTTTCTTGCTTACTCTTTTTTTTTTTCTTTTTCTTTTTTGGCTCATTGCGGCAACCGTTGTACCTACCGACTGTGCTCCGTTCTCGTACGTGGCACGCAACACGCAATAAAACAAGTCCGCGTAAAATTTCGTCCTGCACACGCTTTATGAAGACTAAAGTTGAAATGTAAGGTATTGTTTATTTCCTGCTGCAGTGGAGGGAAAGTGTTCCTTCGGGAATGAATTGTGATGAAATTGTCTCGCTCTCTTTACTCTCGACACTGGGGCAGAATGACGCCTGCTCTTATGCGTATGTGCGTAAATATATATGCGTGTTTTTCTTCCATCTAAAGGCCATGTTTTTGTTCTCTGTTTCGTTCATGTTGCACTTCTTCTACACTCCTTACTACGTAATGTGGCGCGCAAAATCTACGCAGGTCACAGCACATTGATTTAATTCATAGCCCTACGGATATTCGCAGTTCGAACTCTCTCTTTTTTGTTGTTGTTTATTCGAACGGCGCACTCTTCCCGTTCACTTGATTTTTTGTTTGTTACTTCTGTCGTGTGCTCTCATTTTCATACCATACACCTCCCCCTCTCCGCGCGCTTACGGCCTCTCTATACCCTTGGGCATCACCTTTTTTTTTTTGTCGCGTCATTGTGTCGATTTCTTCCCGTTAAACGTCACCCCCCTCCTCCCCGTTAAACGGTTTTTGTTCGCTTCGCCGGAGGAATAACATCGCAGAAGCACTCCAAGAAGAGCTCCTCACCGAAAAGCCCCGCCATGCGTCGCCGCCCCAACAATAACGCGTCTCCTTCGTCGCAGCTGCAAGACGACGCGACGGCGTCGAAGTCGCCGCGACAGAACGGGACGACGGACACGAAAGTGCAGCATGCGTCCCTCCACGACAGCAAAGACCAAGAGCCGCAGGACCAAATGAAACTGCCTCAGCCGGACAACGACGACCCGTCGCTGCCGCTCTACCGCCGCGAGGACATCCCCGAGTACCTCGGCGACAACGTGTACATCCTGCGTCACTACCGCGCCTTCTACTCCACGACCAGGTGCTTTACCAGCATCTTTCGCATGCACAACGAGACGATCAACATTTGGTCCCACTTGATTGGCGTGGTTGTCTTTATCGGTCTCATTGTGGATCTCTTTGTGCGCCGCATTGTGCCGGAGTACCGCGCCGGCAACGTCTACTTTCACGTAAATCGAACTGCCTTTCCGGTGATGGTGGAGGGCGCGCAAACCACCTGGCCCTTCGTCATCTTCGGTGCGTACTCGTTTGCTTGTGTAATGTGCATGCTTTGCAGCGCGAGCTTCCACACCTTTCTGTGTCACATGAGCCAAGATCTCTTTCACCGCGCCCACGCCCTCGACTACTTTGGCATCACGTTTCTTATTGTAGGCTCGTTTCTTCCGTTTTGCTTCTACTCCATGGGCTGCGCTCCGGCGTGGCGTAATACATACATGTCGATGATTTGCTCCTTCGGCGTGATCGGCATTATCGGACCCTTCTTTCGTCATTGGACCTCGAACGCGTTTGCGAACAAGCGGACGCTTTTCTACGTGCTCATGGTCGCCTCGGGTCTTATCCCCACCGTGCACCTCGCGTTCATTATCCCATTTGTCATCAGTTTCCCATATGTTTTGGGGTTGCTGGCGATGCTGATGTTGTACGGTATCGGCGTCTTCATCTACGCCTTTCGCATCCCTGAAGTCTTCGCACCTGGAAAGTTTGACGTGTACTGCTCCAGTCATCAGATATGGCATGTGTGTGTCATGGCGGCTGCCATTACGCACTTTTACAACTGCACGCAGATGTACTTCAACCGTGACACCATCGTGTGTGCGTGAGAGCGCGCGAGAGTGCGAAACGTTCCTTCTTGTTTTTTTTTTTTAACTCCTACTTGTTCAAGCGACGCGGTCACGTAGAGCACCGGTGGAGCGGAGCTCCTTCAAATGCGTGCTGATGCCGTCACCACGGCTTCATTTGGTGGCGTTTCCCTTTTGTTTTGGCTTTTTTCTTCAACGTTCCCATCTGCCGTCCTTTGGGTCATTTTCTTACCGTCGTTGTTTGTTTGGCCAATTTGGTTTGCAGAAACGAAGGCGACTTTTCTCTTCTTTCTTTCCTTCGAAAATAAGATCGGAGACACAATTCCTCTGCCGTTTCTTTGTTCTCAAGAAATATATATGCCTGCTTTTTCCCTTCTCTTTATTTCTCTGTTCTTCGCTCTTTTCGCTCTCTCATTCCCCCCTCCGTCGTTGCGCCGGACCGCGCCTCACAACCTTGGTGATGGCAAGCGCCGTCCTGATCTACTGACCTATCGGGAATTGAACGCAGTACCTCCTCCACTTTCCACAATTGAGCAGGATAGCTCCACGAGTGCTTTTCCTTGTTAGTGTATATAACACCTGTTTACTACTATTATTACCGCTTTCCCCTGTCGAAGCGAGTTCCACACTATGTCATCTGTGCGGCCTGCATTCTCTGTCTTGTTTCCCCTCACAATGTTGGTGTGCTGGAGCGGATTGTCGACGGAGATAGCGTGCGAGGATCACGGAGTGAAGCACACAACACGAATGTGGCTTCTCCTCTTCGCTTGTTGAGGTTTCCTTTTGTTGTGTCCTCCGTTTCTTCTTCTTTGAACACCGTCGTTTCCAGTGAAGCTCGTGAAGCGATGGTGTGTAAGAAAGCGGGAGGAAAGCGAGATGGAGCCGTACCGATAATGGTTTGAGTGCGTCTGTGTGTGTGTGTGATGGCCTGTTTTGGTAGACGGCTTTCTTTCTTCTGTGTTTGCGCAATGACTTAAAAACGATTTTCTCGGCTGTGGAAACGAAACAATCCATACGTATCGATAGGTGCCGATGAAGTGCAGTTCGTCCGTGACTTTGGTGGTCATCGTTTGACGACGTCATCGAGAAAAGTAACACGACGCGGTTTAATGAGAAAACCAGCTTTCTCAACGAGTCCTCGGAAAAAGAAATTAAGAAAAAAAGAATGGTGCGCGCCTTACTCCTTTTGTATGCTGTGAAGGCACTCTCTTCTAAACACCTCCTCTGTTGATTCGTTCACCAACGCGAAAATGCGTCCCGTAGGCACAATCACCACTGAAATAGCTGAACTAAAAACCAAAGCAGCAGAAGCGGTCTCCGCATCCACAGTGTGTTGGCTCGTTAGCTTTTATTTGTCCTTCTTGTTGTAGCATTCAGTAAGTGAGGTTTGCGTGTCGCGCTTTGTGCACCTCATCGACGGAGTTCCACCTCCTCTGCCACCGCGCCTGAACCGCAATGTCGTGGCAGGACGACTGCCTGGTGCGACTCAGCGCTGCGGCCCAGGACACGCAGCTGACTCTACAGCATCTTCGCTGCGTGAGTGCGCTTCTGCAGTCCGTCATCGACGGACTGTCGAGCGTCACGGCGGTTTCGCTGTGCTTTCCTCCAACCGACCCATCACCAGTGTCATCTAATGAGCAGAAAGGTCTTCTGGGGATTCCGACAGATAGCACAGTGTGCGCACACAACATCGAACTCGTTTCATCTCATGCAGTCGGCACCGCCTGCATTCCGGCCGATCCGTTCTGGCGTGTCTGGCGTGCGAGCAGCGCCGTAGATGCACTCTTTCACCGCAGCGGGATGTCGACGTCAATCAGAACCTTCGAAAGCACCGTCACGGCGAGGCTTGTCCACTCCCACATCCCACGACTCCTCGAAATGCAGGCGAGGGTGCAGCGAGTCGGCGGCGTTGTAGAGCGAGAAGGACGACGCGTGCTGACAGAGCACAAAGTCGGTGCAACGCGTAGCCAATGGACATCAGATGCGGTGGCCGTGCTTGCTCAAGCAACGGGTGCCGCACTGAGGCAGGTGGATGATGACGAAGCGAAAGCCAAGAGAGCTCCTACGATCGATCAGCCCGACACACACTGTGCAGCCTCTACACTCTGGGCAAATCTGGAGGCTGACTTTGCAGCGGTGGCCGCACCGAGGCTTGTTGAATCCAACGCGTTCTCCAACAGTGAGAAGGGAGCGATACGCGAAGGCCGTCTTCGACAACAACAGCAACGCGTCCTGCAACTATTTCGCGAGATCGTGACAACCGTCGGTGCCGATGCTTTGCCCGTGTGCTCCTCAACCAACTCATCATCTGTCAAGCCAGAGAGCACAGCGTGAACGCAACAAGCTGTGTTTTGAATACTGCCAATACCCCGGAAAGGCTACTTGCCTTTTTTGTGTTTTGCTCTAGTGCATCGATTTCGTTTTATTGTTATTGATTGCTTCGTTGTGGCGGAGACGCGCCGTCGCTTTAAACCACATTTCAACAACTGTTTTTTTCTTTTATCTTCTGTTTATTCTGCTGCATCCGCTGCTCTTATTCGGCCGACTATACTTCCCAAACTTGGCTCTGTATCTTCACTTGGTCGCTTAAAGAAAAGAAAGAATTCAATCTCTATCTCGCATACTTAGCGCTCTCCTCTTGCTACCTCCGAGTTCGACAGCCACAAAGCAGTTGGCCGTCGCCTTGCGGTTCCTATACAAACGTATGTTTTTTCGTACTACTGTGCTTTTGCTTTAGCTTTTTCCCCCGTTCTCCTCGCTGTTTTTAGGGTGCGTCTGTCAAGCACCACATTTCCTGTGAACTCAAAAGCAATCGTTCGTCATCTCCTTTTCCTCTTTGCTGCTTCTCCACGTCCCTTTTCCCTTCCTACTCTCAACAGCTGAGCAATTGAAGCAACTCCACGAGCTGCTCTACAACTGTTCATTCCGGCTGTCCACCAAGGTCGCCCCTCGCTTATACGGCTTTGTGAACTTTTTTTGAGTTCGCGGAGGGAAAAAGGTTGGAGTGAAACTGTGTCAACAGTGTGTGTTCCCACAGCACAAGGTGCTCTGAATTCATCGAGCGCTTTTTCACCTCTGTCGAAGGCCTGAGGAACGGAACGAAAGCAAGGTAAAGAGACCAAAGGAGAAGCACAAGAACACCGGAAACACCTCGAAGAAGTGTAGGTGATTTGTGGCTCCCCTCTTCCTGTTAGGTTGTTCGCCGCGGGGCTATCTCCGTCGATCTCTCTTTTGTTGCTGCTCTTCTGCCCTCTCTCGGACCCCGTAGACCCTGCCCCCGTCTTCGCTCGCTGGGCGTACTTGCCTACCACTGCTGTTTCTCTTACACGCTCTGGCCCATCACTCGCTCTGTTTCTCGCGGGGTTTGTTTTTGGGGTAGAGCCGAAGCCTTGCGGTCTTCTCTTCCCTCCCATCAACCCTTTTTTACGCAAGTGTGCGTGCGAACTTCGTCAAGAGTTTTTCCTTGCTTTTTTTTTTCAGTAAGGATTGGCTTCTTTGCTTCAAGGTCACAATTTCTCTTCCTCTCCCGGGCCATCGACCAGTGGCGCTCCTTTCGCTGCCCCACTCTATTGCCTACAAGATCGTGTTGCGTGTGTCGTGCTCTTCTCTTCATTCATTTTTTTTTTCACACACACCCACACACATACATACACAGATACACTTCAGCTCCGCCTATAGGTAAACACGCCCCTCCCCCCCCCCCCAATCTTTTCTTTCCCATTGATTAAAACCTTCTTTCTGGTTTCTTCTTTCCCCTTCTGTATTTTCATGAAATTTCTGTCAAAACGTGTTTTGTTTTGTTTTGTTTTTCGGTCATCACAAATCGTTGGATAATTCAAGTTTGTGATTTTCGCATAGGCACAGCAGTCACCGTTTTCTCCCGCCGTTCTCTTCTCCCTCCTTTCTTTTCTTTCTCGAGACTCTGTCCATCCCACGTTTCTTCGCTGTGTGTTTCTGGATCTTTCCTCCCCCGCCACCCGCTGCTGTTGTTCGGTGCACGCATTCGTGTTCTCCTCACAACTGCTTGTCGGTGGCCTTTTTTTTCTATCTCTTCTTCTTTCGTTGTTCTTGATCTGAATCTTCTCTTTGGATTGTTTCCCTGCCTATTTTTCTCATTTATTTTTTCTCCTTTGTGATTACGCATCTCTTCTTCTTTTTTCTTCTTCTTCCCCCATCTTTCCTTCCTTCTCGATCTTTCTATTCTTCTTAACTGGAGTCGAGCTAGTTGCAAAGGACAATCGTGCTTTTTGTTTAATTGTTTTGTTTCACTCGATTGCATAAGTCTCATCTCTCCCTCTTTCCCTTTCCTCCCTCTCTCTCTAATACATATATTGACGCTAGCCAGTGTACCGAGCTGAACGCGATCAACGGACTATCTATTAGTTCCTGTGGTTTTCGTTCGCGCACGCGATTTATTGACACTCGTTTATTATTGCTACTTTTATTATTCCTTCTTGTCTGTCTGTCTCTACTGTTGCTGCTGTGTTTCCATTTCTCAGAATACATATTTGTGAGTACCCACCGAACACAAGTGAGCAAGAGACTTTCTTTTAGTGTGTTTGTATGTGAGTGATAAGTAAGGAAAGTGGTCTCGTTATATTTCTGTTTTTCTTTTTAGTTGTAGAGAACCTTGCTCTTAAGCTTTTTATTTTTTTCTCTCTCGCTCCCTTTTTGTTTTCACTTGAAGCACGTTGGCTCCTTCGTTCCAGCTCTTTTGTGTTGGCGCGTCTGTAGGAAAGTCCACCGCCTTGCCTCCTCCGATTTCGCCGCTACCTTGTGGAAACGCTATAAAGACACACTGAACAGACTCAAAGGCGACCTCCGTCACGTCAGAGAAGATATTTCCCTTCAGGTCTTTCATTGCCGCAGTTCGTTCTTTGTTTTGTGCTTGGATTTCCTTCAACTATTGATACCAAGATACACATAGATATATCTGTATGTATAAAAATTGCTTATTGACTTGAAGTAATCGTTTCTTTTCTTTATATTATTAAGTTTTTCTTTTTTTTGGAGACATCTCCGTCTCGCCCCTCCCCCCCAAAAAAAAAAAGGTCTTTTACAAGTAAAAACGAGCAACCATCTTTTTTTTCTTTTCATTTTCGACGAGTTCTTTTGCCTTTTTATCCTCTATTTGTTTTGTTCGCTCTTCACTTTTGAGCAAAAGTGTTTCGTTTATATTTCTCCATTTTTAAGGAAAAGCGTGGTTTTCGGTTTGTTTGTTTGTTCTCTCGAACTTCTCCATGTATTGAAAGCTTTCATCTGTTCTACTCTGTTAAAGCCCTTTCGTCGACAACAATCAAAAAAAAAGAAAGATTTATATATTACTTTTGACTTCTGTACGACTGGCGTGCTCTGTTGCTTTTTGCGATAGTTTTTGTGGTGGCGCCAATTCGTACTTATTTATGTCTGAAATCTGTCTACCATTCGATTATTGATTATAATTATTTTTTGTTTTCTGAGTACCATCAACAACCACAATTGTTTCCAGAGTAAGCAACGAGGAACGCCAAGGGCGTGCATTTTCACAAAAAAAAAGTTTGTATCCGAAGAAAAAGAGAAAAGGGGAGAAGAAAGGTGTTTACTGAGTCGTTTCTACCTCCAAACTGAAAAATAAGGAACTCCTTCTCTGTTTTCGGTTTTTTTGTTAGTTTCCCTCATTCCCCCTATCATTACCCCTGTGAAATACACTTTCATCATTATTATTATTGTTTTTTTGTCGTTGACGTTGTTGAGATAACATTTGGTACCACTACTCGCGAATAGTAGCACGAAGGAAGAACGATATCAAAAAGGAAGAGTACATCTATTCTTTTTTTCGTTGTTGTTGCCATTTGTTTGCGAGCTTGGTAAGCTTACTTTGCGGCGGAGGTACTGCAACGATTGTCCTTTATTTTGTATGTGTGTGTGTGTGTTTGTGTGTTCATTCATAAGCTTCTCTCTCGTCTTGTTTCTTTTTCACCTCTTTTGTAACTTCACTGCTCTTTTCCAGGCAATAGTTTTTCTTCCCCCTTTATTTCACGGCATTAATCAAAAGTTGTGCTGTTCAAGAACTAATCATTTGGCTTTAAAATAAGTTTAAACTTTTTTTTTATGATCTCCTCTTGTCCTTTTGTAGCGTCTTGTCGCCCCTCATTATCTTCATCTCTGCGTTTGCGGGTGTGCGTCGCCACTGCCTCCGTGATCAGATTCATCCCCCGTTGTCTTTTAAGATTGGAAAGCAGTGAATCTACTCCCGTCTCTCCCGTCTCTGTATAGTTGTTTTTCTGTTGTTTCGTTTTTGTTCTGTTGCTCCCTCGAAAATAAATTTTTAGTTTCTAGTCACTGTTTTTGTTTCTCAGTCTGATGGTCCCCTCCCCTTCCCCCCTCCCCCCACTTGTTGCTCGCCTGTTTGCTCGTTTACTCCTGCATAACAGTTTTTTGTTTGCCGACACTGTCGCTTTTTCAACTCGTGATTTTTCTTTCTTTCTTCCGCTTGCTCATCTTCGCGCTCGTGTGCTCCATCGCAGATTCATCTCAACCTCCTGCGGCTGTGTCGATACCGATAAATGGAGTCGTTTCATGAGGATGGAGAAGGTGGGCTGCGTACGCAAAGCCCTGTCGCATCGTTTATCCTCCCACGCATTATTGACATCCCCAGCGTAACGCAGCAAAACAAAAGCCAGCCCACCGCCAGTGCAGTGAAACAGCAGGCCACGCAACTGGCCGAAACGGCCCTCTCTCAACCGTTTCTCAACCCCGCCCCCGAGCACAACCAATGCCCGGTCTACCACTACGACGAGGTCACCGGTTTCGTGACCGCGAGCGTGAATGAGCCACCACCTCTCCTGCCCAATCAGCCAAACGCGTTCGCGCTCGGGGGTGCGCTGTTTCGCTCCACACCCGCTGCGTTGCACGTCACGCCACCTCCCAACTCGTTGCTCGAGACCAGTGGTCCGTTGCCGATGTGTAGCTCCTCTCGATCGGTGCGCACGTCTTCCGCGCCGCCGTACTCGGTGAGCTCCATCGGCTCCGACTCCGTCTCCTCGCCGGTCGAGGCGGTCGTACCAGGCATGTGGAACCACGCCCTGATCGTCTTCGACAAGCTCTTTTGCGTCTGCTTCGTCCCACCGTTGCTGCGGCCGCTGCGCATAGGCGAACTGGTCTTGTGCGAATTCGGCTCCAGCGACAACACTGCCACCGTCGTCGCGGACGTCTCGTTTCTCGTCGCCGGTGTGCTGGCCGTGCGCGAGGCGGCGGAGCACGTTTTTGGCTTCAACTCCCCCAAGGCCGCACCCACCGGCGCGACCTACCGAAGCAGCTCGCCGCTTTACCGAGAAAAACTCGCCTGTGGTCTCGCCGCGGATCACCTGCTCTGTCGCCTGCCTAGCCTCATACGGCGCGGCACCAACCGGGACAAGAAGCGGGTGTATTTCTCCCGCCTGCGCAGCAACGACGCGCTGGCAGCGGTGCAGCACGAGCTCCTCAACGTCCCCGTCACCGCGCAGGCCGCCGAGTATCAAGTGAACTTTTCGTGCGCCACCATCTACCTCGCTGGCGACCGCGAGCAGTGCGTGCTACCCGCGCAGCACTTCCAGGACATCGGCGAGGCCCTCTTGGAAAAGCTGCGCTGCGAAACGGTTGAATTCCGCTTCTGGGGGGAGCGCCACCACGGCGAGCTCGACCTAACCCACACGCTGCTCGGCAACCAGTACAGCGAGGTGCTGTACGAGAAGGTGGTGGAGCATCTTCGCAGTCAGTCCGGCCGGTCCGCCCTGCGCGCAGCGGCGCAGGCCAACGCGGCAAAACAGCAGCCACAACAAACGCAGCCGCCACCGTCACAGCAAGCAGCGACACTCGCGCTGCAGCATCCGCAGCAGCTGGCGGCCAAGGCACCGAGCTATCAGAGCTCACAAGGCTGGTCACAGCCTGCCGCCGTCCCTGCGATAACCTCTGTGCCCACCATGACCTTCCTGCAGCAAGCGTCTGGGCCTGCGGCCCCGGCCTCGCTGAGTTACGCGTTGGCGCCGCCGATCTACGTTACGCAGCAGACGCCACCACAGCAGCGTCAGCAACCGCCTGCGATTCAGGTGTTGTCGCCGCAGCCGTCGCTCTCGTTTGTGCAATTGTCCACGTTCCCAACGATCCAACACGTCAACACCGCGAACGTGACCTACGTGACACGGCAGCCGAGCGCCACCTATTACGAGAACACACCACAGCAGCAGCAGCAGCAGCAGCAGACGATGCTGTCATTGTCGCCAAACCCAGTCTCCGGCTCACCAGTTTATTACGTCGTGCCCTCCACTACCGCCGTGCAATGGGATCGCTCACCGAGCACACCACAGGGGTTGGAGCAAGGGTCGCAGCATTACCTACAGCAGATGCAGTCGTCTCAGCCTTCCGCACAAACTCAAATTGCGCCAGTGCTCTTTCGCACCTCCGACGACGCCGTGAATCAGCAAACGTTGCCGTCGTCGACTGCATACGTTCACGCGTCTGCGATGAACGCGCAGGGCTTCCAAGCCGTTTCCTACCCGCTTGTTTTATCACCTAGTTGCATGTCGTTCCAACAGTTTCAGTGTTGAGAAAGAGAACACACGAAAAGCTGGCAGATCTGTTTTCCCTCGTTTCCGTTCCCCCGTGTGGCCAAAGTGCCACCTGTCATCTGATTTCTATTCCTAATCCAGAATAGCACTTGAGTTCTGCATTTTTCTCAGAGCTTGCGAGGGGAATAGAAGGAACGGAAACAAGAAAGAAGAGATGGTCAGCGGATGGGATCGGTGATCTCAGTCATTTGGGAAATGCATGATACTCTCCTTTACTTTTATCGCCTGTTGGTCTTGACTCTCCTGTTTCTGGGGGTTTTGCATTCTGGGTATATTGTCCGCCAGTGTGAAGTCTCCGGTCTTCCAAAAATTCCACCCGCCCGCCCCCGGTCCCTACCACGACAGGGACCCATGGGATCTCCGGAAGGATCCTTGAGTTGGGTAATGTTTCCTATGCACTTCGTAACGCGATGATATCTTTGAGATTTGGCCGGGGCCAGGAAAAAAGCGAAAACAATGAATAAACTTGAGGGCATTATCAGAGGGTGACTGAGAAGCGAAGGAGGGTGAGGTTCCTAGAAGGCAGTGGTGGATTAGGACTCGCGAGTTATGCATTACACAAATGTCGTTACATTTCTTCCACTCTTGACTTCCCAACCTTCCTATTCCTTCCCTGTTGCTGCATCAGATGCGGTTTAACCGTGCGCCGTTGCAGTAACGTCCCTGCAGGTGAACTTAAGCGTAATAGTTTCTTATTATTGTTATAAAGCTTGTCTGTTTCTTTTGTTCCTCTTAATCTCTTGTGTTTTTTCCCCCTGCTGCTGTTGGTGTTCTCGTACTCACACGTGTTTGGCCCTCAAGAGCGCTTGTTGGACAGCGCGCCCGCAACCATGTTTTCTTTTTATTGTCCTCTCACTTAAATGCTGATCGCACCCCACCCCCTCTTTTTGTTTGTTTTTACTCCCTCACTGGCTTGACTTAACACCTAACGTTGTGTTTGCACCTTGGAGTACAAGAATTCAGAGGACGAATTATTTACTTTCTATGTACACAAGTAGATGTATGTTCTAACACATACTTTTTTTTCGTATGTTTGCCTGTGCTGGATGTGTCCCGCATAATACTGTGTAAGTAAAAGAAAGAAAAAAGAGAAGCTTCTCACTGGTGCACATGATACTATCCCTATTAATATAATAATTCTGATTTGTTGTTCTGGTGTGTAAGCCCGCCGACGTTCGCAACATCTACAGCGTGATGCGGAGGTGTTGATCCATTCTTTTGATTACTTTTTATTGATTTTAAGTGTTTGGTCCCTATGCACACTCTTTCGCTGTACCCTTTATTCCTTCTGTTTTGTGCTTGCTTGTGTGTGCGTTTGTGTTTCTTTTGCCTCAACAAACTCTCACGTTATTCCTCACCTTCTCTCTCGCTAAGTGGTATGTTTTTGAAAAAAAAATCAATGACGCATTCGCGTACCCACATTCAACAACAATAACAAACATCTGATCGTCTTTGTTTAGCATCATCCACGCGAGAAGCTGTGTACGTGGTGCGGCGTTTCAATCGCTGGCGTCTTGGCACATCCCACACGCGATCTCGCCACAGCAAGCGTGAAGTAGCAACAGTCTTGTTTAAGGCGTGCCGCCTAATGCTTGGTAGCGTTGCTGTTGATAGATGCTCTCTCTTGTGTTCTGCGGAGCTACTGCAAAGGAGAACGGTGATGAATTCTATTGTGATCGACTATCTATGTTGTGTAAGGGATTCTTTTTTCTGTATAGGGGAGTCGAACTCATCGGAATTTCTGTTGTGATTCACGGTGGAAAGACTTTAACAAATACCGTTCTAATGAATGTCTTTTTCCAATTATTGTATTTTTTTTCTATGTATTGCAGAGCACACGTGCAGCAAAGTGGGTGGTTTCTGTTGTTGTTCCATCCCTTTGTCTACCCGTTTCGTCCCCCCTGTCGATCGTGGTCTTTCCGGTATTCCCCACTCTCTTAACATCATCCTTCTGTGTGGTAGCCGCTTGTTTCTTTCCTCATTTTTCTGATATATATCCATTCATGATGTAAACCCGCCTTGTTGTTGCCGCGGTGCGGGTTTTTTTTTCCTCGTTTTCCTTTCGTATACCTGGAAAAATACGACAGCAATCCACCTTCAATGCACCACTCAGTTAACTAGACAACGGCGATTTTCCTTCTCTGTTGCTGGTCTTCGCACTACTTTTCTCTCTTACCTAAACTCACGTGAGACTGTGTTCGAGCGGAATAGGTAAAGGCACCGGTGCTGCCTATGTTTGTTTTGTTTTGTGTTTTCCTCGCAGGCATTGAACGCGGTAGTGTGTAGCTCTACATGCGTCCGTTCGTAGACTTTTCTTTGCCTCTGTCGTTTCTACCTTCACTTTTTGGTTTCTCTCTTTCTCTCTGTGGGTGTGCGTCTGGGAGCGAATTTGTGTGTCTTTTTTGCGCTTTCTTCTCCGCGTCTTTCCACTCCCTCGCCTCGCCTCGCCACTCCACTCAACAAACCTCAAAAAAAAAAACTCGTAAACTGTGATCTTCTTTGTTGTTATTGCGAGTGTTCAAAACCCTGTAAGCAAAAGGTGAACTTTTATTCCGCACCTATTTCTCTATTATTATTATTCAGTTAAAGTGACTCATATGAAAACATTGTTCCGTAGATTTTTCTTTCATTATTATTGTTATTATTACTTCCGTTTTCAAGTGTTTTGTGTGTTTGAGCGTTTCGCATCATTCGCTTCTCAAATGCTTAACGTTAGCGTTAGTGTGTTCTGTTTGCATTTTCCTTTTTTTTTTGAAAGAGTCTGTCATTAAGCCACAATTGCGATATACGGTGAAGGTACGCTGTCTCTCTCGCTGGGGTGGCGCGTTGTCAGTGGGAGAGATCTATTATATCACCTTTCACTGTATTCCCATTCAAATCATTAATTTATGTACTTGTTTGACCGCGTACGATGGGGAATGGATCAGTAGACCACAGACTGTAGAAGTGAGTGGGGTAGAAGAAAAAACAACGAGCTTAGAGAAACAAGATTTTTTGTTTCCTCGATAGTTGTTTGTTTTCCTTCTTCCAGTCCGTTCTCAAAATCACACGAATTTGGCGCTGTCTTTCTTCTCCCCTCCGTTTCTGTGTTGGTTCACGTTTAAAAACAATCGAAAGGAATCGCGGCTTGTTGTTGTTTCCAGATATTTCTTTTTTCTCTCATGTTATTACACCCTTCTCATTTTTTGTTTCCTTTTGTTATTCTTTTGTGTCTATACGAAAAGCTGTTTAAACGCGGTGACTTCGCTTGCTGTTTTTCACAAAAGGTTGTCCGGCGCTGGATAGCAAGCGCACGTGCCCACGATCTTTATTGAGAGCACTGCATAGGTGTTGCTAAGTAACAATCATCTGTCTTCTTGGCTAATGTGATTGATCGTTTGCTTTCCCTTTCACCTCCCCCCCCCCCTCCTGCCAAACGCATTCACATGTGTGAATTAACGCTGATAGGAACTTGGTATCACACCTTTTGATTTTCCTTCGCGTGTAGAGTTGATTGCTTCTTTGCCGTTGTTGTTTTTCCTCCTCGGCATCACCCGCGTTTTCATCGCTTGCCACTTCAAAAATATATATCCTCCTCCTAATCGCTGCCTCATTGTTATGTATCTCTCACATTCACTCACGCAGCTCTGCATTTCACTGCCGATATTCTATTCCGTTATCTGATTTCCACGTTTTCTTAATTTATTGTTTCTTTTACTGTTACTATTTTGGAGGTGGGTGTTCCATACGATGCATTACGTTCAAAGGCTATTTTTTTTGCTTTTGTTTTCATGATCATTCTCTCTTTTTTCCTTTCTTTCTAATAGGTGCCCCTCTCGCTACATCTGTCTGTGCTTTCTTGAGGCTTTTTCTTCCCCCCTCTCTGTGTGTGTGTGTGTGTTGCCTGTATGGTGCATAGCTTGCTGAATAAGAAAGTACTTCAATGGAAAAGGCAGGAGAGTGTTATTTAGCGAATTGCACAAAGAGTCACAACTTCACCGTAGACTCCTGGAACGCGTGATATTTCGTAGGTTTCCTTCTGCATTTATCTTTGCGCGAAAGGGCCAGCTCAAAATTATTAAGAGTCATAGTTTCATCTATCATTGCACACGCCTCGTTGACCTGTTACCCATCTTTTGTGGTTGTGTGTTGCCTAACAGTTTTTTTTTTCACAATAGTCTCTTTTATTCAATTATAACGGACACATGTATATTCTTTTATTCTCCGTTGAGCTAGCGAGATCGTGTTTTTTTTTTTTTTGAGAAGAACTGGGGACGTCAATCATAAGCAGTTACTTCTTTAAAAGAATTCCACGTTCAGTCGTTAGAGTAGACGGCAGTTGAACCACTTTCGAGTATATATGTTTTTCTTTTTGCACGGGTGCCCACTCTACCGGTTTCCCTTCTCAATCTCTTTCTCTAATCATAGCCATAACGACATCGTCCGGAATCATTCGCCTCTCTGTTCTCGCTCATTTTTTCTTTTCTTGACATTTGTTTGCAGCCCTGGCCTCGTTTCAATAAATATATGTATGTGTTTTTTTTTTGTTTCTTCATTTTTTTTTACTGCGCTCTCGACACTCATCGTGTGATGGGCGAGTGTGGAGAAGAGGGAAAGGGCCTCAAAGAAAGAGACACCCGTTCGGCTCCAGCGCTTATTTTTGATTTTCTATTTATGTTTCTTTTTCCACGAAGAGTTGAATAACTTTTCCATGTATTATACCCACTTTGAAGAAGAGAAAGTTACGCGTGTCAACATGTCGGCAGTGCTGTCATCCAAGAGAAATGGCAGATGGAAGCCTTACTGTCCGGTGAAACACAAGAGTACACGTGTGCGGCAGATGATCTGTTGTCTTCTTTTGTTCTCCTTTGTTTCAGACCCGCTTCTTCTTCTGACTCTACGCTTTAACTTCCAACTGCAAGCTGGTGTGCACTCGTTGACGCATTGCTTCACTGGGCGCCTCTTTTCCCTCCGATTCACTTCTCCCTTTTTCTGTGAGCCTGCGAGGGGAATGGAAGGGACGGAAAAAATGAGTTGAATGTGATTGGCAGCGGAGAGATTGGCGGATCTCGGTCATTTAGGGTAATGCTCTAAACTATCTTCTCCTTATCTATTAACTCCTGAATCCTGGTTCTTCCGTATTCTGGTTTGCCTGGCACAGTTGTTTTCAGCATCGAGAGAAACTCCGGTTTTTCGCTGAAAACTCCCTTCTCAGAGTTTTATTCGCAAGTTTTTTACATATTCATCGCCAGTTGTTTCTTATAATCATCGCCAGTTGTTTCATAAGTTTTAAAAAAATATATTTAAAAAAATTAGTAGATCCATGAATATATTAAAACCCTTTTAGGTAGTTTCCCTCAATATGGCGCTTATACTCATCGATCCGTCCAAGTGGAACTTGGTTTGCACGGATTAATATGAGAACCTTCCCGAGC